ATATCGCTATTAAAAACTAGGTGTTGATGGTAGAAGGGTGAAAATTTAAGGTTGTATGTATTTTTTAATGCCACATGAAAAACGAAAATAAAAATTTTATTTAAAAAATAAAAAAAAAATTGGGGTGGACCAACCTTATAACTTGTAAAAAATACATAACAACCTATTTTCAGACCTACTGAATATATACCGGGCGCGTCTCAAAAGTGGCTCACCCCTATAACTTTTTTATTTTTTTTTCAGATAAAAAACGAGATATGGTATGTTAGTATAATATGACATAAATTAGGATTGATTGACGTATTCAATATTGTTTTCGGTCACTTTCTGTTTTACCGGAAATGACTACAACTTTTTATTTTTAAATGGCACCCTTGGTACTTTAATCGATAGAAAATGACACACTGAGGCTGTATTCCTTTGCAAAACCAGGCGAACCAGACCGGTAAACTACGGTAAAGAGCGGTTCCTGAAAAACATCGGTTTGATACGGAACGGTTTAGTAAAATATTGGAAACGTCAAAAATGTTGACGTTTTCTAAATTTCAATACATCTATTATAAAATTTATCTTTTATGCATTTTTAATGTACCTATTCTCTGCTTTTTCGTTTGCTTCTTCTTTTCAATGGAGTTTAATATTGAAAAGTGCTTTATTAATAAACTGTTAAACTCGTTAGACAGCTCAACTGAAGACTTGCAGGTCCAATATTAAAACAGATCAATAATAAATAAACAAATCTAATCAATATTTATATTTTTATAGCTATAGAACATTCACGATTACTTGTTGTCTTGTTTTTCATGTTCTCTTTAATGTTTCTGACTTTAAGAAACAATGGCTGCATGATAAGTTTAAATGGTCCTAAAAAGTAATTCTAGTTAGTTAATGAAATTTATTTACCTTTACTGCCTACCTCCATCGCTTTTGGATGTAAATACAAGATATTACTACAAATTTTAGAAATTAAATGAGAATTTCACTCGAACTTCCAATATTTGCTTGATTTATGTCACATAAATGACATTGATTGACAAATAAAACCAGCCTTATCGCGCTGGTGAGTTTGGTGACAGCAGCATATGTCAACTTTTAACTTTTGACATAATCAATTAACAAAAAGGGCATTTTAAATTTCAATTTAGAGTGCCCCGGACATAAATGTAACGACAATTTGACTAGAAATATCAAATGTGTGGTACCAAATTATTCGTAAAAAAATGCTTTTTCCAAATAATGAGCCATCCTCGTTCCATTTGAAAAAATGAGATATATAAAAAATACGATTTGGGCATCTTTTAACCGCCCAAGACGAGACACGAAAAAAATTAGAAAATCAAATCTATTTTTCCAAGGCCCATTGATTAAAAATTAGTGTTTTTAACACAGCCATGTCACTTTAGATTGCCATTTAAAATACGATTTTTTTAAGCGAGAATGTCAAAAGTTGTAGTCCTAATTTATGTCTATATACTAACATACCAAATCTCGATTTTTTTATTTAAGAAATTAAAAAAGTTATAGTGGTGAGCCGCTTTTGAGATGCACCCGGTCAAGCTGTTTCGGAGGAGTTTGGTAACTAAAACTCTGACACGAGAATTTTATATAGGTATTAGATATTTCTATACTTTATATACAGATACAACATAAAAAAATACTTTGATCTATATTTCTCATGGGCGTCGCCATAAAGGGGCAGTTGCCCTACCCTCCGTGGCTATCTGAGGCTATCTGATGCATAATTAATTTAATAGTTCAAGTATATACTGAAATGAACCAAAAATTTTAATACTAAAAGATAATAATTTTTATATATTATATCAATAGCAATCAAAAACGTTAATCTTGAGTGGAATTTAGCACATTGTCATTGATATTAAAAATAATACTTGACATGCTAAGAATGATAGACATAAAAAATGAAATTAAATGCATATTGTACTCAGGAACTTTTTTTAACCCATTGGTAGCAGCAAAAAACAACTATAAAAAAATAAGGTGAAAAGACAGATTTTGGTACCTACTTTGACATTTTTTACCTAACCCTAAACCAAAACCTAGCTACGCTTATGGTATTTCCAGTGATGTACAAGATACCTCCATAAAAAGTATCTGAAATACATACCTTGAATACATGTTACAAAATACTTCTAAAAGTATTTGAGATATCAGTTACAAAATAACTGAGCAAAATACTTTTGAAAAAGGTATTTGAAATACTATCTACATATATAAAATGCTAATATTTATCTGTGTCGTCTCTACTGAAGTAACGACTTGCTCTAGAAAGTTGCTTTTTTTACTAAAAGATAGCTAATTGGCTCTTCTAAAAACTGTCGTCGCCGGATTGCTTGTTTTTCATTTAATTTAAAAAAATATAGAAAGTATTTTTTTTCCTGATGTCGTGGCGCATGCGCCCGCAGATGCGCCAGGCTCTGGCCAGGCTTCAACTAGTAATATATAAAATACGTATTTTCTAAATACTATTAAAATGAAATACTTTTTGAAAGAAAACATTTTTAAGGCAACTATTTTTTAATTTTTAAAGTTATTTAGCTTTTTACATTAATAATAATTATGAACAAGAATCATGTAAATCTGAGAATATGTCTTCATTACTTAAATATCCCAGTGTTTCTAAAGCTGCCAGTAGACCCCATGTTGTCGCTACTGGTAACAGAGGAATCAGTCTTCTTAAAACATGCACCTAATAAGATTGGTCTTTTGTCTTTCATTTTACGTATTCTCCATTGTTGTTTAAAGTGTCTAATTTTTCTTTTTCATACCGATTAATAATACGCGTTTCAGTCAAAACAAGATCTTTGACATGTTCTTTAAATGACTTTGGCACTTTTTGGCATTTTTTGCTTTTCTTTAATCCATTCATTAATACCAGATAGATACAGAAGAACAAAAATGTGTTATGTTATTTATAAATATTATAATTTGTTCTATTTTAGGTTGAAATGTTAATAATAAATGATAATAAATACGGATATTTCATCACACCTAATAAGGATAGTATATTTGGTCCATATTATGACTGAATATCGAAAAGTAAAAAAAAATGTACAGGGTATCCCATTTTAGTTCAAATCATATCTCCGTTATTAGTAAAGATAGGAGGATGCGGTTTGCACAGACCTGTGCAACTTTTTTGTCAAACGGAAGATGCTGCCAACAAAATTTTCATAGCCCTCTTCGTTTCTGAGCTACAGGGTCATTTCGAAAATTTTGCAATTTGGGACAGCCCCCGTATCTCCGTTATTATGGATGATATTGAGAAGGTGAAAACGGATCTTGTAGAACTTTTTACGTAGAATACAGTGGCGTAGTCTGTTTATCTACGAAATAAATATTTTTGAAAATATATGTTTTTTCAAATGGAACACCCTGTATATTTATAAATTATATGATCCGCCTTGCTATGAGCAAATCAAATATATATATATATATATATATATATATATATATATATATATATATATATATATATATATATATATATATATATATATATATATATATATATATATCAATCATTCTATATTTATTTTTACTATTTACTGCAATATTTGAAATATATCATTTTCTTATTATAGGTAGGCCGTGAAAAATAACAAAAAATCAAAATGGTTTTTACTAAAATAGTCATATATTACATTACACATATTAAAATTTTATTTGGAATTGATATATTTTACTTTTCCACTGTTGCCACTGAATCTCTTAATATATTTTTCTTTTTTTTTATAACGGAATTTATTATAACGGGATGGATTTGCAAATATCTAAAAGCTTGCATTATTAAAGCATTTTTCAGGTGTTTGACATTGTGTTAGTTGCCACGATATATTTCATATTTCAAAAATCCCCAAAATCAGAAATCAAGAACGGACAAATCCGGGAATCAGGGAGGCCATCATATGGTTCCAATTCATTGATTTGAGAAATAATAATTTAACAAAATTCTAATATTTTCGTTGTAAGTTAAGTTGTGAGGGGAAGCCTTATCTTGCTGAAAGTTTATTTCACGTAAATTAGCTAAATGAATATTTAAAAGTTCCGATACGATAGCTTCGAAGATTTACAAATACCGGTAGAGAGTTAAGTCTCCCTAATATAAAAGAATTTATTAGTGGCTCTCAAAATAAAACAAGCGACAGATAGCAGTATACTTTTAATAATTCTTTAGTTTCTTTTATTATTAATCATAGCCTACTAATAAATATGATCTTTTAATATTTTTTTTTAAATATTGCAGTAAATAGTGAAAATAAATATAGATGAGTGATATATATTTTTGAGAAGCGTATGGCAAACCAGATCAGATAATTTATAAATATACAGGGTGTTCCATTTAAGAAAACACAACTTTATTTTATAATACTTTAGTTCATATCTTTAAAAATATTCTTTTCGTAGAATAACACACTACGCCACTGTATTCTACGTAAAAAGTTCTACAATAAACAGTTTTCGCCTTCTCGATACATTTAACAATAACATAGATACAGGGGGTGTCCCAAATTGCAAAATTTTTAAAAAGGCCCTGTCGATCAGAAACGAAGAGGGCTATGAACATTTTGTTTACGGCATCTTCCGTTTGACAAAAATGTGGCATAAGTATGTGCAAAGCGCACCCTTCTATCTTCACGAATAACGGAGATACCGTATGATTTTAACTAAAATGGGACACCCTGTATAGGTAATTATAATCATTAGTAGTAAAAGTATTTTAGGAAACTAAGTATTTATAAAATGCTAAGATACTAAAAAAATGTATTTAAAAACAAGATACCAGATGAAATTAAAAAAATATTTCAAATGTAAGATGAAAATACGTATTTTGTATCGTAATATCTGTATTTCCAATACTTATATCTGAATTAAGTCACATCTCTGGGTATTTCTGGTCTTATCAACATTTATAATTTTTTTAAATCGTACTAAAAAGTACTCAAGACACACATTTTTGATTGATATCTTTGTTTTAAAGGATATAAATATGATGGGAAAACACATTTCTAGATGATTCAGGTGAAATAATTCGTGTTCTAGTTTTGAAAATGAAGTTAACTGCTTTCGTTTTGTTGGCTCTGGCAGTGTCTGCTTTTGCAGAGATTCAGAGTGATGCAGTTTGGAGCAGTTTTAAGGTAAATAACTTGTTATTTCGTTTTATCTTTTTAACTAGTTTACGTTTGAGAATTTTAAGAAATTATAGGTAATTAGTTTCTACGTACTACACTGCAATTTTTTGATAAATAAAAATAAACATTGATTTAATTTTTATGTAGATATATTACTCAGTTTGGCCCAGTACTCTATAGTGAAGAGATTATTAAAATACAAATACGAGTAGGTAATCAAAGTACCGTATGATCGAAAAAAAAAAACGACTTCCAGTTGGCTGGCAAATGACGATCAATGACATTTCCCATATAAATTTACATTTAAAATGACAGCGATTTTTATTTCATAGCCATCGCCGACGCCGTTTTTTTCGATCATACGGGATTTGGCTCTAGCGTGCAATCCGCAAGTTTGAATTGCATGTCGTAGAGAGAGAAACTAATATACAGGGCGATTCAAAATAAGTGCAAATATTTTTAGAAGTAGTATATTTCGAACCCAGGATGGAAAGGATGAAAAATACTTTTTCAGGGCTGTTACGGAATTTTACATTATCGCCATTATAAGATTACCAACTACCAAATTTTAAGAAAAACGGATTACCACTGTTCTTAAAAATACAGAATGTATTATTTTTATTTACCTTTTTAGGGCTGTAACTCCATCGGAAAGCATTTTAGGGCGTATATTTATAATTACTTTTTGTTTTGTTTTTATCGAAATCAGATAAACTATTTTTTTGAGACCCTGTGTTGAGAAGAAACCATGTTGATTATTCTAAGAAAAAATAAACTGTTCGTTTAGCATATTTTATAAAATAAATTAAATGATTCTGTATAGAATCAATTTCTCACTCACGTTATTTTCTTGTATTTAGAGTCTTCATGGCAAAACCTATCAAAACCAAGTTGAAGAAACCAAACGTTATGCGATTTTCAAAGACAATCTTCGTCAGATTGAGGAACATAACGCCAAATTCGAACAAGGTTTGACAACTTACAAGCAAGGGATTAACAAATTCACTGACATGACAAAAGATGAGTTTGTTGCAATGCTTAATAGCCAACTTAGTTCTAAACCGATTAAGAGTGGTAACAGGACTCTATTTAAGTAAGTCACTCATTTAACTGTCTCTACTTTCTGTGTTTTATAAATCGCCAGTTATTGCCTGCAGTTTATCATCATAAAACAATGTTCCAAGTGCTGAATAATGTAATAAATTAATATTTCATCTTTCTAGGCTCAGATGTATCAAATTTTTATACAGTTTTTTATTCACAATTTTACTTTTTTTTATTATTATAATTAAGTCAGTTAACTGAATATATGTAAGGACTGCTCAGCAATCGTTCATCGGTACGTCATCACTATTTGTCAAATATGAGTTTTAGGGTGTGTCTGAGATCAGTTCATATTGTTTAGAAAATTTTAAGTACGTTTCTATATTATTGATTGAGAATTAAGGGTTCTGATTTTTTCGGCATTTATTCATTTTTTCTTTATTTCTTCATCAGTTCCGATCCCATTAATTCCAATCCTTTAGACTATTGAAATTCTTAATTCTATATTAATTCTATCAGCAACTCGCTATATTATTTAAAAATGCTATCAATTTCTATTTTACATAAGAATATTAGACCTTTGCATTGTACTTACTTCATATACGGTGTCCACGGGCAAGAGTGTTCTAGCAGCGTCTCTTTGTCGAGAAAAATAATTTATAAGCTTAGCAATGAGCTCTTGTTCATTTTGATTAAATCTTTGAGGCATTTTTGCAATAAAAAAATTTGAATTTTGTTTTGCAGCAACAATCAAATTTTAATTTTGACATTGATCGTTGTCCATCACATTAGCGTACCTAGCAATTCATTCTGGGGGGGCTGGGGCTGAGCCCAAGGGGGACCTTGGTCTTTTGTTTTTTAAACAATGAAGAATAATTTAAGAAACACATTTTTTGAATAAAACTTTTATTTGAATTTCTCTATCAATAAATTTCATAGGCTTGTTTATCAAACCGTGTTCCCGTAGATTACTTAAATACTTACACCTACCTAAATTTTCTAAAAAAAATAAAAATTAACACATTTTTTGAACACAACAAAATAATATTAACTAAACAAAACTAGAAAACGTCATTTTTACTACATCACAAGCAAATAAAAATTAATACGTAGCCAAGAGTCATAATTCAAGATTTCTCTGGGGGGTGCCAGTAATAGTCCTTGGGGGGGCGGCACCACGGGCACCCCTGTAGTTACGCCAATGGCCCGTCAATAAATTTATAATCCCAAATCAAATGACAATGATAATTACAAAAAGAACGTTTTGACATTGGTCGATGTCCGTCAATAAAATTATAACCCCAAATCAAATAACCATGACAATTACTAAAAAGAATATGCAGTAATTTACAAAATGTCGTAATGACATCACCAATCTCCTTCAAGTGGTTGGCAAGTGATTGAGAAAGTTTGACAATATACGACGTAACGTTGAACGATGTCTGAACATTCTATAGAATGGGCGATTGGCTTCTGAGAATATACCACAACAAAACTATCATACCTAGTTAAATTATGCACATATTTTATAAATCTGCAGGAAGACAGGAAGACATTTTCAAATGTGAATGATATACCGTATGATCAAAAAAATGGTGCCAAGTTGGCTTGGACATGAACATTGATGACATTCCCCATATAATTTTACATAATATAAAATGACAGCGATCTTCATTTGATAGCCATCGCTGACGCTGTTCTTTTGCGATAATATTGTATAAATCAGTTTACTTACTCTTATTTTATGGTAAAAAAATAATATTTATTTAAGGTCATCCGTTAAGGCACCGGAATCCATTGATTGGAGGGATAGCAACGTGGTTACACCTGTTAAGGATCAAGGTACTTGCGGATCATGCTGGGCTTTTTCTGCTGTAAGTAGACTAAATAAGAATATATACTGAGCCCAATCAAATTCAGCAAATCGGTGAAAAAAAATTTTTAAACGCTTTGTCTACACTTGGGTAGACATATATCAAAAGTCTCCGAGGGTAGGGGGTGAGCTCGAGGAGGGGGTGGGGTTAAAGGTACAATATTTCAGTTTTTCGCTTAAATCTCGAAAACGATATTCATAATTTATCAGAATTAAAGGTAACAAAATTTTCTACAAAAATGATCGTATTCACTTTTGTCGTAGGACTAATTGTAAGCGAGTTACAGGGTGGACAAAATAAACATGATTTAAAATAAATCTGCTTTATTTGCATTTAAAACCGTAGGACAATACATTACAAAAAAATATACTAGAAGCGGATGTATTTTAGGTGATAAGTTGGAGAGAGACGTAAGTTGAAGATGTTAGACCACCGGTAGTATAGTCAAACTTTTGTGTAGTCCTTAATATTAAACTTAAAAATCGGTAGTAGTTGTAGAATTTAAGTGAGCTCCCTCAATATAGTTTAATACTCTATATGCCAATTTTGTAAAAGTAAATCAATATAATAGTTAATGTATTTTCGGTGTTTCATTAACTTAGAATGAGTGTGGTGCCAGCCCATCACCGTAGGCAGTTGGTAGCTAAAGTTTAAAGAAATTTACGTGATAAGTCCCAGATATAAAAAACTAAAAGATGATTAAATATAGATTAATTAAATAAAACTTACAATAAATGAAGTATTTGTCCAACAGTTTATTAAAGGGTGTCAAGGGGATCTATCGAGTCATCCTGATCATCCTCATATGCTGAATTGTCATCTTCAACTCGAAAGCCGTTAGTGCACGCGCCCTCACAGTTACCATATATTGACGAGCATAGGATACCTGTTAAAGATTCAAGTTTTAAGTTAAATTATTTTCCTGTTGAATTTTACTTATACCATCAGTTAACATCAGAAAAAAAACTGATTTGCGGCACCCACAACGAGCCCCACAGCCTTTGGTGTAGCTGCAGAATATTGTTGAAAGAATGGCAGGTGGGGGTAGGTGGATTTAAAGTTGTCAAGGGTTGTAGATTTCCATCTGCTCCTTTTATCCAACCCCAATCAGTATAGGTTCCAGTTTGTTACCCAGCCATTCCTGAACTTATAATTAACCTAAATTATAAACTCAGTGTGAATGTTGCAGTGCAGAGCTTTTAGTTGGTGGTAGAGAGGGGAGGTCTGGCTTTACCCTTGTGGTGGATTTTAGGAATGCTGTATACCGCTGTTTGTCCAAGTCTGTAACTCTGCCTTTGTACATTTTTAGGAACATTTGTTCCCCGGCATTTGCCACTTCCTCAGGTGTTGAAGTCTTTACGTAAAATACGTTGGCGATTGAATGACATACACTGCAGAAACTCGACCTGATACAGCGAAAACTAAACAACTACTACGCAGAATAGCTGGAAAACCCTTCTGGACAGAGAGAGAAATGAAAGCATAAGAAGAGCGTGCAAGGTGGAAAAAATAAATGAGTGTGTACTTAGCAGAAAGGAAGAATGGAACGACCATATCAGCAGAATGGACAACAGAAGGATAGTGAGAGTTGCACGCGACAAATCACCACTAGGTCGCAGAAGCTTAGGACGTCCACGAAAACGATGGAGCGACAACTTGTCAGTCTAACCGGTAGAGGCGACGAAATCAAACAGGCGATTCGCCTAGTATGAAGAAGGAAGAAGAAGAAGAACGCGTTGGCGATTAATTGTAGTGTAATCCCTCATAAATAATTTAGCAATTGTTGACTTGTCCTTTCTTTGCAAAGTCAAGTTCCTGCAATTTCTTGGAGGAATAAGTTTTACTTTCCTCATTTCCCTTCCCAGCTTTAAAAAACTTTATCTCTCGTTCCTTTGGAGCTAAAGCGATCAGCAACACCAAAAGATCCACATCCTCGCCGATGACAACCGTTGAACAGCTACATTTTGCTTTTTCCATTACGACCCGTATAATTGTTGTATCTGCATCAGCATTAGCTTGTCTAACTTCTATCCCGTCTGCAGTCATTTTCAGAGATAACATTTATTTTTCAATTTTTATTACAAAAGCCCGTAGCTTGCTTACGGTTAGTTCTACGACAAAAGTGCATAGGATCATTTTTGTAGAAAATTTTGTTAGCTTTAATAGTTATAAATCATGAATATCGATAGGAGTGATCGTTTTCGCGATTTAAGCGGAAAACTGAAAAATTGTACCTTTAACCCCCACCCCCTCCTCGAGCTCACCCCCTACCCTCGGGGAGTTTTGATATATGTCTACCGAAGTGTAGAGAAAGCGTTTAAAAAAATCCAACTCTCTAGGAATTTTTTCCACCAATTGCCCTAATTTTGCATTATTTGACTGGGGTACTGCTCAGCCAACGAATATATGACAGTGACATTTGTTGTCTCTTGTTTTCATAAGAATTGCGTTGTCGAAATCATATATTCTCTCGTGGGAAAGGCTATATGCGAGGCTATATGTATAAGTATATCTTTTAGTTTTTTATACTAACATTCTGCAAAATAACTTTGTTTGTTAGACTGGAGCAACTGAAGCAGCGTATGCTTTGAAAAATGGAACCTTGGTATCTTTCTCAGAACAACAAATCGTCGACTGTACTAAAGTGAAACCCTATAAACAATTAGGTTGTTATGGAGGTGAGTTAACAACTCAAGATATTTACTATTCCTTTATGAATTTAAACACAGGATTCCCATAAATTTTCTATAACTTCATTATTCATTCCTTGTATTATTAGGTAATTGATGTTACTATTATATAAAATACTTCTAAAAATAAAAAGTTATATAATTTCATTGTAAGATAATAATGAATTATTTATTGCAGCAAACTAATATATTTATTTTTGAAGGATTAATGGAGGCAGCCTTTGATTACATAAAAGATTCTGGTATCCAGAGTGAAGAATCCTATCCATATGAAGGGGTTGATAATGATTGTCGCGCCACTGGAGAATACGTCACTAAAGTTACTGGGTATGTATAAAATGTGACGGTCGTATCAGCGGCAAATATGTCTGCTTGTTACCCAGTGAGCGTTTTATTACTTTAAGGGGAATGTGTTCTAGGTGACGTCGTTGTTACGTTACCAAATCCTTTTTGTGCCTTATAAATATCCTTTTCCTTATAAAATCCTTTTGTGCCATAAAACGCAGATACGTAACTGTTCCCTAATGTTCCCTAAATGTGACACAAATTTGCTCACTTTTGGTTGCCCTGGTACTTGTTAAGAACTCATGATACATAATCACAAGAATGGTCTATACAGGGTGTCCCATTTTCGTGTGTTTAACAGCTCTTCCGCTTATCTATGAGTAGAGATACAAAGATGCAGTTTTTACATTCCTGTATTACTTTTTTATTTATAAAATTAAAGATGGTACCCCTATAGCCCAATTTTATATTGGTACTAGTAGTACTTAGCTTTTGCGACTCTTCTCGTATCTCGGTTATGTAATAAAGCTTGATTTTCATGCATCCGTTATACGTTGATACGTTGGTCCGATGGTGCTCTGATTGGTCATTTTGCGCCACTTTTCACCCGTAAATATTTTACTTGAGCCCGTCAACGGACCCGTTCATACGACAACGGACGTTTTGACATTTTTTTAACAAATTTAATCTAATATTAATAAAAATATAAGTAAAATAGCAAAATCGTTATGGAAACGAAAATATAAAATGACACCAATGTATATCCGATAAACTTGACATGAAAATGCAATAAATTTAAAAACTGCGTTATTTTCTAACCAATCAAAGTCTTTAAATTCTACCAATAAAATTAATATCATATCAACGTATCGTCGGACAACGGATGCATGAAAATCAAGCTTTACACAAGTTTACAAATTTGGGTCAACTTTTGGACCCGAGCATATGAGAACGATTCTTAACGTTATTTGATGGGGGCGCTGAACTCAGATTATTCAGATCTTCAATCCGTTTGTCAAGATTGGCTCTAGTTTTCGAGTTCGCGCATGGCAGTAGCACTGCGCTCTAATAACGGCCCGGGTAGTTGACGCACGGTCAGTTGACGACGTTGATACCACTTGTAAACTCACAGGAAGTTTTACTGCCATCTCTTCACATTAAACTTGGCCTTATTAAGAACTTTGTCAAAGCGCTAAATCGCGAAGGATCGGCTTTCCAGTACTTAATCAAGTTGTTTCCAAACTGCCATACGCAAAAATCAAAGAAGGAATATTTGTCGGACGCTTGATGAGGCAGCAGCATGGGCATCGTTTCAAAGTGTTGTTCACAACTTTCGCGGTAATCATAAATCACCGGATTACAAGCAAGTAATCGAAAATTTGTTGCAAAATCACCACAAGATTGGAGCTCGAATGTCTCTCAAGATACATTTTCTGCATTCACATCTTGATTTTTTTCCACAAAACTTGGGCGACATGAGCGACGAGTAAGGAGAGCGGCTACACCAAGATATAGCGAAAATCGAAAGGCGATACCAAGGATTTTGGGAGGAAGGCATGATAGCGATTACTGTTGGGCCCTAATCCGTGAAAAAGATCCCAAGCAGTATAAAAGACTCAGTTCAACCTATGTTCATTTCTGATTTATATTGTTTAATTCAATAAATGACCGTTAACGGTCAAAAATAGTAAAATAATGAATTTATTAAATATTTTGAAAACTAGAACCAATCTTAAAAAATGGACTGCTGATTTGGACTCTGATTAAAAAATGGACTGCTGATTGGAAATTATCTTAGAAATTGCTTTTAGTTGCTCAGGTCCAAAACCGTGTATACTTGTGTAACTTATCGAAACGGTAAAAACAGAATTTTCACGCCGAGTTCGGTGTAACTAGCTAACTATACATATAGTTATTAACTAACTGCAGATAAAAATAAGTAAAAATCTTTGTATAAATGTATGTCCTAAAATGCTTACTTTCGGAAATACAGGGTTAAATTACAGTTTTATATTTATTGAAATTTTTTCCAAATAATTTCTGAAGTAATGTCAATAATTGGCTGAAAATGGGTGTTTGGGAGTTGTTTGACATGAGAAATTTGATTTTGTTGTCAATATGACTCCTATTTGTAGGGGGCGCCACCTACATGTGTTTTAACCTTTGTTTTAACTGTTTTGATGAGTAATAATTTTTTTTTTTCGTCCATACCTATATAAAACTACCGAAAGAAAAAATATACATTTCCGTGATTTTTTACGTAAAAAAATGTCTCTTGTTAAGAATTGCTACCATCAACCGTTCTCAAGATAATTAGAATGGAAATAGTTATCACATATTGACAAAAAATAAACATGTTGAGTAGATAGTTACTTCACTGAAATTATACATTTGGGTACTTTTTGCTTTTTTTTAAATTAAAACAATGACAAACAAGTTTCTGTTGAACTTTTGGCACGCAAACATTTCAAATTTATTATGATTTCAGTCTAATAACTATATTATGATCGGAAAAAAACGGCGTCATCGGCAGTAGTTTTATACAGATATGGATGAAAAGTTATTATTCTCCAAAACAGTTAAAACTCATGTAGGTGCCGCCCCCTACAAATAGGAGTCATATTGACATCAAATTCAAATTTCTCATTTCAAAAAACTCCCAAACACCAATTTTCATCCATATATTGAGGTTACTTCATAAATTATTTGGACAAAATCGAAATAAAAATGAAATTTCTACACCCTGTATCTCCGAAACTAAGCATTTTAGGACATACATTATTTATACGAACTTTTTTACTTATTTTTATCTGCAAAATATGCTGCCGAAGTTTTCGGAATACAGTTCGGACCACCCTGTATACTGGATGTTTTGTTGTTGTTTTATAAGTGATTTCGAGTAAAAACAACTTCACCCCATATTTTTACTCTTTTTTAGATACGTAGATGTTGCAGAATTCGAAGAAGGCGATCTCGTCACCGCTGTAGGCACAATTGGACCTATTTCTGTAGCAATCGATGCCTCGAACCTTTCCCCTTACGCTAGTGGCATCTACGATGGATCTTGCTCACCGTACACACTAGACCATGGCGTTTTAGCTGTGGGTTACGCCACAACTGAAGATGGACAAGACTATTGGTTGGTGAAGAATTCGTGGGGTTCTTCTTGGGGCGAAGAAGGATATTTCAAGTTGAAGAGGGGCGAAAATCACTGTGGCATCGCTGTTGAACCAAGCTATCCCACACTTTGATTCATTTTTCTAGATAATTATATTTAGATAGCAATAATATTATTCATTAGTTGTTTTATTTTAATTATTATCTAGATCCCAGAGAAATATATGTGACTACATTTTCTAGTTTTAACCATTATTTAGTATTACCAATAAGGTATTACCCTTGTTTATAATCAAGGGTAATTACTAATTTCTATACAAGGTGTTTTTATAAAAGTGCATACAGGGGGTCTCCTAAGAAGAGTCTAATAAAATTAGTGTAATTCTTCGTTTTTAACATGGGGTCTAAAGTAATTCCTTTCCGACTGCAGGGTGTTAAAAATTTAAAAAAACTGAACTGGTGAAAATAAATGGCACGCAACTGAATTTTTTTCGAAAAAAACACGATTTCCGATACTTTTTTAACCAAATTGATGTTTTTAGTTTTTCTTGTACATCAAATGGTTTTCAGTGGCAGTCGGTGCTGCCACCATCGGAGAATATTGTAAACAATCGTCATATAACAAATACACGGGATTAAATACAGGGTATGCGGAAAATCTGCCTCGAGGATTCTGGGGGAGGCAAAAATTCGCTTGCACCAACAACAAAAATAACGAGAAGCTGCCAAAGACCACACTCACTATATATTGCAACATACAATGCCAGAACACTGTCATCGGACGAAAAACTTCTAGAACTGGAGGAAGAACTTAAGAATATAAAATGGGACATACTGGGTATAAGTGAAGCCCGCAGAATAGGAGAGGGACAGGTTATTTTGAAGTCCGGAAATACATTATGCTACTCAGGTGAAGAAACTGCCATAAGAGGCGTTGGAATCCTAGTCCACAAAAAATACAAAGATATGATTGTAGATGTCAAAAACATAAGCCCACGAGTCATATGTTTAACAATCAAATTAAATAAAAAATACTCTGTAAAGGTTATTCAGGCATATGCACCAACTACCGAAAGTACAGATGACGAATTGGAGAACTTTTACGAAGATGTATCCACTGCTCTACAAAATGGAAAAACACACTATACAATGTTAATTGGAGATTTTAATGCCAAAGTTGGTAGCAAACAAGATGAAGCGGAAACTTCAGTCAGCTATCATGGATTGGGAAGCCGAAACGAAAGAGGTGATACACTGATAGATTTCGCACACCACAACAAATTATATACATGAACACCTTCTTCAAGAAAAGAAACAGCAAAAAGTGGACATGGACCAGTCCAGATAGCAAAACCAAAAATGCAATAGATTTCATAATCAGCGATAGAAAAGATGTAATCAAAGACGTAAGTGTATTAAACAGATTTTCGATAGGAAGCGATCACCGCATTGTAAGAGCCGAGATAAAAATGAATATAAAGAAGGAAAGAACTAACATGATACTCAAGAAAAACCACAAGAAATGGGTAGCCCCTGAAAGTAAAGATTCTTATAAGGAATGTATAGCCTCAAATCTAAATTATGAAAATACTACTACGATAGACGAAATATACGAAAACATCAAAGGGGCCACTCAAACGGCTATCGAAAAATGTTGTCCCAAAAAAGTAAAAGAACAAAAACTGAATCAAAGCACAAAACTTTTAATGAAACAGAGAAGAGATATGGAGGACAAGAGTACACAAGAATATAGAACTTTAAACAGAGATATATCCAAAGAAATCAGAAGCATAGGAGGCAACAGAATACGGAAAAAATTAGGAAAGTCATAGAGAAGAATCAAAGTTTGAAGATATTGAGAAATAGTACAATGGGAAGAAAAGAAATACAAAAGATCAAGGATATGCACGGCAACATAGTAACACACAAACAGGAAATCCTACACTCTATTAAACTTTTCTATCAAGAACTTTACACATCAAAACAGCAGGGGATCAGAACCGACATCCGAAAGGTAATAAATCAGGGGTCGGAAGAAATTCCAGAAATAACCGAGGAAGAAATTATCAGTGCCCTTAGAGATATGAAAAACAATAGAGCTGCCGGCGACGATGGACTGGTAATAGAGTCAATCCAAGAAGGAGGACCAGAAATCATCAAAGCTTTAAATGTCCTATTTAATAAATGCATTGAAGAAGAAATAACCCCATCACAGTGGAACAACGCAACCATCATTATTGTACACAAGAAAGGTGACGTTACAGACCTTAAAAACTATAGGCCCATCAGCCTTCTTAGCCACGTATACAAATTATTTACTAAAATACTCACCAAGCGTTTGACAAATAAAATAGACTTTTTTCTTTCGAGCGAACAAGCAGGTTTCCGATCAGGTTACGGAACAAATGACCATCTTCTAACAGTCAAGGTCCTTATCGAGAAATGCATTGAGTATAATAGACCACTAATGCTTGTCTTCGTGGATTTCGAGAAGGCCTTCGATTCGGTAGACCAGCGGAAGCTTCTAGAGACACTAAGTGAGAGTCGCATCGATCATCGATACTCCTCAATCATAAGACATATATATGATAATGCCACGGCAAACGTCAGAATATCGACAAATCAATGCACAGATAAATTCAATATCGATCGAGGGGTAAGACAAGGCGACACACTGTCCCCTAAACTATTCGTTGCTGTGCTAGAAAGTATGCTAAAAATGATAAACTGGGATTCAACAGGAATTAACATCGATGGCAAATTGATAAATCATCTCTGTTTTGCAGATGACATTATTTTAATAACAGACAACATACAGGAGGCACAGAATATGCTGGATATGCTGAATGATGCTTCGGAAAAAGTCGGTTTGAAAATTAACTTGTCAAAGACACAATACATGACAAACCTAGTACTAAGTGGAAATTTAAACATTAATAACATACCTTTGGAACAAGTGCATATATATAAATACTTAGGGCATGAGATCGGTATTAGAAGGGATAATCAGACCCACGAAATTCTACGAAGAATAGGTTTGTCGTGGGCGGCATTTGGCAAACTAAGGCATATACTGAGATCTGATATTCCCATATGTTTAAGAAGAAAGATCTTTAACCAGTGTGTCTTGCTTGTCCTCATAGAATACAGGTCATGCAACGGAAAATGGAAAGGTCTATGTTGGGAGTTACACTCAGAGATAAAATACCCAATCATACAATACGAAATCGAACAGGAGTAAGAGATGCGGTGATATTTGTCTTACATCTTAAATGGAATTGGGCAGGACATGTGGCTAGGATGACAGATGGACGGTGGACAAAGAGACTTGTGGAATGGAGACCGAGACACGAGGCCTATAGAAGCAGAGGACGACCTCCTAGTCGATGGACAGATGACATTAAGAGGGTGGCTGGAAACTGGATTCAAGTGGCACAAAATAGAAGGAAATGGCTAGAGGGCTTTGGCACACAGAACGCGATCTGTCGCGGCGGGCAACTTTCGCGCGATCTTCGCTGCGGTAAAGCGATCTATAACGCCACACAGGATGCGATATTTTTCTGCAGTCGGACGTGCCTGTCATAGAAAATAACCTAACGTGCCTGTGTTTGCAATGTCTAGCTCTGACGAGGAAGAAATTCTTCTTCTCTTTGCTCTACTAAAAAAGAAAAAGAAAAAACGTTACTGGGTACATCCCATCAATAAAAAGAGGGCCCAATTTGGCGAATACCACCGCCTCTGTATTGAACTACAGTCTCATGAAGACAAGTTTTTTCAATATTTCCGCATGTCGAGATTGTGTTTTGAAGAATTGCATGACCTTTTAAAGGCAAATATTGCTAAGTGCACCACGAACTGGAGAAAACCAATTCATACAAGAGAAAGATTAGCTATTTGTTTGAGGTAATTAAAAGTCATAGACACTTTATGTGAAATTTACAAATAAACTATAATTAATATATTAATATACAAACATTTATAGTGTTTAAACTTGACCAAAATGGCGTAGAAACGTCAAAATCAACATTGAAATTCAAATGTTTAAAATAATAACATTTAGAGTAAATTTATTTATATCTAGGTTACATTAAGGTAAATATCTCTGGAATTTTCAATCATGTCGCTTGCTTCTTCATAAACATCTTTTGTTGAAAAAAAGATTTGATTGGCATGACGATCTTTCGCTATATATTTGTGTTTGAGTATTGGGGTCCAAATGTTGCGATGTCCCGCAATAGTTGTGGTCCAAATAATGTAAAGAATTGACCGAAGAAGCTCGAGAATGTGATGCTGATGCCTCTATCGCTGGTGGTGATTGGGCTTCTAGCTCTTTAATTTCAGTTTCTGCAAATAATTTGGCAAGCTCTACCTTCAACTTGGCCTGAGTCAATGGACTGAATTTTTTGAAGGTCGCAGCATAACTCAAAAATAAATGATCAACATCATCGATGCCCTGTTTGCTTCTTTTGTTTGACAAGAAGTCAATGACTTTATCGACGTCATCTGAGCCGTTTTCTATTGATGGGTGACTACGGGACTTATTTTTTTTTTCTTTTGGTCGGGCTGGTGTTCGTAAAGGTGTTGAAGATCGTTCGCGAGATGCATTTGTTTCTTGGGTATCATCAGACATCAACAAATTCTCTGCTTCAGAGAACTGACTATCTTCAGTTTCTGATAAGATTTCTGTTGGTACATTGCTACTATGCAAACGTGGTTTAAGAGTATAATCCAAAAATTTCATATGGATACTCCAAGGCCACTTATGGTATTTCTTGGCCTGACCAGTTTTACCCGTTGTAAACTTCTTGTATCTCACGTAGGAATCACGTAAATTCTTCCATTTTTGTTTTGCTGATTCAGCTGAAACAGAAATAAATCAATTAGATAAAGTACTTAGACCTCTTTAAAATATTCTAAATCACTTTAAATTATTGTATTTTATTTAAATTTTGCATTTGAAACAGTAGAAGTTAATTAACATCAATGTTTAAAAAAAAACATTCACTTCATACATTAACATCAATGAAATAATTACATCATGATGTTAAAGATATGTATTTTTCTTTTTCAGATATTTGGCGACCGGCGACAGCCATCAGACTATAGCTTTTTCTTATCGGGTAGGACGATCAACTGTTTCCAAAATTGTGAGAAATGTCTGTCAAGAAATTTGGAAAACTCTACAGCCAAAGTATTTGCCATCACCCAACAGAAAAATGTGGTTACAATCTGTTGAGGATTTCTTGGTACTTTGGGGCTTCCCGAACTGTCTTGGAAGTATAGACGGAAAACATATTAAGCTAAAATGTCCTCGTCGTAGTGGCTCAGCTTATTTTTGTTACAAAAATTATTTCTCCATAGTACTCCTTGCTATCGTAGACCCACATTACAAGTTTATGGTAGTGGACATTGGCAATTATGGGCGTCATAGCGATAGCGCTATCTTTGAAAATTCAGCTTTCTATCAACAATATATTGATAATAAAACTATTTTACCTCCAAGACCACTTCCAGGAAGAGACGACCCAGTACCACATGTATTTGTAGGTGACGAAGGATTTGCCCTGCAAACTTATTTGATGAGACCATACCCAAAAACTGGAATCATTAATGACACAAGAAGAAAAAAATTTAATTCACAGCTCAGCCGAGCACGTCGTGTAGTCGAAAATGCATTCGGCATATTGGCTATGAAGTGGCGAGTTTTCTTAAGAGCCATAGAAACAGATGCTGCAACGGCTGACTGGATTGTAAAAGCAGCATGCTGCCTACACAACTATATTATTACAAAAAACAATACTAAAGAATATGTAGATATGGAAACAGAGGAACAAGATGAACCAATACGAGCGCTACTAAACACAAGACCGACCAACAGAAGATCGAATACTGCTGCGTTTGAAGTACGAGAAAAATTCGCCGATTACTTCAGCAGTTTATAAACCATGTATCTTTATTTATTTTATTTTAATATTATCATATTGTATTTTTTAATTTATAAATAAAATGTACTCACCAGTCATGTTGAGAGTTTTTGCTATTTCGTTCCATGCTTCACTTTTCTTCAACATATTCTTATAATGTTCATGTGTAGTGTCATACAAAAACACATAGCTTCTCACAGTTTCTATAAATATTTCATTATTTTCCGACATTTTTAATTTCATTGATGGATGTAAACATAGAAAATAACCAAGATGTAAATATAATATATATCGCGCGATAATTTGTAAATTTGTACAAGTGTATCGCTTGTCGTCGCGATCTAACCTTGCCCGCCGCGGTAGACCGCTTTCAGTGTGCCCATCCTCGTACATTTTTGTGTAATACAAAATTGCTGCGGTCAAATATCGCTGCCCGCCGCGACAGATCGCGTTCTGTGTGCCAAAGCCTTAAGAGGCTTTTGTTCAGCAGTGGACGGTATAAGCTAAATGATGATGATGATGATGATACGGAAAGAAGTTGATATAATTATTCCAAGTGTTAGGAAGTATATTTTGTGAAAATTCTAAAAAAAATAAAAAGAAATATTTTAGTATATCTTCAGAAAGTCTAACTTGTATTATAGTCAATAAAACTTTTTAGACGAGTTCAGCTACGGTAGGTAGCATAGTTTTAGGCATCGGTTTTGCTAGTAGGGACATAATTTGGGCTATAACATTTTTTGAAGGTAGGTACATAATTAGAATTTTAGAAGATATGTATTCATAAAAAATTTAAGCGCTAGTTGAATGTCTATTTATTTTTTTGATTCTGTAATGGGAACTTTGTTTCCTCAGTGTGAGAACCTATAAAATGTTTCGGGAGAGTTGAATATCCGGAAAATTGAGTTATTGAATATTATAGCACCCAAAAACCATGTGATTACCCCCTCCTGTACGCGTTAACATTTTTTCGGCAATTTGATTACCATTTGAAATTGTCGAAGATGTCACAAGTTTTCAATGAATTAATATCTTGTGATATCACTTTTGTTTTACTAATTTTAAATTAGATAAAAATCAATAAAACATCAGCAAAAACTTTTAAGTATTTTTCGAGGGGAAAACCGCTGACCTAAATTTTGTACACCAACTTCCCTTTTATGCAAAAACTTCCTCATACATCCCTGATACTTCCTTTACATCCTTGTTACTTCCTCCTACCCCTTTTAATACTTTCTACATCGTCAATACTTCTTCATATTTCCTCATACATCCTCAATATATATCCCCGTACATCCTTAATACTTCCCCGTACTTCCTTAATACTTCCCCGTTAAACCAAGGTATGTAATTCAAAATATATCTCTATTAATCCACTTTAGAATCGGCTACCAAAAACAGCCAGAGTTATAAAAAAGCCGTAATAAATGATAGCGGAAATTTAATTGTTTACAGGCGTTGAAATAATATAACGAATAATATACAGGGTGGTCCAAATTGTATTCCGGAAACTTTGACAGCATATTCCGCAGAAAAAAATTAGTAAAAAAGTTCGTATAAATGTATGCCCCAAAATGTTTAGTTAGTGTTTAATAATAATAAAACGAATATATTGAATCAAATTCAAAAACATAAAACAAAAATAAACTCGAATAAAAATATGTAATCCAATATGCCCCCAAATCGTTGTTTGCATATTTCTGTAAAAACTGTAATTTGTACTTTTTATTTCACTAGATTATCAGTTATCCTACCTATACAGGGTCCGGCAATAGTGCGTCGAGCATCTGTAGCTCCAATAATAAAAAAAGTTAGGAATTTTGTTTAAGGACAAACTTAAACTAGGTATTAGGATGTATTACAGGAATATTTTAACTTCTACAGGGTGGCTCAAAAAAGTGATGAGTAAGTCAAGATGACTCTTTTTAAGAGGAACACCCTGTATATTATTGCATTTTTTGGCTTCCTTTTTAATCACTTTATATGCAGTCTAGTAAAATGATCAGAAAGGGAGTTAAAATTCAATAATATACAGGGTGTTGCATTAAAAAAAACACCCCAATCCCGATTAATATTTAAAATTTGATCCACCCACATCAGCTCGAAATTTATTACAGAAGTCGTTTCGACATCATTTTCGTCAACTGACTCGTCGAAAATAAGGTTTCAAAAGTCGCGTATCGCCATCTGAAGAGATACCTAATATTTTTATTCCATATCAATTAGCTCCCTGCTCTAAATATTTCCATCTTTGTAAAACGTCTCTGTATGTAAAAGTATTATCCATACAATATACTGGCAAACAATAAGCTGGCGCTTTGTGAGATTCCTAAAATACTCACTTTCAAAACAAAAATATCGAAGACAAACGCGAGAGAATTGCTGCCTAGTATAGCGTAGACAAAAAAATGTATTATTTAAATACCAACTTAAAGCAGTTCTAAGCTCAAGTAGGCATCAGATTCTATGATCAACTATATTCTATATAAGGAAATCCTTCTGTTTTTCTTTTTAATTTCTAATAATTCTCTTGAACTTTACCGGACTTCCTTCATACTTCCTCAATACTTCCCCGATATTTCCTCGTACTTCCTAACCTTCCTCTATACTTCCCCTACTTCTTCCATACTTCCTCGCATACTTCCCCCTTTTTGTACACCAACTTCCTCAGCGGTTTCCCCCTCGGTATTTTTATTAAACACAATTACAAAATATAAGTAGAATAACCGGAAGTGTTATTACTTCTATTTTCTGCATATTGGATATAGTCCATATTCTTGCTCAATTTCAATAAGTTCATCCTCGACGCCCAACAGTTAAAATACAAAAGAATTACTTCGTTTTTTTTTGCATTATTTTATTAAGGTGTGAGTGAAGCCAAACTCATTAATAAAAACTAGGTAACTCAATTATATTAAACTTTTGTATATATATCATGGGCGCCGGAAGAATGAAATTTAGGGGGGGGGCAAGGTAAAAATGAATAAAAAATTGACATTTTTGGTAATTATTGGGAAAACTGGAAATCGTCCGATTTTCACCAAAATTGGTATACACCCTATTTTGAAGTCGTAGATTACGTATCTGAACTTTTTTCTTGGCGGTCTCTTACCGTTTTTCAGAAAAACGGAAAATAATTTCAATATCGAATTTTTCTTAATTTCTCATATTTTTAAGGTTTTCTAGCACATATTTTATTAGGTATTCAATAATCAATAATGTTTTTGCTATTTTCTGTTACTTTTTTAACCAATTCTATGCATAATAGAGGAAAATTTGCTAAAATAAATTTGTAAACAATCTGAAAATGTTAGATTATAGCTTTTTTCGGGTTCTTGTTATTACCGATTCTGAACCGTCCAAGAACTCTGCAGCGCATGCGCAAATGAAATAATGTCTTCGTATTTCCTTCTGGGCGTACGCATCACAGTTCTAGGACGGTTCAGAATCGGTAAAAAGAAACCCCGGAAGTAAGTTTATGTTTCTGGCATTTAAAGCAACGTTGTCAATGCTAAACCTAAATTTAGCGTGTTTTTCGCTCATTCTGGAATTACGAAGGCGGTCGCCAGAAGAACGGCTCCTTCCCATAACTGCTATTTTACCAACGAGATCTGACTATTTATACCCACGAAGTTGCACGAAAGAGTTTTGATTGCATTGGTTACAACTTCCATGCAGAGGGTGTTAATCTTTTGTTGTTATATTATTAGATTAACTAAAAAAGATTAACCCCCTCCGCAAAGAAGTTAAAACCAATGCAATCAAAACTCTTCCGCGTAATTTTGTGGATATAAGTGTATATTTAATTATTGTCGATCTCATAATAGGTAATTTATTTAAAATCCCTAATCACCCGAAAAAATAGAAGATATGGCAACGTTGTAAATTTTCAAATTTCTAGATTTGGTCTAGAATATATTTGTCTCTCTTATTACATAGGAGAGAGAAAGAAGGATATATCAAATGTCAAACTTCCATCTGGTCTCAATTTTCTTTGCTATTTTGTTAAGAAAAGTGTTTTTCAGTAAAATGTTGGACACTTTTCTATCCCCAATCAGGTGTGGCTTTTAGATAAACTATAATATAATGAAAATATAGTGAAATTATTACTTTATAGGGCCGAAATAAAGAAAAATTCAATGTTGAAATAATTTTCCGTTTTTCTGAAAAACGATAAGAGACCGACAAGAAAACAATAGATTCGTAATCTACGACCTCAAAATAGTGTGTATACCAATTTTGGTGAAAATCGGACGATTTCCAGTTTTTCCAAAAATTACCACATTTTTTATTATTTGACAGGAAACACCTAACAATTTCATAATAATGATTATTTTTTTTACAGATGGATGTAAGAAGATAGCTTTTATTTTTATTGTTTCAATGATCCAGGGGGGGGGCAAATGCCCCCTCTTGCCCCCCCTGTCCGGCGCCCATGATATATATGTATAAACTGAAGCTTTTAAAACTTCAAGACATGTAGATTAATTTTTTGTTGAATTTCACACTACACCGTTTTTTCGTAGGCACAGACCCAGGGAAAGATAAAACAAAATACCGTATGATCGAATAAAAACGGCGTCAGCGTTGGCTATGGAATGAAGATCGCTGTCATTTTATATGTAAAATTATATGGGCAATGTCATCGATCGTCATTTCCAAGCCAACTGGACGCCGTTTTTTTTCGATCATACGGTACTTGACTGACTGACTGAGAAACTAATTATTAAAATCGTGGGTTTTTTGTCATTTAACGATCATTTTTTTAAGCGGAGTTTGTTGTAAATATACATATAAATTAATACCTTGTGCTATCCCTTTTGTTTCCTATTTTCAAGCATTTTTGGACGTACTATTCACCTATTTTACTACTTTTAAATTGGAGAAAAAATCAATAAAACTTCAGGAAAAACTTTTAAGTATTTTTATTAAACACAATTACAAAATATAAGTAGAATAACCGGAAGTGTTATTACTTCTATTTTCTGCATAAACATGTTTTCTGTCTTTCTTTCAAAATAATAATGAGCGAAAACTAGTGCTAATAAATTACAAAAAAGCGAAAAAAAAATTAGAAAAAAATGGTCCATATTCTTGCTCAATTCCAATAAGTCCATCCTCTACGCCCAACAGTTAAAATGCAAAAGAATTACTTCGTTTTTTTTGTATTATTTTATTAAGGTGTGAGTGAAGCCAAACTCATTAATAATAAAAACTAACTCAATTATATTAAACTTTTGTATATATAAACTGAAGCTTTTAAAACTTCAAGACATGTAGATTAATTTTTTGTTGAATTTCACATTACACCTTTTTTTCCTACGCACAGACCCAGAAAAAGATAAAACAAAATACTTGACTGACTGACTGAGAAACTAACTATTAAAATCGTGGGTTTTGTGTCATTTAAAGATCAGTTTTTTAAAGTGGTTTTAAATATACATATAAATTAATTTAAAGTTTAGTTTAAAAATGGTCGTCTGACCATTCCATGTTCTCCTGCGAATTCTGTTTGTTCTGTTGCTGTTCCTTCTGTTCTGAACTGTTCTCATCGCCGGCCTGTTTCTTATCGTCTTTAGGGGGCGACGGGGCCTTCGGCGGAGGCCTGCTCAAGATGGAATTCGCCGCGTTTTCGAAGTTGGACTTTTCCTGTCGTATTTGGGCTACAGTAATTGGGACAGGGAGGTGTTTGGGCGTGTTGTGCAGGTTGGCTCTCGCCTGTTCCAGCCATTTGAAAGCGTCCTGATACGCGTGGTTCACTTTGTTTACGTCTTCGTCGGTGAGGTGGGCGTATTTGGGATCATTATTTCTAGAAAAAAAGTTAATTTTTACAAGATTTGGCAAATTTTTACTGTAAGACTCCAGGGACGCCAGACATTACTTATTTTCTCACAAATAAAATATATGAGATAAAGTAGTATTTGTACAGGGTGGCGCCTCTTATACGCCGAACTCCAAGGAGAACGGTAGTTTATATCGAAATGAAATTTTGGCAGCATATGTAAGTTAACTGAAAGCATTTTATAAAAATACATAGAATTATAGAGGGCGTCCCCAAAAAAAGTTACACATCAAAGTTGTGTTTTTTCTAATGGAACACCCTATATATTAATTGATTTTCGGATTCTAGGAAAAAAAATAAGGTGAGTTTTATTAAAGAAGCATATACCTAAAATCAGGATTTTGGCAAATTTCACATTTTGTGAAAATGAAGAGTAATTTTAAATTTCGATAACAGCTACCGAAATTTTAGTTGACCTTGTATAGCTTGATATTTAATTACAGTAACCATTGTAGGTTTAACTAAATTGAAATTGGACCAGAAAAGTTATATAGGGTGAGACAAAATTAATATGGAACATTAGTCACTTTTAAAAACAAGTTACTCCTTTATTTTAAATGGAACACCCAGTATATTTTTCGGTGTTCAATGGAGAATGTATATATCTTCAAAATATTATTAAGGTTGCCTACCCCTCAGACAAAGATTTTCCTAGATATTTTAAATTTTATGATTTTGCGTCAGTAGATCTTTATTATTTGAAAAAATACCTATTATTATTGTAAAATACTCAACGGTAATAAAAAGATACACGTTTAAAACATATTTTAATTATTACAGAATTAAAACTCGATATAAACCTATAATTATGCGACAAAAATTAGCAAGATGAAATCAAATGTTCAAAGTGCTTCCTTTTCTGTTAACTGCATAAAATGATTGTCTTTTTAAAAGGATCTTTTCATTTTAAAAGGCATATGTGGAGTTCTACCTCAAAAAGCAGCTACAATAATTTCTGTCATGTTGTCGACAATAGTTGGTAATTCTCCCTGTGAGTTCAACTATGGTAGCGAGCATAGTTCGGTCACCGGTTTTGCTAGTGGGGCATAACAAAACTCACTTTTATTTTTTTCCGAGAATCCAAAAATCAATTAATATATAGGGCGTTTCATTACAAAAAACACAACTTTGATATGTAACTTTTTTTGGGGACACCCTGTAGAACTCCTATTTTTTTAAAAAAGTGCTCTGAATTAACCTGAGCATATGTGCTCACAAAATTTCATTTCAATACAAAATGTCATTCTCCTCGGAGCCTCCGCGGCGTATGAGAGGCGTCACCCTGTATATGCATTGAGTGTAAGCATATCTATAAAAAAGCGATACCAATTAAACTTTAAGTGACGTAATCAGGACGCGATTTTTAAATTCATTGTTGCCAACCATCCAAAAACATTCAGCGCCGGGCTGACTAACTGGAATTTAAATTTCCCGCTGCGGATTCAGGTGGTAGCGTTCACCGCTTCGGATTCAAGTTGCCACATTTATTTATTTACTTCCTGACATTGTCATTCATTTTGACACTTTAGTTTTGTATTACAAGTTTTTGGTTGAAATAAATTGTGTTGTGATACAAATTTTTACTAGCAGACCTGGCAGTCGAACGCCGTTCTTTTTAGAACCTCTTTTAGTGCAAAGTGTACAAGTTCGCTTAATAGCCGTTGCAAAAAACTCATCGCAACTTTATTAGAATATTTTGAACGGGAAAGCGGTAGTAATGGACCTTTATGCCCCTTAAATGCTGTTACAGAGGTGAGTTTTGTTGATATACATTTCCTAAAATATTTTGATTAAAAGAAAATATGTAAAAGTGGACAACTCTGTGCCGGTCAAGCTTAATCGTTGACTAAAGTTTATTTGGTATGAACTATATAAGATTTTGTGATTACTCGGGATAATCTTTGAAGTACTTACTTAATAAGTTCTAAAGCTTTGGAGCACAGCTGCAAAGACCTTGAAAAGTTTTCTAGTACGCTCGGCCTAACTTCGAATTCGATTTTTCGTTGTTGGACAGGTTCGCCTCTTGATTTTAATTCAGATAATTTATCAATGTAAACCTGTAAGAAAAAAATGTCATGCCTAATAAAATAAGTCACAAATAAATAGTATATAATAGTTTTATTAGAAGTAAAAATGATACTTTTTGTGACGAGGCTGTACGTTTGACACAACAGGCGAGGAACATAGAGGTAAACTCTGCGCAATTAACTTATTTTGATTAAAAAAACACGCATAGAATGTTCAGCCATCGTTCAACGTCACGTCATATATTGTCTAACTCTCTCAGTCACTTGCCAACCAGATGAAAAAGATTGGTGACGGCATTACGGCATTTCGTAAATTTTTATACTCTTTTTTTTTCTCAGGTAAAATTTCGACAGACGGTGACAGAAGAAAAGCAGATGACGTCCCATACAAATCTATTTATTTTAGTAAAAAATGTTTCTAATATTTTTTAAGTTAACTATGGATGGGTTTGACTATGGACGTTGTTTTTAAGTTTTATTGGTTTATTCCAAAAATGACAGATCATGTTTCAATTTTATTGGTTTGACGGAACGATAAACGACAAACGGACACCGATGCGTATGAACACGGCTTTAGATTTATGATGCTTGTCAAAGTCTTGCCAAATTATAGGTTATAATTTTGTGTCAACTTATGTCAAATATCTGCGTTTTGGAAGATGATGCATTTTGATTCGTGTTATTATGTGTGTTTTGTGTCTTTTGAAGTCAAGTGGAGGAAAAATCGAGGGAAAATTAACTGTAGACCCAGAGCACAGTTTATAGTTAATACTTGCTGCCCAGGCAGAAAGTCTTATACACCAATAAAGTTACCATCAATAAAGTGTGTATACCATCTAGTCATAGACAAGTGCATTTCGTATATGGTACAAGGATCGTACTAAACATATATTACTGGAGTAGCTGTAAAATATCGACATCACACGATAGGTAACTAATGGATTTTAGTACTGCAGAAAAATAACGTCAAAAGGACTCGTTTGTTTATTCCTGTGGAATATTACAAATTTTTATTTGTACATAAGTTATATTGATAACTATAATAATAAATGCGGAAAGTCTCTTGAAGCTTGACAGTAAGAAATAGTTCTTTTTTGTGTTTTTTTTTGGTATGTGGTGTTTTGTTCTTGTTTGTTTTGTATTAACACATACCGTTTTTTTTAATAAAATAACTCCATTACATTTTTTCAGTTTTATACAGTTTTTTTCACAATATTTTGAAGTAATCACTTATCAGTCAAATTTTAAATATTAATTTCCATGCGTTCCAGTTATACCAACTTATTTCTTTGTAAAATAAAATAAACTACTTTGAAATTAAAATGACAGACACATCTATCACTGTCAAGGATCTTGTCGTTGGACAGACTATACTGCATATTGTTTTTAGTAATTGTCATTGTCATTTGGTTTGGGGTTATAGTTTTACTGACGGACATTCATAAACGTCAAAATTAAAAATCGATTCTTGCTGTCAAACAAAATTCAATTTTTTTATTGCAAAATACCTCAAAGATTTAACCAAAATGAACAAGAGCTTATTGCTAAGCTTATCAATTATTTTTGTCGAGAAAGAGACGCTGGTAAAACACTCTTGCCCGTGGACGCCGTATATGAAGTAAGTACAATGCAGAGGTGTAATATTCCTATGTAAAATACAAATTGATGGCGTTTTAAAATAATATAGCGATTTGCTGATGCTTTAGAAATAGGAATTTCAACAGTCTAAAGGATTGGAATTAAAGGGATCGTAACAAATGAAGAGTTCAATAAAAAAACGAATAAATGCAGAAGAAAACAGAACTTGCTCAATCAATAATATAGGCTTGGTGCATTTCAGTTGATTTCAACAAATTCCGACTGCAGCGCACTCTACGGCAAAAATCAGAAATTACCAATTAATAGTTCACGCCGCCGCGTCATGTCGATCGCATTAAAATAATATTGAAATCGGGCTTTTGTCGTAATATTTAAGTATTTTAGTTTTTTGCTAGTGCAGTTATTGAGACTAACTAATTAACACTCAGGTACGAGGTTTGTGTGATGTAATGCTGTTTCGGGTAGTAAAAATAAGTGAAAAAGAATTCGAACTAGGCTTCTTATTGTGTTGTGACAATTTCAAATGTTAATAAAATTGACCAAAAAATGTTAACGCGTAAAGGAAAGCGTAATTAAGGTGTTGTTGGGTGCAATAACATTCAATAACTCAACTTTCCAGGATGTTCAACTCTCCCGAAACAACATTTTATAGCTTCATAGTTTCTCACACCGATTTGATCAAAAGCAAAAACGGATTCAAGCAGTTCAACGAAACAAGTGAGTAAACAAAGTGCTCGTTACATAATCAAAAAATTAAATAGATAGATAGAATTTCCACAAATTATACTTTCTAATACTTTTAGAATAATTATACACTAATTTTTTCGTTTACTCGCCATTTAAACCCGTTTATTTGTATGTGTTCGTTATTTACGATATTGTCGGAGGGTGGCAGCACCGGCGGAGAATGCACCAAGCCTATAGGAACGTACTTTAAATTTGCTAAATATGAACTGACCTCAGAGACACCAAGAAACTTATATTTCATAAATAATGATGACATATCGGTAAACAATGGCTGAACAGTCTTTAGTTGTTCTATGTTCACGGAATATTGAAACTCCCTGTATATTATGTAGGCCCGCGCTTGAAAAAAAAAAATATCAAAAGGTATTTTTCTCAAAAACTATGCGACGTAATGTTTTTTTTACAAGATACAAAAAATTGTAGTAAATATTAGAAGAATTATTTTACAAAAAAAATTGATAAAAAAATTGAATGGTTATATATTAAAAAAATATAAAAATCATACCTGTTTGTTACAATCCTCTCCGTCTTCGTACAACCAATTCTCCATATCGTCCAACAACCTAACAAGTTGCTCCCTGTCAGCCTCCAACAAATACTGACCCAATTCCTCTTCCGAGGAGACTTTGTTCCTTAAATCGTAGACATACTCCTCCAAAGCGTTCCTTGAATCCGCACGTTCCTTTTCCTGCTTGTCCGAGGCGATCATTTTAAATTCCTGCTCGGTGAATTTGTTGATTTCTACGTTGGAGAAACCGGAAGTGAGAGCTTCGATCGGTAAATCCACGCTCTTGACTAGTTTTTTCTTTTTCTCTTTGTCTCCCTCCTGTCAATGAAGGATAATAATGCAATAATTTACTTAAAATATTACAAACAGAAACTTTTACCGAGTATGAACATTAAAATATTTTGTTTATCACTCTGAAGAGATGTTTAACTTAATAAGATAGATAACCTTAGCAGCTGGTAAATTACAAAAAAAAATATATATTTCATATCAATTAAACTTCTAGTTACGTAATCTAGGGCGCGATTTTTAAATTCATTGTTGCCAACCATGGATATATTCGGCGCCGTACTGACTAACTGGAATTTAAATTTCGCGATGGAGATTCAGGTGGTAGCTCTGCTGTAAAAAATGTCAAGTTGCCACATTTTTTTGTCAAGTTGCCACAGTTTTGACACTTTAGTTTTGTATACCGAGTTTTTGGTTTAAATAAATAGTGTTGTGGTACTTTAAGCTTAAAAATGTTTGCTAGCAGACCTTGCATACATTGTTCTTTTTAGAACCTCTTTTAGCGCGAAGTGTACAAGATAGCTTATAATAGCCGTAAAAAACTCATCACAACTTTATTAGAATATTTTGAACGGGAAAGCGGTAGTAGGTAGATGGCCCTTTATGTCCCTTAAGTGTTGTTAAGAAGGCGAGTTTTGTTACTGTAAATTATAACTGTTTATATATTTATATTAATTTATTTTTGTTTCCTAAAATATTTTGGTTAAAAGAAAATATGTAAAAATAGGCAACGCTGTTTCGGTCAAGCTTAATCACGTGACTAAAAGTTTATTTGATAATATGAAGTATAGATTTTTAATGTTAAATTTTTTCTGTAATTCTTGTTCAGAGTGACAAAGTAATTTTGGGATAGAGTGGTAACACTATCTTTATATACCGGGTGTTTTTTAACGAAAAACGAAATTTGGTATGTTAGGATATGATATAAATCGGTATTGATTAATGGTATCCAATGACTTTGGGTTACTTCCTGTTTCACCGGAAATGACTACAACTTTTGAATTTTATATAATACCCTCAGCATCTTTCTTTACTTTATATGATAGAAAGTAACATTATGAGTAGAATAACTTATTATATCAACTTTTGACATTTTCAATTAAAAAAAAATAGCATACTAAATTTCAATCCAGAGTGACAGGGTTCTGTTAAAACCATAAATTTTTAATCAAGGAGTTTTGGATTTTTTCGCGTCTTTTCGTGGTCAGTTAAAGATGCCCAAATTGTATTTTTAATCTTAACTATAACTTAACTCAATTTTAACTTAATGTTAACTGTAATCTTAACTCAATTTTTTGAAATGTATCGAGCGAGGGTGACTCATTAGCATATTTGGAAAAAGCATTTTTTATGAATAATTGTCGTTGCATTAATGGCCATGGCCCTCTAGATTGAAATTTAACCCTAATATCCTAATATTAGAAACGCGAAAGTTTGTATGTACGGATGTTTGTTACTCTTTCACGCAAAAATTAATGAATGGATTTTAATGAAAGGAAACACATAGGCTATAATTTATAAAAATATTGTGTTAATTGTCCAAAATATAACGATAAGTGTCTAGTAAGTAGGAAAAATTCTGCCATTTGCAAGCTATTCTGCCGTGCGCTGCAAAAACCAATGGACAAAAACCATCATTTGTAAAAAGTAAATATTTTAAAAGTTATGACGATGACAAACCGAATACTATGGTGGAGGAAGAAGTCGGTCATAAACTGGGTTTATCTAGTATGCATTTTCAAGTTCAAAATACGGGAGGTACCATTTAAAAATCAAAAGTTAAAGTCATTTCCAGTGAAACAGAAAGTGAACGACTAATTGAATACGCCAAATAATTCTCATTTATGTCATACTAACATACAAAATTTCTTTTTATTATTTAAAAAAATAAAAAAGTTATAGAGATGACCTACTTTTGAAAAACATCCGGTATTGTGTCTGTAGTAAATTTTAATCATCCCATTATATACGGGGTGTAAATGAATAAGTATGGACTAATTCACAAAGTTAATACTTAATTAAATTTAGGTTGATGTTATACATCAGAAAAATATTCAATTTTTTTTTATTTTATACTCTGGACGCACATTTCGCTAGCAATATTAACATCGCACTTTATTCTTTACACCCTGTATATTCTTGGAAAAAAGTCTCTCTAAGTATTTAAAATATTGGTGGATGAAAATCATAAAATAAAATATTTTTAAAAGTATACTATTTTTTAAAACAGAGTATCTGTACAAAATATTAATCTTAATGGGTGATATAACGGTGATATGATGATAATTATAATAATTTTTAATATTTAGTAATATATTTTTCAATAAACACATTTCTATATTTTTCAGAATGTCTTTAACAAAGAATAAGTTTTGATATCAGTCTTCGCAATTTTTCAAATGATTTAGGTAAATATATTTAAAGACTATATGCCTAGTCATGAACAGAAATTGAAGCTACATTTTTTGAGATAGAGCTATACAAAATCCACAAAAGTCGGTCCTTTTCATTCAACAATTTTGAACTACGCAAGCGTGAAATGTGTTTCGCGATTAGTTGATTTATTTTCATACTAACCAATACCAGTAGTTTTCAGAGTGTCTTTCTACTACGTAAATTAATTTAGCGTCTTACTGTTCGCGCCTTTACTTATAGATTTAAATTTAATCTCTGAAATATTTAAACAAAAACAAGCAATGGATAGATATAGCTATATTTCAAGAATATCTAAAAAAAAACCGGTTGAAATAATATCGTTACGAAATAAAATTCTATATTAGAGTTTAAAACAGTGCACGGTCAGGTGACAACGTTCAGCGAGACGAATCGCTGTACGTAGTAAAAATTGTGTTGAACCAAAAGGATAGACTTATGCAAGATTGATATTTCCATTTCATTTGTTTTGCTTCACTTTCTACTCATTGTGTAAATGGGCTATTAACCATATATTCTTATAAATATATGGATTTAGGTATCAGATTTTTACATAGTTTTGTTTAATTGTATAAAAAATATTTTATTTAAGTTATGAAATCTATATAACTCCATTTTCTAAAAATAATTTCGTCGAACTAATGCTATATAACAATTAATATATTTAATATGAAAATAATCTGAAATGGAAATAAGATCAGGAAAACTAATTTTGTATTAGTTTTGTTGATAATAACAAATTAGAAGAATAATCAATTGAAAAAGACTGGCCAGGATATTACGACCGTTTGCACAAATTTAACTTAAAATATTAAAAAACGCACGTCCCATTTAACATTTGCCAAATGGTTTAAAAAATGTATCAAATTCTACAGGGTCCAGCAATAGTGCGTTGGGCATCTGTAGTTCTTATAATAAAAAACTTAGGAATTTTGTGAGTGCAAAGCTAAAGAATGTACATATTAGAATTATTTGAGGAAAATATCTTCTGAATAACTTCTACAGGATGGCTCAAAAAAGTGTGAGTGGAAACAACGATCAAAAAGAAAACAAATGAGAACTAACCACATTTAAACAAAAATAGATGATATGGGACTGATGAACAAAAACAACACAAAATGAACAACAGGACAAAACAAAACAAAACGATGAAGAAAACGAAAAACAAAATGAAAATTAGAGCCGGGCCAGCGAGTATTTCTTATATATTCTCTTTAACTGGCTTTGTATGATGGTCTTTTTTTCACATCGATGCGAAAGAGAATGCGTACCCCGCTGAACCAGGCCGATATTTTCTTCGCCCAACCTTTGCCGGTGGATTGTGGGTGGCCTACCTCTGCGGTCTGCGCCGGCGCAGACGACGTTTCGGACTCGTCCTGCTGTTGTTGGTCGCCGTTGCTCTGCTGCTGTTGTTGTTGATCGGCGGGCGTTTCTTGGGCTTCTTGCGTGTCCTGTGGGGTCTCCGGTTCGGTGGATTCTTTGGCCTCGATCAGGGAGGCGCTGGACACGGTCATGATGCCGTGGAGATTGATCCTCACCTTGACCTTCACTTTTTGGGGTTTACCGTCGGAGGCGGGTCTGATATCTTTGACGACCCAAGTGCCTGCAATAAGAAAACATGTTAGATTGTAACAAGTTTTACTAAAATTGTACCAATCACTGTGAATTCTCTGTATTTATAGTTTTTCTCTTAGATTAATTCAGAGTTTAACAAAAAGTTAGAAATAAAGCGCAAATGTATTTACTATGGAATTAAAACATTGTGTAAAACATTAAAAATTACATTTTTAAAGATACCACAAAGGAACGACTTGTTCCAATGGTTCCAGAAAAGATTTTGTCACCTAAACCCATACAGCTGTTAAACCCAAATGACACAATCACTTTTTTTTGTTATTAATCACATTAAAGAAACTGCTTATAAACTTTTTTGACTATTCCAACAATAAAAATTTTCACATTTGTTGCGAATTCTTGCCACATTCTGTATACCGGGTGCGTCTGAAAAGTGGCTCACCCCTATAACTTTTTTATTTATTCAGATAAAAAAAAATTGACTTGGTATGTTAGTATATGACATAAATTAATTGTTTTCGGTCACTTCCTGTTTCCGGTATTTTTTTATTTTATTCGATAGAAAATGACATTGTGAATAGAATGACATATCGTATGACAGCTTTTGACATTTTCGCATATGGTTTATTTAAAATAATTGTAATAGGCGGTTCATAAATTATAACATGCGTTTGACTCGAAATACGGTAGTAATGGCCCTTTATGACCCAAATGTGTGGTACCAAATTATTCGTAATAAAATTATTTTTCCAAATATGAGCCACCCTCTTTCTATTTGGAAAAATTGAGATATGATTAAAAATACGATTTAGGCATCTTTTAACCGGCCAGGACAAGACACAATGATCAACAATCATATGAGGATTATTAAAATCAAAACATTAGACGAACAAATCTATTTTTTCAAGGATCCTTGATTAAAAATTAATGTTTTTAACACAGCCATGGCACTCTACATTGAAATTTAAAATACGATCTTTTTTAAGCAAAAATGTCAAAAGTTAACATATGATATATCATTCTATTCAAATTGTCATTTTCTCTGAAATAAAGTAAAAAAATACCAATAGTGCCATTTAAAAATCAAAAGTTGGAGTAATTTCCGGTGAAACATGAAGTGATCAAAAACAATTGAGTACGTTAATCAATCCTAATTTATGTTATATAATAACATACATAATCTCGTTTTTTTATCTGAAAAAATAAAAGTTTTAGGGGTGAGTCACTTTTCAGACGCACCCTGTATAAGGATCCAATAATAACCTAATATTACAAATTTCGAATTGTTGCGAACTTTTGTCATACCCAATGTATTAGATTCAAATAACAACCCAATAACAAAAATTTCACATTTAATGCAAACTTCTGTCATACCCTGTATATAAAGTTCCAATAATTGAAATAAAATTTTACATTAAATAATTTAAATTTAGTCTCGCTTTGTTTTTTACCTACTTGAATTTTATTATAAATTTGGAAAAGTACTAATTTTGATTGTTTTAGTCTGAGCGTGATCTGTCATATTAAGACCTAATATTAATAACAATTAATTTTTTTATTCAGGGATCACAAAGTCATTTTTATTCAATTGGACATGATAAAAGTTAAAAAAAAAATATTAGTTCTTATCACTTATATAAGTATATAGACTAAGCCGATACTGCCTTATCTGTTATTTAAATTAAAAATTGTTAGAAAATATTTCCTAACCATTCAAACAACTGATTATACAAAACCTCAGATGTTTTACCACACTATGAGATTACAGTAAATAAATCCTATTCGCCATAATAAAAATCATGAATTAACCAAATAATTTTCAGCAGATTATGTATATATTTGATATTAAGAATTTTTAATTATTTCATTATTTCAAATATCAATAAGATAACCAAAAATTAATTATTTTAAATAGAATTACCTATATTTGAGTCTGGATATGGAATGTTACCAATGTAAAACGCTTTTACTGAGAATGGTTCAGTTCTATAAAACGTCAACATCCTGGAAAATGGAGTGGCATGATTCAGAGGAAACACCTCCAGTTCTCCCGCCGATTCACCTCCTGGACTGGCCTCCCAAGATAAATGTACAGGATAGTTCTAATAACACGTATAATAATATAATGTTTGCTAAAAATATATTTTTGTAAAAAAAAATAAACATCAAACTGACCTGAACATCTGTAACACTAAATTCTCTAACCCTGACTGCAGGCGATAACATGGCGCATTGAAGGGCGCAGCCCCTCGATACAGCCTCGTCTTGGTTCAAAGTAGTACTAGGTTGCTTCTGGAACACTTTCTCAATCAGCTGTTTGATGGCCGGAACCCTGGAGGAACCACCAACAATCTCCACAGCATATATATCACCAAGTTGCAATCCTAAAATATTTAAATAAAATATAATTTGAAAATTTCGATTTAAAAACTCCTAATTTCATACCTGACTGGTTCAAACATTGTCTTAGGGTGTCTTCGACCCTTTGAAACAGTGAGGCACAAATAACTTCCATATCGGCTCTCTTCATTTCACTTTTAACATCTTTGTCATTCATAAAACACTCTATACCTAAAGGCAGAGTGGTTGAGTTAGCTGACATTTGTTTTTTTAATTTCTCTACTTCAGCCAACAACCTCACATAAGCCCTACAAAAAAAAAATATAACCTTAAAACAGAATTAAAAAATCTAATTAATGTACCTAGCATTAGATTTAGCATCTACATGGTATTTTTTCTGAAATTCAGCAGCAAAATGATCTGCCAGAAGCCTATCAATATCTCTGCCACCCAAATAGGGATCTGCTGCCGTAGTTATCATTTTCAATTTCCCTTTGTTAAATGCGCAGGCGAACACTTGAAGTGAAGCATAACCACAATCAACAAAAACAACATTTCGGGGCTTCTCTTCAGGGGCAGGCAAGTCCTGCTTGTAGATGCCGTAAGATAGAGCTGTGGCAGTGGTCTCATTGAATAATCGGAGTACATTAAGACCTAGAAAAATTTATAACAACTCAGAAAAATGGTACTTTTGTATTTTAAGAAATTGTATTGTTTAGAAACTTACCTGAGATTGCAGCAGAATCAAGTAATGCTTTTCTTTCATTATTTGTAAAATACGATGGTACAGAAATAACACAATCATTAATGGGTGTTTGCAAAGCAGTACTTGCTGTGTCTTTCAGTTTGGTTAGTAACATAGCCAGACATTGCTCAGGAGAAAAGGTATGTTCTTCATTTAAATAATTTACCTAGAATTATGTAATTTTTATAAACCAACATATAATAAACTTGTTTATAGGAAGCCCTCACTTTAATTCCTATAGTGCCATTCCTCTCTTCAACTACATTAAATGGTAACCACTGCAGTTCTCTTTGAACGTGTGGATCCCTAAATTTTCTACCTATAAGCCTTTTCAAGCCGTAAACAGTATTTTTCATATTAGTTACTTGCTGATTTTTGGCAGCAACACCTAGGATACGGTTCTTTCCAGAAAATGCAATGTAAGAACTGAAAGATATTGATACATATCAAAGGTGAACATAAAAAAGTAGTTGTGTACAAAAAATAAGGTGGAACTTCAAATGACAATACATATTTGCATAATACTGGTCAACAGTTCGTTAAAATAAGCGATCAATTTATAAATAATATGTGAAATTATACACATTTTTAATTACAGGTGTGATTTAGAATCAGTCACCTTGGAACGTGAATTAAATGTAAATCGAGCGTGACTCGAAGTGTTAAAGAACGAGACATGTAAAGCCAGATATCATGAGTCTTCTGTGATTATTTTTAAATCGAATACTCACGGTGTCGATCGTAAACTATAGTCGTTTGCTATAGTTTCAATCCCTCCTGCCTTCGCAACAGCGATATAGCAAGACTCGTTTCCTAAATCTATTCCAATGACTGACATCGCCGCCATCCTGTCTTATTTTCTGTTGCCTCGCGAATTACCACCAACCAATATCACAGAAATCGTCCTGGAATGAACTAAAATGCTTTTAAAATCGCTCTTCTAGAACGCACCGGTCGAACGAACGATGAACGATCAAAAATGGAGGCTCGAATGACAGATCGCAGATCCCGGTTTGTCTTTTTCCATTCAACGGTACCACCTTTCTAGAAAATTCCAGTATATCTTGCTCTCTGTTTTGTACGACTAAAATCAAACTGGTAGAGAGAGACAAACAATACAGCTAAGTTCTGGAAAGATCTGAAAAACCCTAGATTTTAAAAATCGATTTTTTAGATTAATTCTATCCGGTTTGAAAAAAGTATTAAAATCAATATTATAAAAAATGTCTCCTTAATTTTAACTTTTATTTACATTTCCACAAGTTAAAAACCTGAACATAACATATTTCTATGTTGATATTTACATGTGTAAAAAAAATATTCTTTGTTGGTACTCATGTATCCATAGCTACCAATAGCTACCATGATGAAAAAAATTAAATCTGACGTTTGACGTTTTCTTCTAACCCAAGCAAGATTTTTAAAATAATGTTTGTTGATTTTTGTCTGTGATTTTAAGTTTATTGTTGTTCTTTTTGTTTAAAGATGTTTAAAGATAGTTTTAAATATTACAAGTCCAGAAGTCAAATAGTAGATTTCTCACAAGTTTTGGATCTAAATAAAGATACTCCTAATGTGAGATTTTCTATTAGAATTAGGAAGAAAAATACTTTAGATCTATGTTCTTTTTCAGTTGAAGAAGATTGATATTAAATCTGAAACATATTTTGGCTTTCATCCAACACATACGTGGGAAGTTTTTGAGGTAGTTGCAAGACCAGGCATGTGTAAAATATTTGAATTAATTTTGACTGGATAGTAATAGGTACTTTCTTGCTTATATATCTTATCAGGTCTTATCATTATAAAAAACCCTTTCACAAATGTTGGACAAAGGTATTGGGCCGTAAGATGTTTACAGGATTACTCCAAAAGGCCATATAAACGTAATATTGACTCAGTTAAATCAACTGCTGATATTGACGATTGGTGGCAAGTATGTAATGTTACTGGTGATGTAGAGTTGTTAAAGAAATTGAGGTGGAGTACCTTAGGATATCATCATAATTGGGATACAAAAGTATGATTTATTTAAATTAATATTTTTAGAGTTTACTTAATGCTTTTTTAGTATTATTCTGAAGAACATAAAACTGAGTTTCCAGAAGACCTTCAAAATGTAACAAAATTTCTATCAAGTGTGTTAAATTTTGGAAATTACTCAGCTGAAGCTGCTATTATTAATTATTATCATATGGATTCAACTTTATCTGGTCATACAGATCATTCTGAACCAAATTTAAATGCTCCATTATTTTCATTTAGGTAAATTTACCTGTAATTTTTTTTAAAAGTTACATTTTGTCTTTAACTATTAGTTTTGGTCAAACCGCAGTATTTTTGATTGGCGGTAAACTTAAAGAAGATTCTGCCATATCTATGTTCTTGAGAAGTGGCGATATTCTAGTGATGTCTGGAGATTCAAGATTATGCTATCATGGAGTGCCAAGAATAATAAATGCCGATTCAAGGTATGCATAATGTCAATTTTAAATTAATTCAAAGATGCAGAAGTTAATAGATAGATAGATAAATCTTTATTATTTCCAAGTAATACAATTACATAAATTGACCAAGATGGGTGTGGAACATGTTAATAAAAAACACAAGATACTAAAACACTCATAAATTTATTCTAATATAAACATGATTCCTAAAATACTTTTCTGAAGAGTCTATGTACTGTATTACATAAGCTAACCTAACCAAACCAAAACAATATTAAATGCTATATTAACAGCTTACCCTTATCTGCATAGAATTTAACTAGCTGTTTAATAAATAATTTTTTAGGGTTATCAGTAATCTTGGTCTAGGTAAATCAGCGTAATACAATACATCTTTCAATTGTAGTGAAACATAATTAATAGTTTTGTTATTTTTTTAGACCATGGGAGTCAATTATGCATATAAAAGATGACATGCCAAAAGGATATGAACATATTCTAAAAATATGTAAAGATGAAAAATTATGGACTTGTTTTGGAGATTATTTAACTCATTCTAGAATTAATATGAATGTTAGACAAGTTTTAAATAAAGATCAGGAGAGTTTATGAAATATTTTTTGTGTTTTTTATAGAATAATTTAAAGTTGGTTATTATTTCAGGTTCAGAATAATAAACAAGCCTAGAAAGATAGTAAATTACTTTATACAACTTTATCAATTCGTATTTGTTTACAATCTGCAGAAATTTAAATTTTTTATATGAAAATATGCAAAACTTGGAGAGAAAAGGTACATTAACTGTTAAGTTAGGCAACTAGTTAATATTTTGGATGGCTTGTTATAAATGAATATGTTCCAATAAGGAGGAGGCGAATCGAACGCAAAAATTATGGGCCCAGTTTTTGAGATCTAAATGAAGTTCGAAAATCGCCGTTAGGGGCGCTTGTGATGATTGGGATACTAGAAATACACAGCTTCTTATGGCAAGAATAACTATTTTGTTATAAATTATAGAGCCAAGTTAATATTTGGGCATATTTTTACCAGAGTTAGCTTTTAGAAACGTGGTTTTTCTAATTGAGCAATGTGCGTGGCTAAAATTGTGAATACAAAACCTTAAATTTGAGTTTGAAAAGTTAGTTAGGTTATATTAGATGCCGGTTTAATATATCCTTTTCCTAAGTTGATATTATAAAAATGTTTTATTATGTGGTTCTTTTTAGTGCATACACGACCGAAGAAACATATAAGCTGCTAAAATAAATCTTCCCTAGAACTGTTGTACAAAAAAGATAGAAGTTCCAGCAACAAATTTATCACCAGTTCAACCTTTGATTTGATGTAAACAGTAATTGTTTCTTGATGAGAAATGCGAATGAAATAGTTTATGGTGTGATTGTGTTAGTGTTTTATTAATAGTTTTGTTGATGCAGTTTAAAGGTTCATAGTTTTTCATTAAAACATTTGAAATTGACATGTTTACATGCAGTTTAGTGTGATACCATTTTAATAAACATTAAAATCTTTCGAACTAGTAGTGGTTTTATGGCGATTGACAGATTGAATAACGAAAATTAAGAGTATTTTATCAGGAATAACTTAATCATAAATGGAAACTGAAGACGAACGTTACCATTGCACCCTTTGATCGGTGTTATCTATTCCATAACTTTTTATAGCTGAAACTAGAGAGTAGGTATATTGAGCTGAAACGTTTCCTGTGTTCAATAGCGTTTTTTCTAGCGTTGAATTGTAAGTTTTAATGTCATTAGCAAAGTTTTGCAAATTGTCACTGTTTCGTAGACAATTAAATTCAAGATATATTATATTCAATGTCACCTAATAATTGTAAAGGTTTTTCTATTGATATTCACTTTATTAATATAAGGTAGGTTTGTAAATAAAATATTAATGAATAAATAATGTACTCAGTTTATTTCAAAAGCACAAAAATACAGAGTTGTGAATATGTATATACGCTGACTTATTTCATCATATAAATATTTATTTAGCAATATTAATACATTACAACTTTTGTTTCTATTAACTAATTCCACTAAATTTAATAAATAAAATATACAATATATAAATTTAATATACAATTTAGCACTTAGATATTAAATATCTATATGTACTATGCCAAAAAATAAAACAGGAACATCATATTATATCAAGAACACAAAAAATTACAATTTAAAAAAAATGCATTCTAAAAAAATACCTAGCTACAATATACCTACATATTAATTTAAAGAGCTTATTCATATTCATAAAAACTATTCTAAATGGTTTATATACACAATCAAAAGTATCAACCACAATACAATAATTTTCAAATTATTTCTTATTATTCCTCAATGAAAAAGCGTCTTGCGACGGCTAGTCAAAAATCTAAATAATTTTTATAATAAATTTACAATCTGACATATGCAAATATGTCAGTAGTAATACGTAATTTTACTTTATGAAATTACTACATCTAGAACCGATTTTAAAAAATTGTACAAATTTTCACCCCTAATATAACCCTTTTAAGAGATAAATTTTCAAAAATCGACGTTCTTAGTAGATTCCTAGGACAGATTTTAAAAAGCTTTTACAGAAAATTTCGCCCCCTCAAGCGATAAATTTCTGCTCGTTCACCCCTCATTTCGCCCCCTTTTGGTGCGAATTTCCAGAAAACGTTACATAATATTCAATTAAGTCACCAAAGAAACCTCTGTGCAAAATTTCATACTTTTAAAAGAGCGATTATAACAAGTTTTTCCAAGTTTTACCCTCTTAGGGTAAACATTTCCAAAAATTGCTTATGTATCTCATTATGAATATTCACTTTCATCCCTTAAGGGATATCTGTGCAAAATTTCATACACCTAGGACAGATTAAATTTTTTTCTTATACAAAATTTACTCCTCAATGCATCCCCTTAGGGGACAAATTTCATCTCCTAAAACATATTTTAACAAATTTTTATGCAACCTTTCAGAATTTCAAAAATCCCTTCTTGGCATCCCTAACATCGGATAACGAACGCATGAAAATCAAGCTTTACACTGTAAGACAATGCAACACTCAAGGGAGTAATATCGAGGAGTAATAATAACGTTCAATACAACACTGCAAGGTTTAGATACACCGTAGGAGAAATTTCAAGGTGCGATCACATCGGGCGGCTGTGCCGCTCCGCGCCGCGGCGTACAAAACATTTTTTTAACATGTACTTTTGAAGTGTATTTTTTTTAGCGCGCACAAAAGTATATGCTAAAAAAATGATTTGCGCGGCGCGGAGCGGCGCAATCGGTGTCAACGCACCTTCAGGTGAATAAACAAATGGCACCAAAAAGTTTTTTAAAATTTCCCTGAAAATGTCAAAAAGAATTTTAAATTTTCAACAATTCTTTTTTGTCAAAAAACCTCGTAGGCGTGTTTCTAGGGTCGAACTATACTACCAGTTAAAATACTTGCACTTATTTCTGGGACACCCTGTATATATATAGATATAGCTAACAAATTGGTTTTTGTTCTATCAACGTCGTGGTGTTTACAAAAAATAACTATTTTATTTTGTAGATTTTCTTACAGCGCTTTCAGATGGAGCGGACCGTCCACGACTTCGAGCAAGTACCATGAGTTTATATGAACAACATCCGGACGGAGCATAACGCGACCCATGTGAAATTGTTCATATAAACTCATGGTACTTGCTCGAAGTCGCGGACGGTCCGTTCCATCTGAAAGCGCTGTTACAGTGCAAATGGCGAATTACCCAGAAGTTTTTTCAAGAAAGTAATATTTGTTACACGTTATGTAATAAATGAGAGTCGTCATTTATTACATAACATGTTTATAGTTGGTTTTGATAATATTCTCCCATCTATAGTGTATCTGGGATAGAGAGGTACAGTTTGCTATACTATAACTATAATGCTATGAGAAAATTCTCGTATTGTTAGTTTTTACTAGTTGTAGTCCTCTGTATTATTAGTCTTTACTACTTGTGTATCCTCTCATAGTATATGTCTATTTAATTTTTTGATTATGTAACGAGCACTTTGTTTACTCATTTGTCGAACTGCTTGAATCCATTTTTGCTTTTGATCAAATCGGTGTGAGAAACTATGAAGCTATAAAATGTTGTTTGGGGAGATTTGAACATCCGGGAAAGTTAAATTATTGAATGTTATTGCACCCAACAACGCCCAAATTACGCGTTAACATTTTTTCGGCAATTTTATTAACATTTGAAATTGTCACAAGACAGTGCCTAGTTCGAATTCTTTTTCACTTATTTTTTACTACCCGAAACAGTGTTACATCACACAAACCTCGTACCTGAGTGTTTTAGTCTCAATAACTGCACTAGCAAAAAACTAAAACACTTAAATATTATGAGAAAACCACGATTTCAATATTATTTTAATGCGATCAACATGAAGGCGGCGCGAAATATGTAGGTACTTATAATTTCTGATTTTTGCCTTTCGGCGCTGCGGTCGGAATTTGTTGAAATCAACTGAAATGCACCAAGCCTATACAAAACCCTAGATCATATATACTTACGTGGATAAGTAAATCACTATAGAAACTGTCACAAACATATCAATGACTTCCATTTATCTTCTTTTTTTGTTGCACACGCGGTGCTTCTACTCTATCTATCTTTGTCGAGGACTTATCGTCCGCGCCCCAAGTTTGAACATTAATTTTAAAAATTTAATTTGTAAAATGCTTATATTTCAACAATAAATTGAATTATATAAACTGTCACGAAAATTAAATTATATAAAAAATACATTTAGCCACTCTGTACGAATATCAATATTCTTAGGAAATCTAACCAGAAAGTATGCAAGTGGCTTAATATAAATAAAAAAACAACTAAATACTTTACTTGCCTATGAAAAGATAATTTGGACACCTTTATATTAGAACTTTTACACACTAAACACAGTATATATGATCTAGGTACAAAACAAACTAGCGGAGAATGTTGTGCCAAGCCTATACCTCTACCACTACAATTTAGATTGTTTTCTTAACCACCTTGTTTTTTCTTTTTTATTTTGGTCAGTTCTATTCGCCTGTTTGCAAATGAAGTGCATTCTACTGATAATGTAGAATCTGATTATTGAGGTGGTAAACTGTTCTTTGTGTTCATCACACCCAACAAAAGATATACATTTATCTTCCAATTTTGATAATATATCAAACAATGTCTCTTGATGTACCTGATTGGTTGATAACACTTCAAGGACTGTTGATTCTATTGTTAATATTAGAGACCGGAGAGCAACTGATGGAAATATTAAAAATCCTCTACTTAATATTTCTATCAGTTGATCTCCGTTCTGAGGTTCTACACTTTGTATATGTTGCAGGCACTTCTCACATTTCGAAAATCTACTTGCTTTTCGGGCAACATAACCAGAAACATACGACAAAACAAAATTTGAGGTTCTCATAGCATTATAGTTATGTTCCTCTACATTATCATTATCACTATTATTAAACCAAATTCCACTTTCCATCAAACTGTCAAGACTATTTCGAAGCCTTATTGCGTTTTCTTCTGACTTAACGATCTCCTCAACATTCAATAGGCTTCTCAATAAGTCCGAACCCTCGATATTACTACCTTTAGGTGGTTTGACCAGTGAATAGGTGCTTATTAAGCGAAACATTTGGATGAAAAGCCTTGAGTCTGGGTGATCGTTAGAACCACAAGCGCTTCTCATCATTCCAAAAAAACGCTGAAAAGAATAAACATACTCTTAGTAACAATCAGGTATTACAAACTGTATTTAACTTACTTCAAGAGCATCTTGGTTCAATTTTGCAGTCATTAAATATTCATATCCATAATTGTCACACAGAAAATTCATGACACCAAGTGTGGCTTTTAATGTGACAATTAGACCATGATAAGTATTTTCAGATAAAAAAAAATAATTATTGGCCTTAGCCTCATTCCCCCAGTCATGTAAATACGCCAAAAATTCTTTAATAAACTATAAAGAAAGTAAATTTAAAAATAATACTAAACACAAAATTTATCAACTGTAACAACCTGTTCCTCCCTAGATCCTGGTCTCAAAGTTTTATCACATGGTGTTCTTGAGCTCATAATTTTGATGAGTGTTGACATATGGTTAATCAATTTTATGCTTGGCTCACAGGTTGCCAAGTTGGAATTTTTGTCTTTATATATTTCCATAGCAGCTGCAGTCTTCTCACTAAAAAACTGTCACATACATTAATCAATTTAACTTAATGTAATTTATTAAGAACATACTCGATAAGCTCTACCAACATTCATCTTCTGATAAAGTTTTGGATGGATGTCATCTTTAGACAGTTTTGGACAAATCTTCAACGCAAAACTGTTGGGCTGCTCCATTTCTACAACTGTATCCCAGTGTATTAATTTTACAACTCCATCAGGTGTCTGTAACATTAACATAAATCAATTTTTTGTATTAAATAAGTAATATGTTCCTAAAATTGCTCACCCATGTCTCGGATCTTTTAATAATAAAATTTCTAAAGTTTTTTATTAAGTGCGGAAAGTCCGAAGAAAACCACAGGCGTCGGGTGGAATCACAGATATGTTGACAAGAGACATGTTCCTCTGAGATGTTGAACCTTTTCCACATGGCTCTGTTCCATGATGCACCATCAGTTGTTACAATATCAATGGAAAGACCTGTTTTCTCCAGAAGGAGAATACATTCAACTATGAGGTGATGTAAAACTGTCGAAGAAGCACATCCCTTGCTTAAAAAGCATGCTAAAGCCTGTACCCATGCACCTCGAAAGGGCTGGAACATCATAACTAATGCGTGGTCTCCCTTTTCATTTCGTTGGTGTAAAGGGGTATATTTCCCCAAGTCCGTGAAACCGCAAATTTCTAATGACTTGCTATTAAAGGCGAGCGTTTCACTCAACTTCATCTCATCTATAAGAAGAGTGCCTTAAAAAAATAGATTACTTAAATTAATTTTTGTTTTACATTATACATGCAACCACAACAGTTAATTTAAAAATAAAGGTGATGTTATATACATCCGTAATGCGTCTCCGTCGTTCTGTTATTCCAATCTTATTCAAGTATGAGATGTCATTTTTGAAATATACCAATAAAATTGCATAAAAAGAACGGACGACGCATTACGGATGCTTGTAAATCCACATTAAACTATACTTTTTACCTCTTCGTTCCTCTGGTTTCATAAATGCAGTTTTTTTCTTCAGCAGTTCAAAGGTTGACTTTTGAAAACCATAGCAACCATTCATCTTATTAATATATTTGTTTAGGGTTTCTGTGAAATTAAAAAGGTTATATTATGGTTATATTAGTTCCATAAGTTCAATGTCAAAGGTATCTTCTTTATATGTATATTATAAATAAGAATGAAATAGTGAGGGAAATATATAAAAAAGAAGGAAAAGATTAAACAGCCTAGCCCTCAACAACTCGTTTTGTATATGGTTGCGAGTTGTTGAGGGCTAGGCCGTTTAATCTTTTCCTTCTTATGTATATTATACATATCTATGTATATAAAAATTACCTATACAAGGGAGTGGGAGTAATTTGTGTTTCCGTAAATGCTCATAAACTGCTCTTCCTTTAATTCTAATTAACAAACATTCATATATCCATGCAAGGGTGTAACGTCTATTTTTAGCATTGGATACTCGAGCCGCAGCAAAACACATTCTTACTGCTTCTTGCTGGGTACTTGGTAAAGTGGCTATAATTTCTTCGAGAGCTTCACTCGAAATAGCAGCACATTTTTTCTTGGAGTCCTCAACATCCTTTATAAGTTTAGTAATCTGTAGAAGATAAAATTGAAAAAAAATATATGCAAGCAAATATGTGACATTACCTTTAATTTTAATCTCATGTTCTTGCGAGAAACACAACGCACCACTCCTTTTAATTTTTTATGGCGCCTTACTAACAATGACTTAACCATTTTCTTTTTTTTATTTTTATTATCCAATTGACAAGAGGTGCAATTCTTTGAAATTGCCCCCTTCTGTCCAGGCCTTCTGAGGGGAATCACACCAGTGCATGAATCAGAAGCGCTACAATACAAATAAGAATTAAAAACTTAATATTAATTATAATTTTATAACTTTTCCCAAAATGTTAAAACCACAAACAACACCATAATTAACAGAAAATAATTTGTAATGAACGATTGATTAGACACAACTGATGTAGATTGACCATGCAAAATGAAACATGCAGAATCATGAAATATTATAATCCATGACCACAAACACCATAAAATTAATCACATAACACATAGATAATGCAACAAATCGAAAAATACTCAAGATTGTAAATAAGCAAAGCCATTTCCCTTTGATGATATTTTTGTTGTTGACAGATTAGACTGATAGTCAAAAACAAAAAATCAATAATATTATGATAGTTGAAACCATTTTTTTTTCAATTTGTTGCAATTAGATTTATTAGTAGAGGTAAAAATCAAGTGTAACTTTTCATACACAGCTGCTGTGTGCATCTGCCATTTGTTTAATTCCATTCCAGTCAATGGTCTTCCATTTAAATCGCTTCAATCTGCAAACCTAAAAATTTATTTGTTTTTGAATGCGTAATTTGAGACAGTGGATAAATAATTAAGACGTAAATAGTTTGAGCCACATGGTTGCTTTATTTTCAGCAAGTCTTTACCTACAGCATACTTCAACTCCTTCGTATGCTAACCATAAGAAAATAAAAAATGTATATATTACTAGTCTAAATATTGAGAATTAGGTATACTGAGAATTATTATATCTAATAAGTAAATAAAAACAACTAATAATATTACCATAGCTTAATTTCAGAACAGACTCCCATTCTATTGACAGATATTAATATGTTTTCAAGTTCTTCAAAACTAGATATTTCTGAACTTTTCTCTTCAAAAGTAATTTCTGTTTTCCCAAATAAAACCTTAAATAAGTAAATTAAAAACACAACTTTATACCAACAAAAATAAATACTTAATATCTACCTTATAAGACATATCCTTGCAAATTATAATTTTTTTTTTTGGCAAGTAAGTATCATCCCACTCAGCAAAGACTATTTCATTTGAACCTGAAATAAATGTACCTGCCCATCGCTTGTTTGGTGTGCCAACTGCAGCCAAACTATTTTTCAAATTTGTGAACATAGTAACTCTACTGTCTGTAACATCAACTGGCACATTAGTAATATCACGAAGAATTTCATTCTCATTCTCAAAGTTAGGTTCTGAAGTTTGATTTTCAACATGATTAATAGGCAGACCTTTTACTTTTTTTGAATTAGAAACTTTTTCAGTTGCTTCACTCCTTACACATGGTGGTTTCCTCTTCTTTTATTACTAGAGAAATATGAAGGCAGGTTAGGAAAAATTCTTGGAATTGAACCCTCCTTTAATAATGGTCTACCCCGCTCAATTCTACTGATAGTTCCGTCAGTTAATTTGATCTCATAATGAGTCAAAATATCTTCATCTAGAAAATGTAGTTCACAAACAGCATCTTTGCTGCTAAGTGTCTTGTCTGATCTGGGTATCGCCTTTGCCACTGCTGTAGCAAGCTAGGATCCTAATAAAAGATATATAATTGTTAAATAAAATAAAAAAACATTTTTCACTATTAAAGCTGTTATTTTGAGAATACGATCTTGAAGTATAAATATTTAATATTCACTTTCAATAGCACTGTTCAAACTGTGGTTAATATAGGTACATGTCAACAGGTAATTTTAGCACCTAGTAAGTATTAAATTATTTTAATTTTATAACAAGGCCTCCTAGGTTATGTTATACACATGTTGATTTTAGGCTATATTTCCTATTAATTTGGTTTATAATTTAATCTGTACACTGACAGTATATAATTTTAATGTTTTTTCTTAACATCTATCCATAATTTTTATAAATAAATAGTCATACTACTTACATTAGGAGCTTTGAAAGGCTTGGGTTTCTTTCACCCCGTTCTTTATTTGCCTTGTTTTTATTGGGATTCCCACTTGTACAGCCAGGTACAAAGCAATTTCTACCACGACTCATTGTTGTACTGCTAAAAATTCAGTAAATTAACTATAAATTTTATTAAAAACACAATTAAATCGTATACTAACAATGAAAATGTAGTATCCCAGTCGATCGCAGTGCCTCTGCTGTCAAACCGAGGAAGCTGCTTAAAAGTGGGGACAGAAATTTCAAATTTGCCCATTGCCGATAAATCTCCTTTTTTAAGCCCTCCATAGTTCCAATGAAAAGGCTCAAAAATGACAGGCTTTAGGGAGAAGACATCATTAAGGATGTGATTATCTACAACTTTTATCTGAAATTTTTTTTGTCTAAAATGGACTATAATGGAATTAGGGAACATTTTTAAAATAGCCGAAATTTGTTTTTTTTTCGAAATATCTAAAATATTAGATAAACTTAATGTACTATCAAGATGAGCGATTTAAAGCCCCATCTTCGCCACCTCACTTCGTTCCTTCGCTTCATCCATTCCATTTGATGCGACTATTTGTTCCTTCGTCCCTCGCTCCTTCGCTGTTCGTCCGTTTACTTCGTCAAAATGGTCCTTCGCCGTACTGTCGGTTTTTGGGCGAAGTAGCAAAGGAATTATCACGGACACAAAAAGTATAAAAATATATAAATCGATCTTGGAGCTCATTCGTAGTTGATTTCAGTTGATTTCTTGATTTGGCAGTACGTCTGTACAGGATGTCCCATTTTCGTGTTTTGCAGGGTTTCTCGCTTATGGGTCGAGGTACGGAGATGCGGTTTTCATATTACGACGTTACTTTTTTATGAAACTAAAGATGCTACATACAGATACCTATGTCCTAGCTCTCTTACTTCCTAAAATAGAGGGCGAATCTAAAATTATTGCATTTTTCGATCCATTTCCATAAACTTTTTCAAAAATTCAAAAGGCGCATATTTATGACTCTACAAAACTGTAATTCTTTCCCCATTAAATCGACTCTCTATCTTCAGCAGTTTGTGAGATACCCATAGAGAACGTTGTAGAAAACTCACACTGTATAGTCTAGTTCAGTTGCCGCCAAATCTGTGGTCTGCACCACAGATCTGCACTAAAATATATTCGGCATGTTGAAAGTTGAAAGATCGCAGATCTTATCTCTTCGATGAGATTCTTTATCGAAACCGCCACTATCTCGTACACGTCAAGTTTAGAACTGAATGGAAGGACTGTACAGGGTGGGTCAAATTCGACGCTGTTAAAGGGAAACACCCTTTTCTATATGAAATAGATGAACAATAATATCGGTGTCTGGGAGCTCAATTTTTATCAAAAACATGATAGTGAAAACCGCACATCTATATCTGTTACCGTTTATGAGTTATTATGAGGGGTGTTTTTCAAAAATATACATTTTTAACAAACCGCTGTAACTTTTGTTCTATGGAAAATTATGTATTTTTATGAAAACTATTCCAAAGTCCCTTTTTACGTAGAATTTAATGGTTTAAGTATACTTTTTTTAAAATTAATAATTTAAGAATTATCAACAGAAAATTTGATTTTTTATATGGAACCCTGAATATTTTATTCATTGAAAAGAATTTAAAACTATCTTTCCAAAAATATAGCATACTTGATGTTTTGCTTGATTGTTCTTCTAGATATTTAGTTTTTTTTGCCCACTTTGAATAAGTAGGCCTTGAACAGCGCCGGCTGTAATGCAAAAAAAATACTAGCCTGTGAGCAGCAATTAAAACGAAAATAATATGCAATGAGAGATGCAGAATTTTATAGCAATTTAAACTATATTTAACAACTTCAACACGTTTAAACTATATCATAACCTAACAATCACATGAGATTTTGCTACAGATGTTCGACATGTCGACCGTCTTCTGTTTTGGACAGACGGGACCGTTTTTGAACATTTCTCGCGGAATTCATTAACTCAGTGTAACCGCTAAGTACAAGTACTTCTAATTCGTGTCTAGATTATACGGGAAATTTAAAAATAAGGACCTTTATTCTTCCGCAAAGATAAAAATCCATAGGCACTCGAAAAGTCCGGCGGCCTCGGCGTCCTCGATGGCCAACGGCTGGGATTTTGGTTAGCTATTCAATTATTCTCGAAATTGGCTGCAAAAATTTGCTGATAACTTCAGCGTTCTGAGGCGGTGCTTTGTCTTGCTGGAAAAATATGTTTTCGAGTTCTATTAGGGGCATTGTGTACCAAAAACGAACAATTTAAGCGCAACAATCATTGTAACTATGATTTTATAGGATAGTTGTATTAAAAATATGGATAAAAATAGAAAAAATTGGAATAAATCGCAAACTATTAAAAATAGGTATATGACATACTTAATAAAAGTTGAAGGGTTTTGTAAAATCTATCAGAAAAATAATAATATATAGGGTGTCCCATTTGAAAAATTTGAGATTTTTTAATTTTAAGTAGTTGAAATTCATATATATATATTTTGAACACCCTGTATCATCAAAAATATGGATAAAAATAGAAAAAATTGGAATAAATCGCAAACGATTAAAAATAGGTATATGACATACTTAATAAAAGTTGAAGGGTTTTGTAAAATCTATCAGAAAAATAATAATATATAGGGTGTCCCATTTGAAAAATTTGAGATTTTTTAATTTTAAGTAGTTGAAATTCATATATATATATATATATTTTGAACACCCTGTATCATTTAACTAAAATATCTTTATATATATCTTTTTTTTTCATCTCTATAAAACTCCCCTACCAAATTTTAGTACTCCAACTTCAGAAACAATGGCACCACTGACAATTTTTTACCACACTGCAATTTAACATTTGTTTAAACAAATTTAAATATTACAAAAACTTTTAATTTTAGGTATATAACATTATATACAAAAAAGTTATGGAATTTTACGCAGAATCTAAAAATAAAATAAAAAATAGGGTGTTGCATTTAAAAAAACATATGTTATATCCGTCATACTTTTTTGAAGCACCTTGTATACTCTATAATAATTTTAAAATGTGTATCTTAACCTTCCCTACAACTTTTATATTTAAACTTTTTTTGTAAGCCTCGAAACAAATGAGATAATGGACTTTACTCTATCGTTGATTCACCCTGTACAAGGCAAATATACTTAAGGTGGTTTGCCATTGCCTTCCTTGAGGTGGCGGCTCGTTGGTCGCTCTATTTAGATAAATATTTTTTTTTTATTTAAATAAATAAAACGACCGTACTGGCTGGGGATCGAACCCAGTACCTTCCGCTCCGCAGATCGATACACTAACGCTGGAGCTACGGCCGGCCAACAAGAGCCAACAAAAGCCAATTAAAAAGATAAAAGCGTTTCTGGGTGAAAGATTGATTGTTACAATGTGATGCAATTATTATCTCATATGAAGTGCGAAAATTAAGAACTAGTGCAACAGATGACCTTAAAAACTACCTCAAAATGGATGACACATGTTTTAATAAGCTTTTAAAGATGGTTAAGCCGTTAATATCAAAGAAAAATACAAAAAATGTTCACTTGACCTCTGATTTTCGCGCTTTTTAAGTTCCTTTCTGAGAGAAATTGTTTATTTTTTCTTTACACAATCAATAGTAGCATTTATATCAACAGAACAGTTGATCAGTTTTATAAAATTCTAGCAATTTTGTATAAGCTTTAATTTTCTCCTCTCTGTTTGAATATGGTTTGAATAATCTTTACTTTTAATTTTCCAAAGACAGGCGAGCAACTGCCTATACAAATTAATAAAATCGGTTAAAAAAGTCGTGTTATTACTTAAATCGCTCATCTTGATAGTACAAAACTTTCAACTTGTCAAAAGATGGGAACGTACGTTTAGAACTTGATTTTTCGAGAAGTGTCTAGCCCTACTAGCAGTCGACTATTAAGTTTGACCAATCAGGTTGGTTAGCGTGGTTATTTGAAGGGTGTTAATTCATTTGTGTTTGTCAAAAACTCTAACGTGATTCGTCGGGCTTTATAGTTGCCTGCTAGGGCTAGACACAAGTGATTTTTTGCCACACACTTCAGTCGGCCGTGAGATTTAAGTAATCTGCAGATTCAGACCAACCTGTCGACGGCCTGTACAGAGTGGCGCACCTCATTCGCCTCGGTTGATTATACGAAAACGGAAATATGTAGAAACAAATTTTTTTATGGGTATATGTAGAGAGGTAATGTGCATAATTAAAAAATACTTTCAAATGTACAGGGTGTGTCAGAACTAAGATCCATACCAAAGTTATATTTTTTCTTATGGAACACACACCTGGTATTTTATTTCATTTTTGGATTCTTGGGCATCAAATAGGGCATTTATTATAAGGGTTTAATATGTTTAAATGGTTTGGTTTTTGAGATATTTAAAGATATTAAAATATGCATGCTATAATAAAAAAGATTGCCAACACCCTGTTCATTCCTTTTCAGAATGAATGCTTGTACTGACTTTGAAGCCAGAGAAATAAACTTTATTAAAAAATTTGATTGCTTCTTAAATGTATAGAGGGGTATCAAAAATTGCTGGTCCATTTTAAATATTTATTTTACATAAAAACTTCGTTATTTCAAATACAACACTATGTATTTTTTAAAATAAGTCGAAGCAGATTTAAATGCTCTTTCAAACTATATTAGGGTTTCCTATACCTATCTGGCTCAGATTTTGAATAAAAAGCAATTTTTCAATAAAATGGTAATCAAGACAGCTGGTATCGCCATGGCAATTTGCTAGTGACTGTTAGTAACTATTTTTAAAATCGATATTAGTTTATGGACTTTATTTAGATTTTATAACAGTTTAGTTTTATTTAATTTACTACAATAGTTTAATAAGTATTTATTATTTTCTCAAGAAAACTAAAGAAGTAGTTCTTTTATTTATATTACAGTACGTCTGTCCATTCTGTAGCTACGGGGTATCCGTGAGAGGGGAAACGATATTCTCTCGATGTTTTTCCAAAAAAAAATAGACGACGCGTCCCATCAATAAAAAATCAACAAATTTGCAAGTAGCCAATAAAATGAGTGGGCGGAGCGATTTGCGGTGACGCACTCGTCAAATCGACGTATAAAATATATTGCTGTTTATTTAAATGTTTTTGTCCGCATTTCTTTCATAGACACAGATCCAGCAGATGTACTGTACGATGACTTGTAGACTTATTAGATTTTTGGACATTAGTTTATGGACTTTATTTAAATTTTATAACAGTTTACTTTTATTTAATTTACCTTCAATAGTTTAATAAGTATTTATTATTTTCTCAAGAAAACTAAAGAAGTAGTTCTTTTATTTATATTACGATGACTTGTAGACTTATTAGATTTTCTATAAAAGAACGAAAAATTAAGGAAAAATCCCATTTTCTTCACTTCCAACAACAGTTTTCTGCCTAATAGGTTTTTCTGCGAAATAGGAAAAGTTGTTTTTTAAACGAACACTTGTCAAGGAATTTCCTGACGTAAAAATATCTTCGAGCATAAACCCTTCAGGCCAGCAAGCAATTGTCCTCACAAAATAAAATCACTAGTAACATATCCATTCCTTCCGTCAGCAGATACTGCTTCATTTTGCTTGATAAAATAATAAATACTTACTTATTAACCTTATTGTAGGTAAATTAAATAAAAATAACCTGTTATAAATTTAAATAAAGTCCGTAAATTAATGTCGATTTTGAAAATAGCTACTAATTGTCAGTAGAAAATTTCCATATTTACACCAGCCATCTTGATTACAATTTTTTTGAAAAATCGCTTTTTATTCAAAATCTGAGTCAGATAGGTAGGAAACCTATAGGAAACCTCAATATAGTTTTAAAGAGCATTTAAATATTCTTCGACTTATTTAAAAAATTACGTAGTGTTGCATTTGAAATAACCAAGTTTTTATGTAAAATAAATATTTAAAATATGTTATATAAAATAGACTAACAATTTTTGATACCCCTGTATACATTCAAGGAAGCAATCAATTTTTTTAGTAAAGTTTATTTCTCTAGCTTGAAAGTCAGTACAAGAATTAATTCTGAAAAGTAATCTACAAGGTGTTGACAGACTCTTTTATTATAGCATGCATATTTAAATATCTTTAAATATCTCAAAAACCAAAGCTTTTAAACATATTATACCTTTATAATAAATGCCTTATTTTATGTTCAAGAATCCAAAAATGAAATAAAATACTGGGTGTGTGTTCCATAAGAAAAAATATAACTTTGGTATGGATCTTAGTTCTGACACACCCTGTACATTTGAAAATAATTTTAAATTATGCACATTGCAACTCTACATATACCCATAAACAATTTTGTTTCTACATCTTTTCGTTTTCGTATAATCCAACCGAGGCGAATGAGGTGCGCCACCCTGTATATTACCTACAGGCAATATACAGGGTGGCGCACCTCATTCGCGTATGGAGAAATTTTCGGCGTCACAACCTTAAGGCAGGGTTCGGAAAACTACATGTTACTTTTAAAAACTACATAAACTACATTACATGTAGTTAATGTAGTTTATATAGAGGGTGTAGTTTATGTAACCTATGTATGTAACTTTCAAATATCGAAGGTTTGAGGTGAGTTTATAATAAGTTGAAGCTTTAAAAACACAATGTATTTAAGAAAACAGAAGAAATATGGCTTTAAATATAATATTTACATCATATTATCTCTATTACACCTCATACAAAGGAAAATTATTCATAATATCAATACATAGTTTATTAACGTAGTTTTCATGTAGTTAATGAACGGAAAAAGACGTAGTTTTTGAGGAAAAACTACGCGTAGTTAATCAGGTAAATTACGTCTTAATTAACTACTTCCGAACCCTGCCTTAAGGTCCTTTTTAGTCAAAAACATAATTTTTTTTCCAACTGTTTACTTTTTATTCTAGACCAGCCGGGTATAGTTGGTTTCATTTATTATTTGTTGTTTTGATAATTAAGCGCAATCTAGTAACTAACAATTAACCATTTCATTTAATTTATCTGATCTATCAGTCAATTTGTAATAAAGCAAATTTAACAATCACATCGTGTTTTATTAAACATTTTCCAGATACTTGCGAAATTCTGATCGAGAATTCTCGTGGCTCGAGAAATAAAATTGGCTAAGAAATCAAAAACCCTAGCGTTGTTGAAAGGATAATTCACAGGGCTTTCAGCTTTCGAAAACGTAATTTTTCGCCGAAATCTCTGGATAGCGATCTGGACCTGGTCACTCTGCCTGAACTCTCTCAACTATTTCCACATCATCCAGAGCGTGTTTCGTGTATCCAGTCGAACGGACCCGATCTTAAAATTAGAAATGGTTTTGACGGTATTTCGGCAAATCTGTTTATTAGAAAAAATCCAGCCCGACAAACAATATTCGCTACGTTCCGCGGCTACGCAGCGTGTGTGTCAAAAAATCTATTCTTTTTTTTATTTCAGCCTAGTGAAAGCAGAAAAAAATATATCCAGAAAAGAAAAATGCCTGCATCAGGATCGCCAATGTCCAGTAAGTTGATTGTATATTTCTCTTTTTTTTTGTTGTATTAGAGTGTTGCTTGGAAAACAACTGTATCCAGTTCGTTTTTAAGGTTAAATTTAAAAATAAAGTGGGACAGCTGCGAAAATCCTGTGTCACGTTTATACAGGTTGTTTCATAAGTGTTAATTTTTTGATTGACCACGTTTTGGATAGTTTTATCCCTTATCAGGTAGACACAAAAACTAACTAACTGACATAAATTAGGATTGATTGACGTATTCAATTCTTTTCGGCCACTTCCTGTTTCACCGGAAATGACTACAACTTTTGATTTTTAAATGGTACCCTCGGTATTTTTTTACTTTATTGGATAGAAAATATCATTCTGAATAGAATGATATGTTATATGTCACCTTTTGACATTTTTCCTTAAAACAAAATTTTATTTTAAATTTCAATCTGTGTTAAAAACACTAATTTTTAATCAAGGAGCCGTGGAAAAATATATTTGATCGTCTAATGTTTTTAGTGTCTTGTCCTGGCCGGTTAAAAGATGTCCAAATCGTATTTTTAATCATATCTCAATTTTTTCAAATGGAACGAGGGTGGATCATTAGCAAATTTGGAAAAGGCATTTTTTTACGAATAATTTGATACCATGCACATACTTGTTACTTCGAGTCAACTTATCCTTATGAACCGCATGTTACAATTTCAAATAAACCATATGCAAAAATGTCAAAAGTTGACATATCATATGTCATTCTATTCAGAGTGTCATTTTCTATCAAATAAAGTAAAAATATATCGAGGCTGTCATTTATAAATCAAAAGTTGTAGTCATTTCCGGTGAAACAGTTACCAAAAAGTTATTGAATACGTCAATCAATCCTAATTTATGTCATATACTAACATACCAAATCTCGTTTTTTTTATCTGAATAAATAAAAAAGTTATAGGGGTGAGCCACTTTTGAGACGCACCCGTTATATTCAGATGAATACAACAAATGTCATATGAATGTGGAAAATTTTAAATTGGAGAAAAAGAAAACACTAAATATTATATTTAAAGAACATTATTCCAACACAATAAATGTTGAAAATCAGGAATTGCATATCTGCATGTTTGGTTCAATCAATAGCCCCCCATACTCCAGAAGATTTCAACTCTGTGTGGCCTTGGCCCGCGGATTTAGTCCGCGGACTTGGCTTTTCGCGTACTAAAACTGTCGAATTTTGGCCTGCGGATTTGGCCTACCTATTATATCTTTGTCCGATTAAATATTCTCGCTTGGGACAGCACAGCAGTTCTTAAAAACTACCGCGTAGGAAGAAGGAGAGTTACAGGTCATTAAAGTTTATTATCTTCCACACATTCAAACAAATTCTATTAATATACATATGTAATTAACATACTCTTACAACAATATCGAAATAATATGAACAAGAAGATGCATTTAATGATTTTTTACAGGATATACCGGGTGCGTCCTAAAGGGACTCACCTTTATAATATTTTATTCTTTCAGATAGACGAGACAGAAAAAACGAGATTTGGTATGTTAGTATATATGAAATAAATTAGGATTGATAGACGTATATTCAATTGTTTTCGGTCACTTCCTGCTTCACCGGAAATGACTTGATTTTTAAATGGCACCTCCTTTATTTTTTACTTTATTCAATAGAAAATGACACTCTGAATAGAATGACATATCATATGTCAACTCTTGAAATTTTCGCTTAAAAAAACGTATTTAAAATTTTAATCTAGAGTGCCATGGCTGTGTTAAAAACACTAATTTTTAATCAAGGAGCCTTAGAAAAATAGATTTGATCGTCTAATGTTTTTGGTGTCTTTTCCTGGCCGGTTGAAAGATGCCCAAATCGTATTTTTAATCCTATTTCAATTTTTTAAAATGGAACGAGGGAGGCTCATTAGCATATTTGGAAAAATATTTTTTTTACGATTAATTTGGTACCACACACATGGTATTTCGAGTGAAATTGTCGTTATGAACCGCATGTTACAATTTTAAATAAACCATACGCGAAAATGTCAAAAGTTGACATATGTCATTCTTTATTCTATTCAGAGTGTCATTTTCTATGAAATAAAGTAAAAAATACCGAGGGTGCCATTTAAACATCATTCTGATCATTTCCGGCGAAACAAGAAAACAAATGAATACGTAAATCAATACTAATTTATGTCAAATACTAAAATACCAAATCTCGTTTTCTTATTTCAAACATTTTATTAATGATTATATTAACTACTTTTGATAAAATAATTTCAAGAAATTCATGGAAATGAGATTTCTTTATTAAACTTAGGGAACACCTTGTATAAAATCGAAAATAAATTATTAAACGGGCTTCTGGAAAAACAAGCAGCGTAAATATTTTTACCGTATAATTCTGGGAAATGAGTTTAATGTACTAACTTTAAACGATTTTTTTCTTTGTGCGTGTTAAAAATCTTAGAAGCAAGCTCATTTTGGTCGGTAGGATAATGCTGCTGTGTACGTTTTCATCTTTTTTTTGTGAAATGGAAAAATAATAAGGAAATTGTTGCTTTTTTAGGTACGGATACTGTTTACCCTGAACCTTTGTCGAGGTTGCATCGAAGAGTGGTACCTAAGAAGAGAAAGGGTGGTTCATTTCGGTACAGGACTCAACCTGTGACATTTTCAGAAATTCAGGCAAGTTATACGAGGAAAGCTTGATTTCGAACAATTCTAACCAAGTTTTTGTTTATTTTTGGAGTGTTCTATTTAAAGGAAATTGTTATGTTAAACTTACATTGTCTCTATTCTCTGATTTACACAACTACAACGTTTCGGATAGTTATCAAGTAGAAATGAAACTTAAACATCTTAAGATACACAATTTATAAACAAGTTGGAGTTATTTCAGCGTGAAAAAAATTATTGACCCGGGCGTTCGTACCAAGACTCTTGCCTGCTTTCTTTAGAAAACTTTTCGAATACTTATTGTTACTTGAATGCTGGTTCTGAATAAAATCACTTAAATTTAAATTTTTTAATTCTGGAATTTCTATAAGTTATAGTACATATTATTAGCTCCCTACACACTAGATTATTTGGCCTGCAGTTTAATTCTGCTATTTAGTCCGCGGACCAGTGGTGGCTTGTGACCCGTGTGACTGTTAAATAGTTGCGTCTATTTGCCCCCCCCCCCTAAATTTTCATAATACCTTAACACAGTTCGTAAATATATGTTATATCTGGGTTAAAAACATAGCTCAAGAATATTTAGGACAAAACTAAAGCAAAAATGACAGCATTCAACGTAATGACATAATGATTGACATAATGTACAAGTATATCTGAAGTATATGTTTTGTTTTATCTATTACTATGGAGTACATCATAGAATTTTATTTTATTTTTATTTATTTACGAACTTAATAAATTGGTAGTATTGAGAGAAAGAATAATTATGTTTTAAATATTAAATTAATGAGCCAGTCACTTAATAAAGAAAAGTTATTTATTATTTTATCAGTAAAATCATCAGATTGTTGGAGGGCTGTGAAAAGATCTTTTTAAATTGAAAGTAAGGCAAGTGGCAATAAACGTTTATTTTTCATGGAACGTCTACTATAAGTTTTAATTCATTTTAAACATGAAAAATGTCTCTCAACCCAAGTACTTGTAAATGGTGTAGTAACAATCAAAACAAATAATTTGAAAACCTTTGGAAATATATTTCCAGAATAATTATTCTCCTTAAATTATTTTATAATCGAAATTATCATATCTATTATTAATATCTGCAATTTATTCATTAATTTATGTTGGTCAATAACATTTTTTGTTTGTTAAATCAATATTAAATGCGTTGGAAATGTATCAATATAACAAGTTTGTTAAATCAGACATTAAATGTAATAATTCTTTAAATTTGGGATCCACAAAAGATAAATAAAAATAATTGAAACATACGAGTACCTATCTGCAAACCCTATTTCTAAATGTATAACAATGTTATCTAATATTTCATAAAATAAAATTTGCAAAGAAGATATTTGACTTAGCCGCTTTAATTAACTTATCGAATTGTCATTAGCACACTGAGACTTTCCTGTAATATCTGTTGTACCGTCTTGCACCAAATAAAATAACGCGCTCTTTTATTTCGGATTCATTTCTGTGGTGCGTTCTGAAATACAACCGATTATAACATTTTGAATAGGCTCGGACAAGCCCGAAAAATGTTTCTAATTTGCTTTAAACATTTTTTGAATTTTAATATAAAAGTTTTAAATGCTACGTATAATGAATCATATGAAATATCCCCTTATGAAATATCGGGAATATCCCCTTAACTTCTAAGTCTACCGAGCCTCCACAACTTCATGCGAAGGCGACCGGCGATTTCGCCTAAGCCCCGCCTTGATACAACTACATACAACTCCGACTTACGTCACGTCGTTTCCGCACGATAAGTTAGACAGAGACACAAGACTGCCGTATGTCGTGCATCGACTCTGATAGTAGGCGATGTAGAAATCGCCGAGCAAAGGCGTTTGCAGTACTCCAACGGTCAAAATTATTTTGTTTTCTAACGCAGCGGCACAGTCGGCGTACGCCAGGGGTAATGAATATTTTCATATACAAGACCACAAATATTAAAATAATATTGATTATTACAACACACTTCCGTATATTAACAGTATTTTTATATATTTGCAATATTAATAGTAAATAATGTAATGTAATAGACCGCTTAAATTCTTGTGTGTAACAAAAGTACAGTGTAACGAAAACTAAAATAGTGGGACATTGGCATTTTTCTTCAGTTATCACTATTCTTGCTGAAATTTTTTGACAGAAATTAAATAATACGACTAGGAATTTTTGCTACAGGGCGAAAAGAGTAAAAAAAGGCGTAATGGAAGGTTAAAAAAAGTTTTATAAAATGACTTTACAGGAATATTTTTTTATTTACGAAGAGTTTATAGCTCTTATGGGCCAAAAGCGTTATCAAATTACTGTCGAACAATCATTTATCTCCCGCTAATATGTCAAAACTCAATCAACATTCCTAAATATTCAAATAATCGGGGATAAATTAGATAAGACTGCAAAACTCAAAGAGAACGACAACAAGTGGCAAATATATTTTAACAGTATTAAATAATATGATAATATGCGAAAAAAACGTAGTCAACTTCAACAAAGGAAACCATAATACACACCTCACAAAAAATTTCGCTACGCTTATATTTTTCGTAGTATTTATTCTTGAAACGCTTCAAACATTTTTATGTGAAAAACTTAAATCTAAGGTCTGCCTGAGTTATAATATACTTTCCATTCCTTAACAAGTTGCTATTAATGCAAATAACTTTTGAGATTATTGTTAACCAAGAGAATTTAAGAATACTCTACAGTTTTCCAAATTAATAAGTGATGCGATAATTTATGTGGGGTGTATATTATCCCAAAATAACATAATATGTAAGGCACTTACATAAAACATGCTTAAAAATCATTCTCAATTTCTTCTCCATCTATATACAAGAGCCCTTTCGCTTCCGGAAACAAGTCTACTTTTTTTTTTTAGAGTAGTTTGGTCGCAGATTTGAAAGTAGAGGATCTGAATATATTAATAAGTTGTGCAATATATCTTCAATAGTTTCCTTACGACCACTCTTCCTGGAAAAATTTTGGCGGGACGATTAAAATTCTTTGTTTCTTGATTCAGATGCTTCTTCGGACATTTTGCCGATGGGTATAAATTGAAAACGTTCACAGATATTTGCACCATGAATCAAAAGCATATGAATGCTTGAAGGCATATAATACCAACCGTAAAGGGAAACAAATAATTCTGCTGTTTCTTTCATGTCACCAAACTACGGTCGAATCAATGAAAAACGTAATTATTTCCGAAGAAATTTATTTTTTTCTTCCAGGTTCGGATCTAGGTGGATGAAATTTATATGTAACAGTATACTAGAAGGTTTACTCTATGTATATATAACCTTGCACGAATATAAGCGTTTTTTTGAAAGCCATAATAAACATGTAGAAACTAGAAAAAAATTGGGACATTTTGTTGGTAAAAGACTTCTCTTTACGGAAAAAATTGTTGGAATTGAACAACACAAGGAAACTTCTGAAAATATTAAATTTCATTGTATGAAATTTTTGTACAGATTTGGTAAATTAAGGAAACCATAACTTTAACCCGCCATAACTCCCCGACTAAGAGGTCAACTCAAGAAATATCTTACACGGTGGAGCTCTGGGATATCCTTTATCCATCTATATAAAAAAAACTTGATGAATCAATTTTTTTGTTTTTTGGGCTAATGTCCCGCATTTCCCGATTTCGTTACACTGTGCGTCGCCTACCTTGCCTACCCTAACGAGTCGCCACTGTTTCATTCTAGGATCGCTTGCGTTCGTCGCTCGTTCATAATCAAGCGATGTCGGTTATTTCAATAATCCAGTACTCGAGCGAATTTTCGCTCGAGTTATCCCATCACTACAAAAGATGCGCGGACAGAAGACTTTTAAAACCATGTGGATTTTTTTTTCAGAATTGGTTTGAGCGTATGCAAAAATGTATAGACCTTAAGAGCGAATATTTCGAAAAGCAATAAAACACTTTGTTCGTTTCTGTTTCACTTTTTGTAAAAACTTAAAATAAATACTGAAATAATGCATTCAAAACAATACTTTTATTGACGATTACAGAAAAACATGCTTAAAACTCAATATTTTCTTCATGCACAATATTTTTCAACTCATTTTTTTTCTGTAGGAAGTAGACGAGGATAATGTCACTGAAGAATCATTAGCAGCCACAAACCTGGCTACGTCTTCTCAAGAACTTCACATTTTGAATCAGCGCTTCGAAAGGTTTCGAAGATCCAGCGATTTGTTCTTCGATAAAACCGAAGAGAACAACAACAGTGACTCTTCATTGTCCAACAGCAGTATTATTACACCCTGTATATCAGTCTCAAAGTCTTTGGGAAAAATTTCACCATCGCGGACATCCTTATAAAAGAATAACACTTTTTTATTAGATAATAGAAATAAATACTGTCTATTGTATGAATGTATAAAATTTTTATTTTATTTTTATATATTATTTTTTGTCTTTTAGTATTTTTTTTTTGATTAAAATATAACTTTTTCATTGGGTAATGTTTATTATGTGTTCTTGATAATAGTTAATGTCTAATATGTGCCTCTTAGATGAAAAAAATAACTAAATTTTTTGTACATATATAAATTTCTTAAATAAATAGCGACTAAAGTATTTCTTTTATTAAATTTCTAGAGAACCCACAGACGCTGAGTTCTTTAGTACAGACTTATTGTACAGGCTAGTTTGCGTAGGATATACTGATGTATTACTGCCTGTCGCGCACACTCGTAGATTTATGGCACAGTTTTGTCTACAGTGTCAGAGTGATGTACCCTTTAATATTTTCAGAACCACATTTTTACAGTAAAAATATCTTCCCTAGATATTTTTATATATTTATCCCTTGCATTCTGCTCTCTTATACAACGAAGAAAAACTTTTTACTTGTGTCACTGTAATTATTACTTTTTATTTTCAATAAATATGATAAGACTTTTTATAATTCGTTAATTAACATAAAAACTGTTCTAAGGACTATGGAATCAACAAAAAAGACCTGAAGCTGCACACACACGCTCAGTCTTCGAGGTTTACACAGGTTAAGCAAGGTCTGATTTCGCTCAGGTCAGGCTAACAGCCTGCACAGTCGGCAGTTCCCCCACACACGTGCCTACATTCCTGTACAGGGTGTCCCATTTTAGTTGAAATCATACGGTATCTCTGTTATTAGTAAAGATATGAAAATGCGGTTTGCACAAACCTGTGCCACTTTTTTGTCAAACGGAAGATACTATAAACAAAATTTTCATAGCCTTCTTCGTTAGTCATACACATATTAAAATTTTATTTGGGATTCATACATTTTACTTTTGAACTGTTAAATATTCCAGTAAATAGATATAGAGTAATATGTATTTTTGAGAAGCTTATGGCAAGCCAGATCATATAATTTATAAATATACAGGGTGTTCTATTTAAAAAAAATAACTTTAGTTCATATGTTTAAAAATATTCTTTTCGTAGAATAACAGACTACGCCACTGTCTTCTACGCAAAAAGTTCTACAATAAATAGTTCTTACCTTCTAGATACCTTTAACAATAACAGAGATACAGGGGGTGTCCCAAATTGCAAAATTTTGAAAAAGACCCTGTAGCTCAGGAACGAAAAGGGCTATGAAAATTTTGTTCACTGCATCTTCCGTTTGACAAAAAAGTGGGTACAGGTTTGTGCAGACCGCACGTTTCTATCTTCAAGAATAACGGAGATACTGTATGATTTCAATTAAAATTGGACACCCTGTACAAACTTGGTTTATATATATCCTATAAACAAATCAGGTTTGTACAGGTGGCCTGTACGAAAAAACTGAGCATCTGTGTGGATCTTTAGAATATTTTTTTTAGAATAGCAAAGAAATATTATTGATTTTTGAAATAGAAATTAACATTGGAATAGCAAATCTTAATAGATTATCTTCAAAAATTACTTGCTGTATTTAGATGTAAGACAATGCAAAAAAGTAAACAAAAATAGACATTTTTTGTCTTTGTCAGTGGGACAAAAGTTTCTAACTGGGAGTAAAAAAAAGTCAATATAAACTTTCGAAAATTATATATTTTAAGTCTTTCAAAATGGACTAAGAGGTAGTTTATATAATAAATAAAGAATAACCTAGAGATTTTTTCATACTGTGTCACAAACTAAGTTATTTTATTTCATTTAATGATGATCAACAAAAAAAATTACTGTGATGACATTGTGTTTTAGAGATACATTGGAATATAAAAGTAGAAAAAGGAAAAAAAAGTTACAGTGTGATTGAAAAAAACAAAAATATGAGATCTTGTTTGTGACGCAATATATACAGGGTGATGACAACTTTTAAGCAAACACACAAGAACCTCCCAAACTTTTAAAATGAAATGTTTAAAGAATTTGTATTTTTTTTTATAAAAAAGCTCATATATTACTCTTTATTTTTGACCTCACACCCTGTATATCGTGAACAAATAACTTCCAAATTAACTATGAAATTCGATATATTTCTTATTTATTGAATGAACTTTCAAAACTTTTTTGAAGTTATGTTTTTTAATATTTCCTTTTAATAATACTAATATATATTTTCATCATTTTATCTACCTATTTATTTTCTGTAAATAACGCTTGTACATATATATTATTCAAGTACATATACATATATAAACATGTTTAATTATTTATAAATATATTATCACCGTAAGTCTTATTACTTTATTTTATTTTTAGAACATCTTGACTGTATAAGAATAGTACTCTAAACAGTGGCGTATCTAGGGGAGAAAAACTCTTTAGGGACCCAAATATAATTAATTATTTTATTATTATCCCCTGAAATCGCACCTACATAAGTATAAATTAATTAAATATCAGAATTTATTTATGTACAGACTGAATCAAAGATAAAGCAAATCTCATTGTCTCAAATAGGAAACTTTAAAAGTAAAATTATGATAAAAACATTTTTTGAGTATACATATAGGGTGCCTGGAAAAGGATGAACTTTTTATCTCCTTAAAACAATTAAAATATTATTTTATTAAATTTGCTTTACAATTGATTCACTCTATAACTAATAAAAAATAATTTATTACAATTAAAATAAAATTTAAATAAAAAATTCTTTAATAAAAATATATTTAATATAGAATTATTATATTGTCTATTAGGAAAATATGAAATAAATACGAAAAGTAAAATGGACTTTAGGGAACTATAATTTATTTTATAAAACAGTTCAAAAATACCAAACTTACTTTTATTATGAATATAGTGTAGCAATGCACCGTCTATAAGTTTTTAGTTAACTCTTCTTCAAATTGTCATTTTTGACTATAAAGTCTCGTTGAAACTAAGTTTTACACATTATTTTGAACATATTTTGTATATATCGTTTAAACGCAAACGAAAATCTTTGAAGACATTTTGGAACAATTTTTTGACCAACATTTTTTGCCTTATAAATATCTAAAGCGACTGTTTTAGTATTTTTTGCTGAAGAGTTAACTATAGTCTAGTGGCTATAAACTGAGATATAGTATAAAAATCATAACATCTATGGCAGCATATCACGTTATTGTATTTATTTTTTTACTCTCTCTTATAACTAGCTATATACTTAATCACATAAGGTATTGTAGTAGACCAAAATATGCATTTTTATAATTAAAAACAATATTATTAAAACTTATATTGGGAATTTAAAAGTAAATAGTCTCCCTAGTAGTAAATGGTTCCTCTAGTTAGTAGTAAATACTAGAGGAACTATTTTACGAGAAGAAAATCTGTCGTTGGTGGAGTTGTAGTAAATATTTACACTAAAATTTATGTAGGGGTGGGGGTGGTTTTCACGACACTTCCCGTACTTTTTCTTGATTTTTATGAGAGTCAAATGTTAAAGCACTTAGCAAAACATAAACACCCAAAATCTCATTCAAATCGGAATAACGGTTCTTAAAATATCTGAAAAAATGTGTTTATTATTTTGTTAAAGTTTGATTCCCTCTAACGGACAAACGAAGCATTCAACTTGCATAGGGGTAGATTGTGTCAAACTTATTTTGATTCCAAAAATACGCAGTTGTTCTATTTTCACGGAATATTGGGACACCCTGTATAACTAGAAACTATGGTTAAACTCATGGTACAAAGAAAACAAGGTATGATCGATAACGTCTCCAATTTCGTTAAGTTTGCGCATACCACCTGTGACGTCATACGCCATACAAAAAAAATATACATATTGTTCAATTGCCACTAATAAAAAAAGACCTAAAATAGGGAAGAATTAGGACATAACCCCAAAAGTTCAAATAATTTTTCAAATGTCAAGCTCCATGATTTGACATAACTTTTGGGGTTATGTCCAATTCTTCCCAATTTTATCTCTTTTTTTTTATTAGTGGCAATTGAACAATATGGATATTTTTTTGTTTGGCATATGACGTCACAGGTGGTATGCGCAAACTTAACGAAATTGGAGCCGCTCTCGATCATACCTTGTTTTCTTTGTACCATGGGTTAACTAGTTGAATTTGACATTTTATGCCAGTTTAATAGGCAATATATTTTCGTACTTTTGTGCTTAGGCGTAAAAGTGCTTTATGCCTAGGCGCTAAAATTACTTTTTTATATTGTTAATCACGTCACAAAAATAATTAATACTTTTGTTACGTTTGAAAAAACATATTTTTTATCACTTTTATGATTTCCAGTGGATGAATTTAGACATGAAGATATATCGTTTGTATATTCAATATCATGTTTTGCGAATATCGTACATATTTTAGTTTTGATCTCTAAAACTACTAGAGAGATATGGAAAAAGATAATATGAGGAAATAAAATAGTATATCGAAAATGTTATAATATTCTGGTTGTCACATTAGTTACATTTAAAATCCCAAAGGTGCCGGTAAATTTGAAATGAAGCGACACTAGAGATATTTGGTCTCCTACAATTCCCTTAATAAATAAATAAAATAAAAAATATACATATTCTACATCCCCACTCTTCTTTTTTTCATTCATCAGCCTTCAAAAATTCCTCTACTGTCATCTGGATGGACCTGCTTCACATTTGACTTGAACCTCCTCCACATTCTGACTAGTATATGAACACCCTGCAGCCAAACTACTATTAATACTACTACTAAGCCCGTTGCTATTACTACTAATATTGACGTTATTAACATCAGTGTTGTTATTGTTATTACTGATGACGTCAGATGTTGGATGGAGTGTGATGATGGACTGACGTCTCACAGGCGTGCCCGGAGGAAGCGTGGTGTGTAAGATGGCGAACACCGGACCTTCCGGTTCTTTGACTGGGCTGACAGCATTGTTGGAGGGTTGTTCCTCTTCTAGCTGCATGCTGTTTTCTGCTGCGGACGGGATGGTTGTCAGGAACCTTACCTGAACATATTAAAATTGTTAATAGGTGATTTTAAATACAATACAGGGTCCGGCAATAGTGCGTCGGGCATCTGTAGCTCCTTAAATAAAAAACTTGGGAATTTTGTTTAAGTGCAAACCTAAAGTATGTACTAGGATGTATTTCAGGAAAATATTTTAACTTCTATAGGGTGGCTCGTGTCAGTGGATCGATCAAGAACAGTTAATCTAATAGGACTGCTCATTCAGCCAAAAGTGTCTGCTAGGTACATGCGAAAACTCCTCACTTTGTGACGTCATTGGCATGGTTATTAGTTCGTATCCGGCAACCAATAATACACACACGTGCATTATCGGTTGCCGGATACAAAACGTTCATTATTTAGTTTATTTATTTAAACACCTTATATGTATGCAGTATAGAAAATTAACTGTATAAATCGTATTAAATACTCGGATAATGCATTTTTAAGAACAGCAATTCTCAGCATCACCTTTTGCAGGCCTTCTTTTTAGAGTACTTCGATATTTTGCTTTAAAATAATTAATAAACAATATCTTAGGCACTTAGTAAGCACTTTGTCACAATCCACAACACAAAATGAACGTATTTATACACTCTATAGCTCTAAAAACTTTAAAAACACCTTTTTCACATTTAAAATTGACAAAATAATTAATTCAAGTTTCTCAGCTGTTATTTTTATAAGTTTACCATAGGCAACTAATAATACACACTATCATGACAAGGACTACAATGACGTCACAACTGTCAGCTGAAGCGCGGGAAGAGGCGAACGTACGTCTTATGAGGATGAGCAATCCTATTAGTATACCGTCCTTGGATCGGGATAATCCTTTTTAAATGGAACACCGTGTATATTATTCCATTTTTGGCTTCCTTTTAGATCACTTTACATAATCCTAAGACATGAGTAAATATATTTCGATAATTTCACAGATATTAATAAACAAATAAAAATTATATATTTTCAGCCTTTTTTAAAAAATTATTAATTATATCAATAAATAAAAAATAAATTGCATTTTGGGCTTTCTTTCAGATAACTTTACATAATTCTAAGATATGAGTAAATATATTTCGATAGTGTCAGAGATATTAATAAATATTTAAAAAAAAATATATTTTTCAGTCTTTAAAAAAAAATATTAAAAATACAAGAACTGTCCTGAAATCAAAACTATATTAGATATTTACTTTAGATGGTCTGCACTTACTTTGCTATAAATATGGTAATCGTAAATCATACAGGATGCTCAAAATTCTACGCCAAACTTTCTAAAATATAAAATAATTTTTCTTCGTTTTTTCAAACGGAACACCCTGTATATTATTTTTTCAATAGATGGAGAATTAAAAAATGAACATTTTTTGTATTTAGAGTATTTCAAAATTTTTAACGGTTTTGTAGATATTCAAGGTTTTATATTTCATATGGCATTTTCTAGAGTAAATTTTTATCAAAGCCACCCAATGATTTTTATCTCGTATTTTACCATTGAGAGAGCTATATGAAATAATACTGCGTGTATCTGCGAAACCATTAAAAATTTTGAAATACTTTCAATACAAAAAATGTTCATTTTTTAATTCTACATCTAATAAAAAATAATATACAGGGTTCATTGTTCCATTTGAAAAAACAAAGAAAACTTATTTCATATTTTAGAAAGTTTGGCGTAGAATTTTGAACATCCTGTATGATTTAAGATTACTATATTTATAGCAAAGTGAGTATGTATAGACTATATAAAGTAAATATCTAATATAGTTTTGATTTCACAATTTCACAAAAGTTTTTGTATTTTTATTATTTTTTTTTAAAAAAGACGTTAAGAATATTTTTCTTATTTATTTATTATTATCTCTGAAACTATGAAAACTTATTTAAAAATATTTTAGGATTATGTAAAATAATCTGATAGAAAGCCAAAAATGTAATAATATACAGGGTGTTCCATTTAAAAAAAATCATCCCGATCCACTTACACTTTCTTGAGCCACCCTATAGAAGTTAAAATATTTTCCTGAAATACATCCTCATACATACTTTAGGTTTACACTTAAATGCATTTCCCAATTGTTTTATTCTACGAGCTACAGATGCCCGACGCACTATTTTGAATGAATTGAATTCATATTACCGTCAGTCTTCCAGGAGACCCAGGCGGATCGATATCATCCTGGAACGCGTACTGCCTGATCAGCCTCGGCTTGACTCTGATCCTGGGCGGCTCGCTGGACCCGCTCGACCTGGACATCCTCCACGTGCTGGTGCTGGCCGTGGTGGCCGAGCCGGAGGAGTCGTTCCTCGAATTGGATAGGTTAGAGTCCTGCGAGGTCTTCCTGGTCACGATCCAGGAGGAGGCTCGGCGTTTCGGGTCGAGCAGACGCAGGGGGATGCCGCAGTGGTGGTTGTGACGCCAGGAATCAGATCTGATGGTAAACGATTTATTCGTAAAGTTTATAATCGTATATAGTGTAATAAGAGCGCTTGCACAAATTCCAGCAAAACTGATGATCGATTTGAGCTCCGGTACCGGCACCGATTTTGCCGGCGTGTGTGAAAGCTCGCTAAGAGCTAGTAACGTTTTCGAGGAAGTATTTTAAGACATCTGGCTCTTTGATATATCTTTTACTATTCTCTCTGGAACAGCATGCGGCCCATCTGGCTGCCGATACCCGTTGCGTTCACTACTGCGCATCGGAAGAAGATCCTATATATATTTTTTAATTTAGTCCTATAAATTCTAGTATTGAATATAAATCAAACATGTCTCCATAGCGCAGTGCGTAGAGTTTCCGACTACGAACCGATGATTCAGAGTTCGAATTCGGGTCAGGGCGAAGACTTTTTTTATTTTATTTTCGTTTATATTCTGATAGTAAAGTATTAAAAAATTCTGGTGATTAAAAAAAAAACAAATGTTTAATACTTTACTATCAGAATATAAACGAAAATAAAATAAAAAAGTTTTGCCTTGACCCGGATTCGAACTCTGATCCTCGGTTCATAGTCGGAAACTCTACGCACTGCGCTATGGAGATATGCACATGTTCGATTTATATTCAATACTAGAATTTATAGGATTAAATTAAAAAAAATATATAGGATCTTCTTCCGATGCGCAGTAGTGAACGCAACGGGTATCGGCAGCCAGACTGCATGCTGATCCAGAGAGCATAAGTAAAAGATATATCAAAGGGCCAGACGTCTTAAAGACTTGTTTTTCCGACGTTGCTAGCTCTCGTACTAATAGAAGGTTTATAAAGATATCAAGGCGATGGCAGGTTAGACTTTAATAGCTTTTAATACCATACTTGTTGGTATGGTCGGCTAAAAACATATATAGGATGTCCCAGAAATAAGTGCAAGTATTTTAAGGGGTGGTAGATCTCGATAAAAGAAACATATTTTCTCTGTATCGTTTTTCAAGTAAGTCCAAAACAACGGAGTTATTATTCTTTGAAAATTAAAAAAAAAATGTTTTTTGCTAAACTTTTGAGAACCACTGGATCTTATCTGGATTTTCTTTCTTGTAAATTTAATCTAATACCTATGTTGCTATATTATCAAGACATTATGTTTTTTAATAAAAAACTAAAAAATAAAATCCAAATTTTTTTTGTAAAAATTTCGAATTTTCCAAAAAAATAGGCGTGTTTCTGGGGTTGAACTATACTATCAGTTAAAATCCTTGCACTCATTTCTGGGACACCCTGTATAAACCGTTCTCCATGATCGTCTAACCTACCATCTCCTGTTAATCAACCTGTATAAATGTTAAAACAAACACTAACCAACGAAACTGTCAAAAAAACCGAAAAAATTCTGATAAAATAAAAATTATCATTTTTAAAAGAAAAACATTTAAAGAAGTGGCTCTCACACCAACAAGAATTATGAAAATGCTATTAATAGCTGTGTTAATAGTTAACTTTTAAATAAAATAAATAATGACCACAGTAAGATTTGTTTTTAATTAATAGTATATTCCTTAAAATATACTTCGAAGAAAAAAAATCACAAAACAAGAAAATTTATTAATTCTTAAAAGTAATAAATTAAATAAGTGTGCCTCACACCAGCAAGAATTATGAAAACGTTTTTTTTAAACGTCACAAACGCATTCTTTTTCGTGACGCGATTGACAATATAAAAAGGTCATTTTAACGCCTCGGCATAACAGTACAGCACTTACTACGCACGCCTAAGCACCAAAATGCGTTATTAAAATAATAATAAATGTTAAATAGTTTCTCGATATATAATTACATACAAGGTATTACTTTTAAATATTTTTATATTATTTGAAACGCTTGAAATTGTTTAAAAAATTATTTCTGGCGTTTGAAAAAAATAGCATTTTCTATTCGGAGTAAAACGACTATTTGTGCCTCGCCTGTATGTCTTCAAACATACAGCCTCGGCACAAAAAAGTATCATTTTTACTCCTAATAAAACAATATGCTGTTAATAAATAATATATTTTTCAGATAAATTAAAACTAAGCCGATAAGAACTGTGAAATGACTTGTTTCTTTATTTTACCATTAGTATTTTTAGTTATAAAATAAGATGATTCTGAAAGTTTAAAATTAAGGTAGATTGATGTAGATTGTTTTTTTATATAAATTACACATTTTTTATATAAAAATATGTAAAATACTGGAAAATGTTTTTCTTTGATTTATTAATATTTTTAGATTCATAAACAAGATGTATATTATTATTATTATTAAAATAAAAGAGGATTCGTGTAAAAAATAATTATTGTTAAAATAAGTTTAGTAAAAAGTTGATTAATTGTAATACCAAACCATTACAATAAGTCTATGTTAACTAAAATTGTATGCAAGTCGTTTCCATTTCTTTGTTCTTTGCCCGATGTAATTTACATTTTATATATTTTTTCGACGTTGATATTGCAAAATATTCGAATAAATTTTGCGAATATGAATGTAAAAACTCATACTATTTGTTTTCAACTTGATTTTGAAATTAAACCTCCGATATATTTATTGTAATTTTTATACAGGATGTGTTTTAAAAATGCATAAATATTGGTATTGATGAAGTGATATTCTGTTTAAAATTACAGGTATTAATTTTTATGTTTAAAGCTTCATTCAGAACCTCCTAATTAGTGGAATAAATTAGTGGTTTCAATTACAAAAAAAATAAAACACTAAATCACCACAATACACCAAAACACTTTTACTTTTACATTGATGCTGCAGTTTCAATTACACTGAATACTTTTTAGTTTACGATTATTCACAATGTCTAGAAAACACAATTAAAATTAATAAAATATCCTAGCAAGAACTTGCGGTAGTCTGTTGTATCCATAGAGAAATTCTAATATTTAGCTTATAAAACAATAAACTTTTGATTTCTAACCTAAATTTTTCTTGACGAGTGATAATCAAAGGTCAAAATGAAAATCTTCGCAAATTTTGAAGTATAATTAGTAGAAAAGTCAAAATGTTGTTAACTTTTTCCAATAATTGAAAAGTACTACCACTAATTATGACGTTCTGAATGCTTATATTAAAATTAGGTGAACAAACTTCTACGGCTAATTGAAACTACTAAATTATTCCGCTGATTTCGAGGTTCGGAATGAAGCTTTAGTTTCATAAAATGCTTAATTATTGACCTTTAAATTTACCTAGAAGAACTGAAGTTCTCGCTGGATGACACTGAAGAAGCCCTCTTGTGCTGCTTCTGTTGAATCTCCGCTATCTGATACGTATAAGTATCATTTGGTGCTCTCCTATGCCTTTGCGGCCTTCTAACACACAACCACCTTGCCTTACTGGCGATCCATTCTTTTACTCTGTTGTTCCTTTCTGGTCTTGGCTGAGACTTGCTCGCCAATGGATCGCTGAGCAATTTGACATTGCACGTGCATGTGGGTACGTGGTGGTTCTGATTTTCTCTTGAAGATCTTAAAAAATACAGAGATTTAGCGATTATGATTTGATGATAATATTATAGGATGAACTAATTGAATAAAAAGGTTAAAGAAGGAGTATATCAACAAAACTGGCAAGACCATGAAAGTGTTTCAATATGATTTACTTGATTTCTAGTCGATTAGTGGTTTGCTAATTTTTTTAACGTGAAAAAATGTAGTACGAGTAGTATTAGTGCGTAGTGTACAGTACAGGTTGTCCCATTTTAGTTGAAAAATAAAAGCATTTCGGACTTTCATTGTTTTTATTTATTTTGATTAACACAACGTTTAGATTTCAACAGTCAAGCATTCACTCTTGAAAATGATTTCAGCTAAAATGGGACACCCTGTACATTCACTTATTTTACTTCCTTCATAGTCTTTTAATTAAATGGCCTCCTTTAATTATCTTACCTGTCTGCTAGACTATTTGTATTTGCTGGAGTCTGCCTGTTGCTGAAATTCGAACTATGTCTGCATCTCCCAATACCTCTAGTCACTCTACTCTCCTCAATAGCCTTACATATCATTACACAATCTTTTTTAAACTGCTTAGTAAGGATGGCATACAAAAACGGATTACAACATGAATTCAGAGGCAATACGAACACAGTAAAAACTTTTGCTTGTTCTAAACTGATTAACTGCAGCCCGAAAGCTGCGGTCAGCGCAAAGAAGGCTATTGGAGACCAACAAAGGAAATCTGTGAAGACTAACAGCGCCATTCTCTTAGCTATGCGCGAGTCATTTGAGTTCCAAGCCTGAGATCCGCGGATAGCGCAGTACATTTTTAAGTAGCATCCCATCAAAATTAGAAACGCTACTCCATTGATAAGCATGAGAAAAACAACGTAAGTCAGGCTTATCGCATCTTTTACTTCAAATGGAAGACAAACGGCAAATTTTCTATAGTCAGAGACGCTAAATAAAGGCAGTAGGGCCATGAGTATGGCAAAGCTCCAGCCACAAATCATGATGTAACCGGCGTGTTTTAAAGAAAGTCGTTTGTTGAGGTGCATGGCGTGAGTTATGGCGTAATTTCGCTCCAGGGTGATGACAGCTAGGGTGTAGACTGACAGTTCTGAACTGAGCACGCCTAGGAAGCCCGCTAGTTGACAGCCGGGTGACATTTGCCATGGTATGGCGTACATGCGGAATTCGCCGAGGGTTGAGGCATCTACCACAGCTAGGAAACCTGAAATTTAGATAGGGAGAGATATACAGGGTGACCTAGTGTTTCAAAAAGTTCAGTATCAGATTTTCTTTTTGTGATTTTCACAAGTTTTCGTTAATATGATGGCAATCGTAACAAAATTTTAGAAATTTTTTTATAGGTACAGATAATCATTTAAATAATATACTTATACGATATTTACACTTAATTTGGAGTTATACTGGGTGCGTTGGCTCACCGCTATAACTTTTTTATTTTTTCAAATAAAAAAAAACGAGATTTGGTATGTTAGTATATGTTGTAAATAAGGATTTATTGACGTATTCAATTGTTTTCGGTTACTTCCTGTTTCAACGGAAATGACTACACTTTTGATTTATAAACGACGCCCTCGGGATTTTTTACGTTATTTGATAGAAAATGACATTCAGAATAGAATGACATATTATATGTCAACTTTTGACATTTTCGCATATGCTTTATTTGAAATAATTGTAACATGCAGTGCATAACGACAATTTGACTCAAAATACCAAGTGTGTGGTACCAAATTATTCGTAAAAAAATGCTTTTTCGAAATGTTCTAATGAGCCACCCTTGTTCCATTTGAAAAAATTGAGATATGATTAAAAATAAGATTTGGGCATCTTTTAACGAGCCAGGACAAGACACTAAAAACATTAGACGATCAAATATATTTTTCCAAAGCTGTTTTTAAAAGCTGTCTTTCCAAGCAAATTTTTCTTGATTAAAAATTAGTGTTTTTAATACAGCCATGGCATTCTAGATTAACATGTAAAATATGATGTTTTTTTAAGCGAATACATATATCAAATGTTGACATATGATATGTCACTCACACATTTTCTGTCGAATAAAGTAAAAAAATATGTGTGCCATTTAAAAATCAAAAGTTGTAGTAATTTCCGGTGAAACAGATGAAGTGACCCAAAAGAATTGAATACGTTAATCAATCCTAATTTATGTCGTATACTAACATACCAAATCTCGTTTTTTTTATCTGAAAAAATAAAAAAGTTATAGGAGTGAGCCACTTTTGAGGCGCATCCGGTATACCGGGTAAATCAACAAAACTTAATTTTGTATTTTTTTCCTCTAATCAAATGAAACATCCTGTATTTTACGACATAACTGAACGTAGCTTTTATCCAATATTAAGCTTTGATAAACTATGTTTATATTCAATATTGATGTTTGTGTACGTCAATCTGTTCTTTAGCTACGGGGACATCCGTAAGGGGTGAAACAAAATTTTCTGTTAGCAAGCAATGCATGGCGTGTTATAATATTTTAAATAATATTACTTAGGTAAAAATTTCGAACATACCAAATCAGTTTTATTTTTTTCAACGTTTTCCACGTAAATGAAACATAAAATTTATATAAATTAGGAAATTAAGAAAAAAAAACAATAAAAAATTAATATAATCACGCAACTATTTTACTGATAACGACTGCATTGTTCCCCAAGCTCGGTTTACTAACGTTTTAATCAATCTTTCTCGTAAAAAAATTGTAAAAATGTATTTTTTAAATATTGTTTGTAACATTTTAATTAAAATATAAAATAATGGCATTCAAATCTCAAATAAAATACCTGATATATTTTTTTTGAAACAGTTGGTTACTATTATACAAAAATAATGCATTAATCGATCATTTTTATTACTTACCTAAATAGATACCCATAAAAAAGTCCGCAGCTGCCAGATTACAAACCAGAAACCTGGGCACGTCCATTTTACCTCTGGAGAAGATTAGAACAAACACTACAGTGCCATTGCCAAGTAATGCACATAAGAACACTATCCAAACACCGCATCTCAATGTCCACCAATCGAATAGATCCTGACATGGCAGGAAAGGGCCTGGCAGTGGCAGGCATTGGATCTTTCCAGGAGATCCTTAAAGAGTATAATATTGAAATATATTGAACTGTTAAAAATAGTAGATATAAGTAGTATTTCAAAATTATTTTAACTGTTTAGATTGTCAAAACTCTGTAAATCCAAAATTTTCTAATAAGATATTTTCGAAGTTATTTCAAAGCATTTTTTAATATACAGGGACTTCTAGGCTGAGCGCGCATTAATAATTTCTAGAGAACTACAATATCTAGATCGGAAATGCACATCATTGTTTCACAACGAGGTCTATCAATTAAAAATATTTTCAATATGGCGGTACTTCCGGAAATACTGGAAGTTGACAGCAACTTTGTTATTTTATACCCATTTAAAATAACAAAGTTCCATTCATCACACCCCCATTTTTTATTATATACTTAAATTCTATGTAACTGGACCACCTCAGCCTCAGCCTGGACCACTCTGTATATTTTTATTTGTTTTTGTGTTTCTTACATTTCGTAAGGTAAGACTTTTTTTAGATAACCATTTTTTATTCTGCAAATAAATATAAAAAAGGTACTCTAATTTTTTTAGAGTGTATTTTTATTAGAATCGCAATTTTCTTCTGGAGAAAACCAAGACAAGAGAAAAAGGTCGTCTCTATGTAAATGCGAGCATCCTCTACGTAGCAGTTATTTAGTTATTTACCAGTGAGGACACTGTCGCCTGGATACCGTACTGGAATATCCTCCTCGGACAAATACTCCTCCATGTAAGACGGGAAATTTCCAGGATAAGTAAAATCGGACCTGATGTTCTCCCAGATAGCCTCGAATTTACTGCCGAAGCTCTTGGTTATGTTCTCTGAAATGAACGGATTTGTTTTAAGAATATACATATATTATACGTATCTATAACCAAATAAAGAAAATTTGTTTATCTACATACTGTATTAAATTTTACCTTATATTGTATAAAGATTCAAAAAAAAGGATGATAAAAATACGCCTACATTCTTGTATTGAATGAGTTATGAATGAAATTATTTACTATTTCTACATACAGGGTGACGCACCTCATTCGCCTCGGTTAATTATACAAAAACGGGAAGTCGGGAAGAGAAGGTAATGTGCATAATTGAAAATTCTTTTGACATGTACAGGGTGGGTCAAATTGGACGCTTTTAAAGGAAAACATCCTTTTCTATGAGAGATAGACGAAAACTTTTTGGGAGGTCTGTTACCTTTGAGATACATTACAGAATCGAAAAACTAATATCGGTGTCTGAAGCTCAATTTACATCAAAAACATGATGGTGAAAACCGCACATCGATATCTGTTAAAAACTAATAAAAAACGTAACTCCGAAACGGGGTGTTTTTCAAAAATGCATTTTTAACAAATCGCTGTAACTTTTTTGCTATGAAAAATTTTATAATTCTATGAAAACATTTCCAAAGCACCTTTTTACGTAGAATTTAATGGTTTAAATAACCTTTTAAAATTATTAATTTAAGAGTTATCGGTAGAAAAATTGATTTTTTATTTGGGACACCCTGTTTATTTTTAATTAACTAAAAAGAACTTAAAATTACCTTCCCAAAAATATAGCACACTTGATATTTTGTTATAATCCCCTTCGAACTATAGAATTTTTAAAAGTTCGCCACTTTTAACTAGCAGGCTTTGAACCCATTATTGACGATATACTCCTAATGGAACTCAAAAATATATTTTTCCAGCAAGACGATGCATCGTCTCAGAACGCTGAACAAATTTTTGCAGCCAATTTCAAGAATAATTGAATAGCTAACCAACATCCCAGCCGTTGGCCGTCGAGGCCGTGGAACTTAGTGCCTATGGATCTAATCCTATGGATATCTTTGCGGAAGAATAAAGGTTCTTTTTTTAAATTGTCCCTATAATCTAGGCAAGAATTAGAAATACTTAGCGGTTATGAGAGGATATCTTTCACTCATCACTCACGGATTCATATCTGTAATGTTCAAAAACTCGAACACCTGTAGCAAAATCTCATGTGTTGGTTTGCTATTTATTTTTATTGTTATTAGATATAGTTTATATATGTTGATGTTAGTTAAATATAGTTTAAATTGTTATAAAATTCCGTATCTCATCTCAAATATTATTTTCGTTTTAATTGAAGCTCACAGCTAGAATCTTCTTGCCATTACAGCATTACAGCCGGCGCCGCGCCGCGCCGGCGCAGTTCAAAGCCTATTTATTTAAAGTGGGCGAATTTTTATAAACTCTATATCTCGAAGATGTATCGAGCAAAATATCAAGTGTGCCATATTTCTGGAAATGTAATTTTAAATTATTTTCATTACATTAAAAATATACAGGGTGTCCCGTATAAAAAATCAAATTTTCTGTTGATAATTCTTAAATTATTAATTAAAAAAAAATATATACTTAAACCATAAAATTCTACGTAAAAAGGTGATTTGGAAATGTTTTCATAAAAATACAAAACTTCCCATAGCAAAAAAGTTACAGTGATTTGTGAAAAATGCACATTTTTGAAAAACAACCAGTAAATCCGAAACGGTAACAAATATCGATATGCGGTTTTCACCATCATGTTTTTGACAAAAATTGAGCTCCAGACATTAATATCAGTTTTCGTTTATCTCCTATAGAAAAGGTTGTTTCCCTTTAAAAGCGTCCACCCTGTACAAGATGTTTCAGAATTAAGATCCATACCAAAGTTATATTTTTTATTATGGAACACCCGGTATTTTAGTCCATTTTTGGATCCTTCAAAATAAAATAAGGCATTTATTATAATGGTGCGTTTAGACTTGAGCACGCACGAGCTGGGCGTGCGCGCACGGCATTCGTTCGCGTTCTCGGCTCCGTTCAAATTAAAAACTTATTTTTCGACCAATGAAGTGATCCATTTGTGCGCGCATAAACAATTTCCATAAACAAGCTCTGTGAAATAGGACAATCAGTTTTTCAAAGGAAAGCTTATCAAGAGGATTCCTATTTGGATATCTTTGAGCATAAACCTATCAAGTAATTTTTCTCACAAAATAAAATTACTAGTAACATATCCAATCCTAGGTGCCCGGTTGCGTAGAGGTACAGCTCTCGCTACCAATTTAAAGGTGTGGGTTCGAATCCCGCAGCCGCCATTTCATCAGCCGACTATTTTTATTAAAATAAAAATAGTTTGGGTACCTAGGTCCACTCAGCCTTAAATGAGTACTTGGGATTCACAATCCTGAGGTAATAATAGGCGGTTGAAGCGTAGTGGTAGCCACATTACCTTCCTTGCATACCGAACGGCTCTAGCATGGCAAGTTGTACCTTCCTACTCCCAAGGCGTTAAATGACGGGATTAATACGGGAGCTATTATTACTTCCGCCAGCAGATGCTGTTCAAAAGAACTGCTTCGTTTTTCTTGATAAAATAATAAATACTTATTTATTATTTTATCAACAGACACCACAGAAAAACTGAACCATCCTGTAAACATTTAAATTAAAACTTACGTTGCGAAGGCCACAAATCAACCGAATTATTCCATATGTTCAGATCGATGTCCTCAATATCTGGAAACACAATCAGATCCTTTGCCTTTGGTGGAGGATTTGAGGGAACCAAAGGTAAAAATGCGCAACAGTGATAGGCGTAGGCCAAAACTAGACTCTGGATGCGAGGGAAGTCTTCTGGAGGTGGAAACTCTCTTAGATTGGGGTTGTTGAAGGTTTTCAAGTGGAGCAGGCGTTCCAGGCCTGCTGATGGCAGATGTGGGAATACGTTGTTTCCAAGATTACTGAAAATAATACTGCATGTGAATATGTATTAGTAGTAGTATAAAAGGTGGTCCAAATTCTATTCGGAAAACTTTCGCAGCATATTCTGCAGATCCAAATAAGTCAAACAGTTTGTATAAATGTATGTGCTAAAATGCGTCGCTTTGGAGATACAAAAACGAACTAAGGAAAGCAATGAATCAATTCTCACGATTCTTTTAACGAACTAGCCGTAGAAGCCGTAGATACAATTCTTATGGATCCTTGCTGCCCACAATTCAACTGAACGAACTGTATTGTAAGTAATAAATCAATTCTCACGATTCTTTGAACAAACAAGTCGTATTCTGATCCGATTCAATTCCTACGACTCTTTTTTACGACTTGTTCGTCAAATTTTATGGATCCGTGCTGACCACGATTTAATTGAACGAACCGTATTGTAAGCAATAAATAAATTTTCACGATTCTTTGAACAAACGAGTCGTATTGTGATCCGATTCAATTTCTACGACTCGTTTATTCAAAATTTATGGATCCGTGCTGGCCACGATTCAATTGAACGAACCGTACAGTAAGCAATAAATCAATTCTCACGATTCTTTTAATGAACGAGTCGTATTGTAATCCGATTCAATTTCTACGACTCTTTTTTACGACTCGTTCGTTCAAATTTTATAAATCCGTGCTGGTCACAATTCAATTGAACGAACTGTATTGTAAACAATGAATCGAATATCTCGACTCATTTTTAATACTCGTTCAGATGAACGAATCGTTCAATCTTTGCCCACCTCTAATTTGAAACGTTTTCCATTTGTTACAAATCTTTTGGCGATCATTCTAGTTTTAAAAGTGTCTAAAAATTTTTCAAAACTAAATGTTTTCCGAGGGGTGTCTCACTTGGGTAAAAAATGTACATGTACTGCCAACATATCGTTTTACTGCCAAGCGACTGCCAGTAACTGCAAAGAAGACTGCCTATGACTGCCATGTAATTATTATAGGCGACTGCCGTAAGACTGCCAATGACTGCCAGCGACTGCCAAGAAAATGTACAGGTAATTTCAGTGGTGAGACACCCCTCGATGTTTTCTATAAAAATATTATTATTTTAAAGAACACTTACAGATCTTCTATTCTTGAGATGGATAGAAATGCATCCGGGTGTATGAATGATATCTCATTACTTTCTAAGTCCCTGTAAAAGATAATATAATTTAATTTAATATACTTACTCAAAAATAGGACTACGTATACAGAGTGGTCCGAATTGTATTTCGAAAACTTCGGCAGAATATTCTGCAGATAAAAATAAGTAAAAAAGTTCGTATAAATGTATGTCCTAAAATGCTTACTGTCAGAGATACAAGGTGTAGAAGTTTCATTTTTATTTCGATTTTTTCTAAATAATTTCTGAAGTAACATCAATATTTGGATGAAAATTGGTGTGGGAGTTTTTTGACATGAGAAAGTTGGGATTTTGGTATCAATATGACTCCTACTAGTAGAGGGCGCCACCTTACACATTATTTTAACTGTTTTGAAGCATACTAACTTTTTGTTCGTACCTGTATAACACTACCAAGCGAAAAAATATACATCTATGTGACTTTTTACGTAAAAATATCTCTTTGTAAGAATCGTTACGAGCAACCGTTTTTAAGATATTTAGAATGGAAATAGACAATACATGTCATTATTGACGAAAAATAAACACGTTGGGTAGATAGTTATTTCACTGAAATAATAAATTTGGGAAATTTTTATTTTTTTAAACTAATCATATATTTTTCTACAAAAAATGACGATAAAACAGTTTCTGTTGAACTTTTGGCACAAAAAACTTTTCAAATTTATGATTTCAGTCTAATAACTATTTAGCCAACATATTTAATTTATGTCAATGATGACAGGTATTGATAATTTCGATTCCAAATATCTCGAAAACCATTACTCGTAGCTATTTTTATCAAGAGACCTTCTTCACGTAAAAAACGTCGTAAATGTATATTTTTTTACTCAGTAGTTTTATACAGGTACGGACGAAAAGTTATTACTCTTCAAACCAGTTAAAAATATGTAGGTGGCGCTCTCTACTAGTAGGTGTCATATTGACATCAAAATCAAATTTCTCATGTCAAAAAACTCTCAGACACCAATTTTCATCCAAATATTGATGATACTTACGAAAAAATTGAAATAAAAATGAAACTTCTACACCCTGTATCTCCGACACTAAGCATTTTAGGACATACATTTTTATACGAACTTTTTTACTTATTTTTATCTGCAGAATATGCTGCCAAAGTTTCCGGAATACACTTCGGACCACCCTGTATATAAAAATAGTAGAAATGTAGCATGCATTTAAAAAAAACTTTTTAAATATCTTTAGTATTGTCAATAGCTTTCATTCCAGTATGAAATTAAAAAAACTAATTGAAATAAAAACTTACAAGACTTGTAGTTTCGACAAGTTATAAAAAGCATCGTAGGGAATGTACTGAATCCTGTTGTGAGCCAGAAGAAGATCATGCATCTGATACATACCCCGAAAGGGCTTGTTCTCTATGGATCCGATCGAATTGCTTGCTAAATCTCTAGAGACAATAAAGTTTTTAGTTATTTTAGCAATTTTTTATGGACAAAAAGTACTTACAATACCCTCATTTCACGGCAGTTGTTGATATCAGGTACAGCCGTCAGTTTATTCGATTTCACGTCTCTGAAAATTTAAAACAAGATTTATAAACATTAAAAAGCTTATTTTTTTAAAGAACTGTAAATATAGTAAATATAATTAGTGCAAATATATTCAGGGCTTGTAGATCTCGATAAAAGAAACATATTTTCTCTTTACCGTTTTTCAAATAAAAAAAATCCAAAATAACGGAATTATAAAAGTTTAAAAATTAAAAAGAAAATTGAGGGCCACCGATTTTTTTCTCTATTCGTATCCTTTTTAGTGCCGTACCCATTTTAATATAACAGATTAATAAATTATAACGGGGGGAAATTTGCGGTGAACAGGCAGCTCTAAAAAGTTTTTTAAAATATACAGAAACATTTTAAAAAATGCACGTTTTTCAACATTTTTGAATATTAGCTTTAAAGCGTATATTTTTCTTAATCTTTTTTCTAGCTTCCTTTGACATTAAGTATCAAACCATCAGACAATTTATTTCTTTCTGTCAAAAAACTAATTATTTGAATTCACAATTTGAATTTTGTATAAGGTACATATTATAAATACTGCCACTAAAACATTATAAAGTTTTCTTATAAAAATATATCTCGTATTTTAGTGATATCAATTGGCAATATAACATGGCCACCAGATTGGGCAGATATAGTTTTTCACATGGCTTGACGTTTAAAGTTGTAAGCTTGGTTAAAAACCAGTCACATATACGCTTTAAAACTAAATCTTAAATAACTTAAAAACGATTTATTTAGGTATAGGAAGATGCATAATCAAAAAGTAACGAATTAAAAAACCTTTTCACTAGTGAAATAAAAAAAGTAGGTTTCCATTTGGAAAAAATGATTTACGATAATTTTTTAATCTCTCAATTCTATGACAGCTACGACCAATATTATATGACATGCAAACAATATAATTTTTGAACTAGATAGCCACATGTCTTCTCTTTATGCCACAGTGGCTGTGGTAATCACGAAATTTGATGTTTAGGCCAAACAATTTTTTTTGACAGGTAGTTTTTTCCTTCAAAAATTTTAAATATTTTTTTTCTCGAAAAACGCTCAATGTTGGTTAGGTTAGGTATAATGAGTGTTTGATATAAAAATTCATAAAATTTTATAGAGAATTTAAATATATTATACAAAAAGAAGGTACCTATTTAAAATATGAAAGTAAAAAATTTAAAATAATAAAAGCTGTAAACTTTGGGTATTTCCGAAACTGCCGCCATACTGATAATATTTTGATAGATATAATTATTGATAGATCTCATTGTGAAACAATGATGTGCAAAAATATCCGATCTAGATATCGTCGTTCTCTAGAAATTTCTAATGCACGTTCAGCCTGGGACACCCTGTATATCGATACTTCCAAAACAAATTACCCGTTGCATATACAGCATGAGGTGGAATCTGTCCAATGAGTCAGAGAATAATTCGACAAATTACATTCAAAAAATGAAAAAAAAATACTATTTACTTGGGAATTAAAACGATAGGAAGAATTGTCAATTTTAACGATTAAAATATTCAACAAAGTTGTTTTTACGGTTATATTTTCCCGGAATTTTTTCAAATTTATCCGAACACCTAACACCTTAACATCCCACAAATGTCCGGGCAAATTAGGGTTACCAACTTTCAAATTAAAAAATAGAGGACGAGAGGGTAAAAAAGAGGCACAGGTGAAACATTTTTTGAAACCTCTAGAATTTACCAAAAAGTTATGTCAATGGTATGCGATTGATGGTCTATTTCCTTAACAATATTTATACTCAAAACTTGTTAAAATAAAACAAACCATTTTCAACAAAACTTTTTTTCAAAACATGAGTACATGATAAGTAAACAGATAAGTAAACATAAAATAGTTAAATTTCTTTATAGCTTCCACAAATACTTCTTCGACTTCTTTTCTGTACAAACGAGTGGGAGTAGCGAACGACACAGATTAACAATTTTTTAAAGCATTGTGGCGATACCATAGGGCGATACACAAACGTTTTTTAGATTTTGAGTTTGATATGTAAAAAAGAGGACTTTTTTAATACGCGAGAGAAAAGAGGACAACGAGATCAAAAAGAGGACTGTCCCCTGGAATAGAGGACGGTTGGCAACCCTAGTGTAAATCCGGATGTATGGAAACCCTACTTTAGAATCATTCTTGGCTGCGCCTGCATACAAATAAACTTACTTATCTTGTTCTTTGATACTTACAAGCTCTTCAATTTGGGGCAGAACGTACATAGGGAGGACGGAACAGCCCTGAGTCCCGCCCTGTCTAGTCTGAGCACTTCCAACGCCCCGGTGCCGTTGAGGTTAGGAAACGTGGACAGTTCCCTGGCGTCCGACAATATCCTGTGATAGAGCAACAAACGGAATAAAGATGCAAATTTGTGCAGAGAGAAGGGAATTCGAGGCAAAAGTTCCTCAGTTACAGAAAGGAGCATCTTAAAATCGCATCCCCTTGTGTTTTAAAACGTTAGACCATCAATATAACTAGAAACGCTCTTACTCGTGTTTCTTGTAAATTTTATGAGTGTCATGTTAGACACAGTGTTTTAAAAACAGTAAACGTTTCTTGACATATTATTAACAGAAAAAAAAACAGAACCATGTCTCCTGAGCATTTTCTTTTTTGACTCATGTCAACACATGCCTTGGTTAATTTTTACGAGCGAAATGAACCACCAACAATTTGCAATTTTTTCAACTATTATTACTTTATTTTTATGTTATTTTTTAATATCACGAAGTGGCTTTGGTGACTATTGTCGTAATGTCATATCGACACTGGTTAGAACTCAATATTAAAATTTAAAAAACGTTAAAAATTAACGATACAGGCTTGGTGTTAATAAATATTAGTAACACTAATACAAGGATACAAAACAGAAAAGAACTAAGGATATTAAAATAACAGTAATAACTAAGAGTACAAACAAGCAAAAAATTTGTCAAAAATATTCTAATGCTTTGTATTGCCTCCCCCGGCTGCTATAACTGTCTGTAGACGTTCGATCATACTGTTAATCAGGCTGTAAATATATTGTGTTTTCCCATCCTTCTTCAAGGGCTAAGCAAATATTCATAATTTTGGCCATCTTCAACAATATCAATTACTTTTGCACAATCTTCGACACTAAGAACATATTCAATTGTACAAAACAATAATCACTAAAGCCACCTCGCCATTATGAAGAATAATATCAAATATAACGATAAATGAAACAATTTCAAAATATTTGTGGCAAATTCATTTTGCTCTTAAAAATTAACCAAGGCATGTTTTGACATGAGTCAAAAAACAAAATATTTAGAAAACATGATTCTGACCGAAAAATAATGTTTTAGGAAAATTTGTTTACGAAATTATTGCACAGAGTGTTTTAAAGATAGGGTAAAAAAACAACTCTTCGATTAACCCTGTATAATCAGTCAAATACTAAAGTTTATAACAAACTAAGTTTACGAATTAAAGTTGATATATTTATATACAGTTTGCTAAAAAAATCCAAGAAATAAAGCTAAAAATAAAAAAAATATAACATTTTAAACTTAACCAAAAATTTTTCCGTTGTTTTTTTGCATCTCAGTGTATTTTCTTTCTTTTTAGTTTTCTTTAAATTAAATTACTAAAAATACTAATCATTAAAATATTTTCTAAGTAAAATGTACATGTAGTAAAAAATTATTAAGAAAAAGCAAGGGATCTTATTATATGAAAGACCAACATCAAGGGAGTCTTGGCCTTGGTTTTGCATTTGCTCATCACTAGTTAATGGTTAAATGTTTATAAATATCTATTATAAAATTATATAAGAATTCTTGCCATTTAACTGCTGATATAGAAATTTAAATCCATGCTGTGGAATTATATAATAATAATTGATTCCGCAATATTTTGTGGAATCGACCCAAGCTCACCTGATGATGGAGTGATGGCTCCGAAACCGGTAGTGAGAGCAGGTTGATATACATTATGAATTAAAACAAAGCGTGGAATTAAATTTCCATATTAGCAGTTAAATGGCAAGAATTTTTTGTATAATTTTATTATATACCTATACTGCAAGAAATTTGTTTTTCATTTTATAATATCTATTATTTGATATAGAAATGACTAATGTCAATTTCCAACCAAACAAGTGACCGTTTTTTGTTTCTATTCGAAAGAATATCACAGGTATATTTTAGTTTCAAATGCCAAAACCACAAAAACTTCTGTATTTTTTTAAATATGTAGTATCTTATTAATGATGGTATATTATTATTAATTCAGGCTACAGAATCCAATAAAAAAATATGTATCTAGGTATTCGATAGTTCAAAATTCTGTAAAGTCTAAAAAAATAAATTGATATTTTTTACTTTTAGTGGCGCAACACATTAACATGATAAAAAATTCTACACAATGTAAATAAGTCTATCTCGTATGTATTTCTGAATGGCTTTAAGTCAGTATTTATGTTAGCTACAGAAAATCCGATCAAAATTGATGTCTAGGTAGTCGATGATCTAAGTTTTCGTCTCTTTTCCAAGCACCAACGGTGGCAAATGTAATCGAAAGAAAGAAAATGCTTAATTAAAATTTGATTTGTTGCTGTGAGAGTTCAAGTTGTAGATGATTTATCTTATTTTTTAATAAGCAAAACAAGTTAATTTCGCTATTTTTATTTCGTTTTAAAGTAGAGGAAAACGTCTAACTTAATTTTAGCGGAAATATGTTTGAAAGTTTCCTTGAAAATTGTCTACAAGAATCTACAAAATTTGTAAAAAACTCATCGTAACCTTATTAGAATATTTTCTCTAATCTAATATGCCCCTTAAGTGCTTTTAAGAAGGTGAGATTTGTTGATGTAAATAATAACTGTTTATATATTTATAATTTATTTATTTTTGTTTCCTAAAATGTTTCAATTAAATGAAAATATGTAAAAGTGGGCAACGCTGTGCCGACCAAGCTTAATCACGCAACTAAAAGTTTATTTTGTATCAAACTTTAAAATTAATATTCAATTTTTTTAGCATAATATATTTTTTTCATAATATAATGTGTTATGACTTACATATATTTCCATTTCATGAATCATCTTGAAAAATTATGAATCATCAAAAAAACCGCGTCCAGTTGGTTTGAAAATGACGATCGATAATTCCCATATAATTTTATATATGAAATGACAGCGATCTTCATTTCATAGCCATTGCTGACGCTGCTTTTTTCGATCATATTGTACTTACAGTCGATGATAAAAGCAATTTAACATAGACTTGTATTATATTTTGCACTCTAATCTGTTAATGTTGTTGTAGGTTTCTACTAATGGATCACCCGGTATGTTGTCAATTCAAGGGGTGTTATGACAATGTATTTTTTCCAGGGTTGGAAAAAATCATGAAAATCAGATTTTTTTTTATTTAAATCCAATTTTTTTTATTTTAATTCAAAACAATATTTAAATCGGATTTCCAAATATCTAGGAGTTATTTCCAATTAAAGACCTTTCCTAAAGGGCTAAATCTTTATAACTTTGCCCGATACCGATAACATTAACAAATCTATGGCGCGTTGTCATTTTTCCACATCGGTCACCAATATATTCCGCAATAAAATTCGTTCGCTTCAGGTCAAAAAGGATTTTTTTTAAACGTCTTAAAAGTATTAATTTTTGTCATTTGAACGTCTAGGCATAAGAGAAAAGCACTGTTACGCCTAAGTACAAAAATATATTATTATACTGATATTAAGTGTCAAATTCAACTTTTTTAGAGCAATTTACAGAGCGTCTAATTTATTTCTGTATTGTTTCTTACTCAGGGTAATAGGTAATCATATTACAGCACTAACATAAATATAAATGAAATGGATTTGTAATCGATTGCGATATAATTATTATATTCAAGTGAGATGATAAAACCAAGATTGTCAGAGAGAAGATGTATGATTAGATTGATTTTTTCCTTTTATTTATTTACATAATATTATAAAGCAAAAAAAAATCATCTAGGGTTACTTATTTTTCTGAGGAAGTCAGAAAAGATAACATAATAAAATGATTAAAAACTATATCGATGTATTAAGCTTGATTTTCATGTGTCCGTTACCCATTGATACGATGGTCTGACCCCGCGGCGCGGCATCGGCACTCTGATTTGATATATTTATCTGATATATTTGGTTTTTCTAGTTTTATTTTCGTTTCTTATGTAATATAGTTGCCAATAGGTGCCCGGTGGCGTAGAGGTACAGGCTCTCGTCTACCAATCTCAAGGTAGGGTTCGAATCCCACACCCGGCATTTCATCAGCCGACAATTTTTATTAAAATAAAAATGGTTTGGGTACCTAGGTCGACTCAGCCTTAAATGAGTACTTGGGATTCACAATCCTGAGGTAATAATAGGCGGTTGAAGCGTAGTGCTAGCCACATTACCTTCCTTTGTATACCGAACGGCTCTAGTATGGCAAGCTGTACCTTGCTACTCCCAAGGCGTCAAACGCTATATACGGGAGCTATTATTATTATTATGTAATATAATCTGTTTTAGTAGTTTTATTTTTGTTGTTCAATAAAAGTTTCTTTCTGTTTCCTAGAGATCCTATTAGGTATGTATATATGTGATTAATTATTTTAACATATTTTAGTTGTGAAAAAAAAAAACAGTAGTATACATATTAGGACATTCAGCTAAATAGTCTAAATAATCTAATTAAAAATCTTAACAAACTTTAATATTAGTAAGATTTAATGTTAAATATTTAGTAAAATAAAATTTAATGTTGTATCTAGAATCTAGACATTAAAAATTAAATTTGATGAAGATATAGTCTCTATATTAGAAGAACCTAGTTCTGCACTAGAGTTTGCACTAGAGAATGGTATGTTAGAAATAGTTCTGTACTAGAGAATGCTATGTATTGGAACAGCAAAATTTTGTCACTTATACATACATTTTAAAATAAATCCGCTTATAGCGGTCTAATGGATTCACAGGAAATTACTTCAAAAATCGGTCCAACATTCAAATTGATGAATACATATATTTTTATATATAGTTTTATAACATTTACAATTATTTTTCGATTTATTAACTGTCATATCTATTATAGAAATATTTTTGTTTTCTAGGACACATTCTTATAACTTTCACAGTTATTTTTTGATTTATTATAATGTTTCAATAAATATTTTTTTTTTGATTTAAATCACATGAATAAAATTAAAAAAATCACTTGATTTAAATCACGATTTAAATCATTTCATGATTCATTTTTTCGAATAATATTAATGTTATTAATACCGTATATTATATCCTACAATGAACTTAAATGATGTTAGCTAGGGGTTAAGTGTATAGAAGCCTGGCGTGTAAAATAAAAATAAAAACGGAATATAATACTTGCAGCTTTCGTAGACGGGGCAGATGAGAGAAAGCATGCGAATCCACGGCTACTAGAGGGTTTCCCTTCAGTTCCAGAAGAGCTAGGGCGGGGGTTTGTTGCAGCAGCCCTCCTGTGATGTACTTAATGCGGTTCCCTGATATAGACCTACAAAGAAAATATTGAATAATAAATAGTTAAAAAAGTCAAATAAAAACTAAACCAACTAAGAAATTTTTAACTTATTTATTTTGATTAATAAATAATTATTATAAATTACATTTATAAAAATATAACATAAATATAATTTTATATACAGGGTGGTACGAACTGTAGTATGAAAACTTCGCCAGAATATTCTGCAGATAAAAATAAGTAAAAATGTTCGTATAAATAAGTAAATATGTCCTAAATAAGTAATATAAGTAAAAATGTCCTAAAATGCTTAGCTTCGTAGATACAGGGTGTAGAAATTTCATTTTTATTTCGATTGTTTTCAAATAACGTCCGAAAAAAGGTCGATATTTAAATGAAAATTTGTGTATGGGAGTTTTTTGACATGAGAAATTTTATTTTGATGTCAATATGACTCCTATTTGTAGGGGGCGCCACCTACATTTGTTTAAATGTTTTGAAAAGTGATACTTTTCGTCCGTACCTCTATAAAACTACCTACTGAGTGAAAAATCTACATTTCCGTGATTTTCTACGTAAAAAATGTCTCTTGGTAAAAATTGCTATAGTCTGTCCAACGACAAGATCCTTGACAGTGATAGATGTGTCTGTCATTTTAATTTCAAAGTAATTTATTTTATTTTACAAAGAAATAAGTTGGTATCACTGGAACGCATAGCAGGAAATTAATATATTTAAAATTTGACTGAAAAGTAATTACTTCAAAATATTGTGAAAAAAAACTGCATAAAATTGAAAATATGTAATCGAGTTATTTTATTTAAAAAAACGGTATTTGTTAATACAAAACAAACAAGAACAAAACACCACATACCAAAAAAAAATATAAAAAAGAACTATTTCTTGCTTTCAAGCTTCAAGAAACTTTCCGCATTTATTATTACATTTATCAATATAACTTATATACAAATACAAATTTATAATATTCCACAGGAATAAATACAACAACATAAATAAAACAAACTATTTTATTAATAATAACACTTACCAAATTGTATACCTTAAAGTTTGATTAATTAACTTTAATCTTAATTTTTTTAAACCAGTACCTTTTGACATTATTTTCTGCAGTACTAACATTCATTATTTACCTATCGTGTGATGTCGATATTTTACAGCTACTCCAGTAGTATATGTTTAGTACGATCCTTGTACCATATACGAGATGCACTTATCTACGACGAGATGGTATATAAACTTTATTGATGATAACTTTACTGGTGTATAAGACTTTCTGCCTGGGCAACGAGTATTAACTATAAACTGTGCTCTGGGTCTACAGTTAATTTTTTCTCGATTTTTCCTCCAGTTGACTTCAAAAGACACAAAACACACGTAATAACACGAATCAAAATGCATCATCTTTCAAAAACGCAGATATTTGATATAAGTTGACGCAAAATTATAACCTATAATTTGACAAGACTTTGACAAGCCTCAAAAATCTAAAGGCCAGTTCATACGCATCGGTGTCCGATGGGTGTCCGTTTGTCGTTCATCGTTCCGTCAAACCAATTAAATTGAAATCTGATCTGTCATTTTTTGAAATAAACCAACAAACAGCATGACGGATTTACATTTAAACCCATCTATAGTTAACTTAAAAAATATTAGAAACTTTGTTTAGTAAAATTAATAGATTGGTATGGGACGTCATCTGCTTTTCTTCTGTCATCGTCTGTCGTAATCTTACCTGAGAAAAAAACAGAGTATACGAGCAACCGTTTTTATATTTAGAATGGAAATAGTCAATACATGTCATTATTGACAAAAAATAAACATGTTAAAGTAGATAGTTATTTGACTGAAATGATAAATTTGGGAACTTTTTATTTTTTTTAATTAATAATAAATTGAAATAATAGAAATAACAATAAAACAGTTTCTGTTAAACTTTTGGTACAATAACAGTTCAAATTTATGATTTCAGTCTAATAATTATTTAGTCAACATGTTTAATTTATGCCAATGATGACAGGTACTGATAATTTAGATTCCAAATATCTCGAGAACCAATACTCGTAGCGATTTTTTATCAAGAGACTTTTTTGCTTAAAAAACCTCGTAAATGTATATTTTTTTAACTCAATAGTTTTATATAGATACGGATAAAAAGTTATTACTTTTCAAAACAGTTAAAAAATACGTAGGTTGTTATATTGACATCAAAATCAAATTTCTCATGTCATAAAATTCCCAGACACCAATTTTCATCCAAATATTGACGCTACTTCATAAATTATTTGAAAAAAATAGAAATAAAAATGAAACTTCAACACCCTGTATCTCCGAAACTAAGAATTTGAGGACATACATTTATACGAACTTTTTTACTTATTTTAATCTGCAGAATATGATTTCCGGTTAACGAAGTTTACAGTTCGGACCACCCTGTATAAATAAAGTTTTTATCAAAATCGCAAATATACATATTACCATAACAAACTTTTTAATATCGAAAGTTAATAATTACTATAGATCCAAACATCCAAACCAACTTTGTGATCTACTGAACTTAGACAAAAAATAACTATTTTGTTTGTTCGCTCTAGTTTTTAATTATCTCTAACTAGAGAAGCTATAAAGGAAATGACTGAAGATATCATAAAAACTTACAATTCTTGTAGATCTGGAAGTTTGGTAATGGCCAAAGGAATTTGTGTCAGGAAGTTGTTATCTAACTCTCTGAAAACAACGAAGAATTATGTAAGCATCAATTCTGGAAATCTACAAATCTTCGAATAGAAAATATTCGTAAACTTATTTATATTTTCTTAAATGATCATAAAAGACCTAAATAATAAAACATCCAAATAAGATTGAGAGAAACATATTTTTCTATTCTGTTCAAGTGATGCTATTTCTATTTATTGGTTATTTATCTACCTACTTACAAAATTCTCAATGACGTCAGATTGACGAAAGCCAGATCATCTATATCCACAATCTTGTTTCTCTTCAATAATCTGCAAAATAGTACCGTATGAAACAAATAAAATTAAAGTTGCGAGTAAAGTATGAAAAATTGTGTTTTATATATTTTTTTCCTAACATGGCAGATGTTTGATTTTCTACACAAAAAATGTTTTTTATCTTTAATAAAAATTGTCTTACTACGTGAAGACGTTTTATCACAGTTTTCTTATATTTATGATCTGAGGTTTTTATAGCCCTTAAATGTAGTTACTTTGATGAACCACAGTTTATCTTGTCTTCTTTTTTCTATGAATTTAATTGAAATGAAATACGCACAAGAAAATCAACAGTAAATGAACATCATCTACAGGGTGTCCTAGTGTTCTGATAAAAGTTCATTTCATGTTTTTATCTGAAATTTCTACTTCAATATTTCTGTTGATATACAGCATTCCATTTTAAATACTACAAATTTATGGTAAAATACAGGGCGGCGCACAGTGGGGTATTAGCATGAAAAAGGTGATCGAAATTCGAAAAAGCAAATGTGTTTAAGAATTCCCAAAAAAAGATAAATGATAAGTTAAATCATGTCTGCAATGAATGGCTTTGCTATGGGTCTGTTTAGTTGCATTCATTTGTTTCAACGAAACGTCAAAGTTGTTACTTCTCACAGATAAGAGGTAAATGGCTAAATTTTATGTCTAAAATTATAAATGTTTTTTGTTCTTGTGCTCTTTTTACATTTATATTATTGTTTTGATTGAAAATGGCTCAGCAAGCTGCAGGTATGTATTCTACAAAAACGTATTATTTATTTTGATATTCTCTATACTAACTATTTTTTTTGCAACTAAAAGTTAGGCGTTCAGAAAATTTGATTAAATTTGTGACATTTTTATTATACTTAGAGATTTAGTTGCGCATTTCGAAGAATTCAGCATATTGTCTATATACGTTTTACTTAGTAAACATTGGGCTTTCATACAGTAAAATAAAATACTGCGACTTTTTGCGACTTTGCTGATAAAATGAGAAAAATATTCTTGGTTTCCTCTAATTTGCCAATCAGTGATATACTAATGCGAGGTGTAAACTGCGATGAAATTGTTGTGTACAAAGCGATCGCATTAGTGCCATTAGCAGTATAACACAATTTGGCATTAGTAGCGACTTTAGTGGTATGGGCATTGCTCGCGGATCAGTCGCAGCATTAGTAGTATTAGTTGCGATATTACTACTGGAATTAGTGGCATTGTCCATGGAAACACTGGAACAGTGATTTTTCTTTTTCTTTTTAGAATCGACGAATTATCCTTTATTTTGTTCATATTATTTCCTCTTTAATTGAAATTAGCAATAATTTATATAAGGTCTACATAAAAAAATTTCGATCAACTATCTGTGTCAAATACCCCACTGTGCGGCGCCTCTCATACACCGCGGAGGCTCCAAGGAGAACGACAGTTTGTATATTGAAATAAAATTATGTGAGCATGTAGGTTAATTCCAAAGATATTTAAACTAACCTAACCTAATCGAGTTTAAATATCTTTGGTTAATTCAGAGCACTTTTTGTCACAGAGTGTCCCCAAAAAAATTTACATATCAAAGTTGTGTTTTTTGTAATGGAACACCCTATATCTTAATTGATTTTTGGATTCTGGGAGAAAAATAAAGGTGAGTTTTATAAGAGAAGTAAAAGACTAAAATGTAAGGTTTTTGACATATTTAACATTTTCTAGAAATAAAGAACAATTTTTTAAATTACAATAAAAGCTACCTAAATTGGAATTTACCTGTTATAACCTAATATGTAGTTAAACTAACTATTGCACTTTAAATTAAATTAAAACTTGATCCAAAAAGTTATACAGGGTGACACAAAATTAATATTGAACATTGGTTACCTTCAAAAGTATATTACTCTTTTATTTCAAATGCAACACCCAGTATATTATTCCGATATTCAATGTAGAATCCATGTCTCTTCAAAATACTGTTAAGGTTGTCTACCCCTCAAACAAAGATTTTCCTAGATATTTTTATTTATATGATTTGATCTAAGTAGATTTTTATTATTTGATAAACTCTAGGTGGCTGTGATATGTCTGACGTTACTTCAACATAGCTGTCTAATTACTCTAACTTTAACAACTAGTTATCATTTTGTGTCAGTTAGAACAAAAAAATATCTCTCTAGAGTTAGTATAGAGTACCCGATGCAGCGTAATATGACGTTACGACAATAGTCATCAAAACGATCTCGTCTTATTAAAAAATTACATCAAAAGTAATGATAACAGAAAAAATTGCAAATTGATCGTGATCAATAATTCATTTCGCTCTTAAAAATTAACCAAAGCATCTATTGACATGATCCAAAAAACAAAATGCTCAGGAGACATGGTTCTTACCGTAAAATTATATTTTAGGAAAATTTACACACGAAATTATTGGACTATTGAATTTATTGTAAAAAACGAAGTTTTGATTTGGTATAAACCCACCGAACCGAAATATACAGGGTCCGGCAATAGTGCGTCGGGCATCTGTAGCTCCTAGAATAAAAAACTTAAGAATTTTTTTGAAGTGCAAACCTAAAGTATGTACCAGGATGTATTTCTGGAAAATATTTTAACTTGTATAGGGTGGCCCAAAAAAGTGTTAGTGGATCTGGATAATTTTTTTTAAATGGAACACCCTGTATATTATTGCATTTTTGGCTTACTTTCAGATCCCTTTACACAATCCTAAGATATGAGTAAATATATTTCGATAGTTTCAGAGATATTAAAAAATAAATAAAAAATATATATTTTTCATCCCTTTTTAAAAAAAAATATTAAAAATACAGGAACTGTTCTGAAATCAAAACTATATTAGATATTTACTTTAGATGGTCTGTTCTTACTTTGCTATAAATATGGTAATCGTAAATCATACAGGATGTTTAATATTTTAAGCCAAACTTTCAAAAATATAAAATAATTTTTCTTCGTTTTTTTTAAATGGAACACTTTGTATATTATTTTTTTATTAGATGGAGAATTAAAAAATGAACATTTTTTGTACTTAAAGTATTTCAAAATTTTTAATAGTTTTCCGGATACACGCAGTATTATTTCATATGGCGCTTTCAATGGTAAAATACGAGAGAATAATCATTGGGTGGCTTTGATGAAAATTTACTGTGGAAAATGCCGTATTAAATACAAAACCGAGAAAATCTGCGAAATACTCTAAATACAAAAAATGTTCATTTTTTAATTCTCCATTTAATGAAAAAATAATATACAGGGTGTTCCATTTAAAAAAAACAAAGAAAAAATATTTTATATTTTAGAAAGTTTGGCGTAGAATTTTGAACATCCTGTATGATTTACGATTACCATATTTATAGCAAAGTAAGAACAGACCATCTAAAGTAAATATCAAATATAGTTTTGATTTCAGGACAGTTCTTGTATTATTAATATTTTTTTAAGAAATTCTGAAAAATATATAATTTTATTTATTTATTAATATCTCTGAAATTATCGAAATATATTTACTTATATCTTAGGATTATGTAAAGCGATCTGAAAAGGAGCTAAAAATGCAATAATATACAGAGTGTTCCATTTAAAAAAAAATCCCGATCCACTCACACTTTTTTGAGCCACCCTATAGAAGTTAAAATATTTTCCTGGAATACATCCTAGAACATACTTTAGATTTGCACTTAAACAAAATTCTTATGTTTTTAGTTCTAGGAGCTACAGATGCCTGACGCACTATTGCCGGACCCTGTATAAGCCACTAAAATAATAAAAAATAATGCCAACAAATTTATCTACAAACTAATACCATAATCATAAAAATCGGATTACAAATTCAAAAGTTATGAAACATCAAAATTTTAGAGTGGCGGAATGTTGTGCCGGGGAGTTATATATTATATATATAGGTATATTTGATTCATCTTGTATGATTTTAATAATATTTTAAAAACTATTTTAAATGATCTTTTATGGAATATTTGACCCCCTGTAAATCTTCAAACTTTTAATGTGTGTTTTTTATTATATACAGGAAAATATAGTATATACTAAAGGAAAAATCTTTATTTATTCTAAAAGAAATGAAATAATTCCTAGTATTCGATAAACACATAATATATTGCTTTTCCATGTTTGTCGAATTTCTTTTTAGGGGAAATTTTTGGAGAATATCACGTTTCCCATTTAACGCTGAGTGTTAGAAAGCAAGTCCTGCCCTTTTTGAAGTAGACCGAACAAACACTTAACAGGAGAACCAACAAGTATGTATATACAAGATGTTAGGGTTTTCTTCAGATGTATTTCTGTGTTTATAAACTAAAAATATTATATGTAGTAATACAAAAAAAAAAGAAAATAATTCTGGATAAAAATAAGCTCTCATAATAATATAATCAGAAAAATATTATCTAATTTAGAAATTCGAAAAAATAAAGATATTATAGTTATTATTAGGGAATGCAATCCCGCAAATGCTGGATCCCGCAAATGCGGGATCCCTCTGAGATTCCGCGGGATCGAAGTTGCGGGATTTATCGTGCGGGATCCGCGGGATTGACACATTACTACTGGGTAACAGAATCGATCTCGATCAAGGTCAAACCCCTTCATTCCGGGCCGATGAGTCGACACTTGGAACCCCGGGGGACCCGTTTAACTAGAACTTGTGGACAATTTCGTCAAATAAAGTGCCGGACATAATTTTAGGGTAAATTTAAAGTTGAATATCTCTTGAACTAAAAAAGATTTTGGGATGCGGTTTGAACCAGGTTTTAGATGCATCTATTGTGATTAAGATGCTATGTGGTTTTCGAAAATATATTTAGCGAATTCTCGTATACAGGGTGTTTTATAAGAGAGTGAAAATTTGGTCAAGAATCTTTTTTACCGCAAATTTACGAGTTTTAAAAAATCGAAATTTTGACCAAGTACGACAAATCTGTATTGAAATTAGAAAAAACAATTTGATCGGTTTTTTAATTTTTTTTTGTTTTAAGGAAAATTGACTTTTTTTCGAAAAATATGCATTTTTAGTCATATGTATGAAGTGGTACAAAAAGCTTTGTACATTCTGCATATGCCAAAAAATTATTGATATAGACTGTATCTAAAAGCAGATAACTAACACAAGTTAAAAAAAACTTCAACATAAGAATAATATTTTTATTTATAAAATAAGTTTTTTTATAAAATTATTTATAAATTATAATAAAATTTAAGTTTATTTAATATTAAATATATTTTTTGAACACCCTGTATAAATCGGTCCAAATTTATGTACAGCTAGTTTAAGATACACGCTATATCAATATATTGTGTGCCTATGCAAAATGTACAATGCCTTTTGTACCATTTAGGATCAAATGTATGACTATTGTTAGAGTCCCGCAATTTTGCGGATCCGCGGGATTGATTGCTTTAATCCCGCGGGTTTGCGGGATTGAGATTTTGGTGCGGGATTGCATTCCCTAGTTATTATTAAATACATTTCTTATTAGAAGTTTTAAACGATATATACTTACAAAACTAGTAGGCTGTTCAATGAAGGAAATGCTCCAATGGTTATCCTAGGTATTTGGTTATTACCTAAATTTCTGTAACATAATAAAAATGTGTAACTAAAGTGTCAAAAAATAAGTTTTTTTATCAACCCAGAAATATTATAATAAAATAATTATGATTTTTCCACTTGTTGTAGCTTTCATTACCAAATCCTGTATTTTTAAACCACTTATACAATATATCTACCTATATACAGGGTACACCACAAAACTGCATTAAAAAATAATATAAGCAAACATGCTATCATTTTTCCAACGACATCTACTTAAAAATAAATAGCTGTCAAATACTATAAAACTAAATCATGCCCATATCATGTCTAAAAAAGAAAATGTTTATAATCTGTAAGAGAATTTTGGGAGTTAAACAAGATAAGTTATAAGATTAATGCTATCCTTATTTCACTGATAAAAAAGGTAGACTTGAACTAACGTCGTCATCGTTCTTGAAAAAAAAAAATTAGTGGCAAGAGAATTTATTTTAACGTAAAAAAAAATATTTTGCCTGAAGAAAAACTCTCTTAACTCAAGAAAACTTGTTCTCTTGAAAAATTCGAAAATTTCTCTTGAATCTATTTTCATTCAACCAAATGCAAGTTGCTTTGTTTTAAGATAATAACAAAAATACGCTAGGAAGTACTTCATTCAAGAAACATGGCCATTTTTCCAATAGCTAAATACTCTTTTGATGAAAAATAATAACGACACGGTGAACAAGACGATGACGAAGGACGGTATATACTATATACAATCAGTCGGCAGTCCGATCAGTCGCAAGTCACATTTCATAGGTCGCACGTCGCAATCGTCGCACATCATAGTACGGATTTTTTTGCTTGGAATTTTCCACTTGGAATTTTGCATAATTTGCTTTTTAAACGCATATCGTATAACAAATTAGTAATCGTTATTAACATGCATTTGTCATTTTTTATGGACACATTTTAGGATATATGGATTCTTTAAAGGAGTTTCTGAAAAAATGGAAGTTGAAGCATTTATTTGCTATATTTGAAGGTAAGAGACACTTACTTAATGCACCTGTTTAGATAATACATGCGTGACTATAGATAGAATAAGAATATAGGTATCGATTGTTTTTATGCAAATAATTACAAAAATTTTAGAATTTCAAGTCGTCGTATTAAAAAATTTAAAATATGACCAAAGCTTATAATTTTAATAATGTCTTTGCTTTACTTTGATTTATCGTGATGTAACATTTTTTTGTAATTTGTAGAGTGATGAACCACCCCAAAAAATACCAAGGAGTGAAGAAGCAGAAATAACTACTACCGAGGAAAATAATATGACTTTACTTACTACAGACCAGGAAAACCTAAATTTATCAGAAAATAATATACCTAGTAATATGCCTGTATATGCCTGTATATGATGTATAGACTTCTCTTAGATCAAAATAAATTTTAGTTGAGTCAATGGTATTCGCTATTGGTTTAAGAAAATTGTCTCTTTAATCAAGAAATGTCCCTTTTCAATCAAGAATTTTTGCATGAATCAAAGAGACTATTGTTCTTGTAGCAAGAACTTCTTTGCATATTAATTTTGGGTCAAGAGTGAAATACTTTGGACAGATAGATTCTTCTATTCTCTAAAGTAATTTTTTAAAGCTTATGAATAGATAGTTAATACTTTGGGTAAAGAAACGTCGTTCTTGTCCCTATTGAAAAGCGCCAATCTTTTGGGTCAAAGTCATATTCATTTCGACTGAAAGATCCTTTTTTTCAGTGTTCTTACCTAATAATAAGAAATAAAAACTACATTTATTTAAAACGAAACTGAAAAATAAGTATTTATAGCAGATTGAAGACTAGCTGGTAAACTATACAATAATGCGAAAATTTTGGTATGAATTCAAAACTATCTTCATTATCCTGTTCAGGGATATTGGAACAAACTTATTAAATTATTGTACTGTCGTCGTCGCTCCCTGATAGGTGTGCAGAGTGTTATTTTAAAATAATGGCTAAAAGTGGGTGAATATACAGGGTGTCCCAGGAATAAGTGCAAGTATTTTAAGTGATAGCATAGTTCAACTCCAGAAACACGCCAAGGTTTTTCTTGCGAAAAAAAATGTTAAACATTTTATATTTTTCTTCACATTTTCAGCAAAATATTGAAAAACTTTTGAGTGCCGCTTGTTAAGTTTCCGGAAATTTGTTTATAGTGCTTCGAGAGAATGCAATGTTGCCACTTCCTACTTTATCCACATTTTGTATCTTTATAAATTATAAGTTCGCATTTTTAAATTTTTACAAAAAAAATATTGTTCTGGTAATTGCTTGGTATTTGCGGCTGTTTCGCGATTGCTGCCAGCGGCTCTCAAAATCTTGCCATTATTTTGTTTATCAAAAAACCAAAATGATTCAAACTGAGATTTAAGCATCTGCTTTAACTTTCTCAAATTTGGCTAGTACACCCATTTGTAATGAATCTTTTGTTTGAGTTTATATGCATCCGTAACATATTTAAAAGCAAAAACTAACGCCAAAATTAAATTTTACCTAAACCGGTCAAAAAAAAATCCACATGATGCGCATATTACTTGTGATAATATAGACACATATCGGTAAAGCTTTTTATTTTTTCGATACTAAACAAAGACGAAACCATCTTTAGTGGAATCTTGGCATTTAAAAGGGGCGAGTTAAGACGCCATTTTTATTCCTTAACTAACAATTTCTCTTAAACGAGGCAGAAAATGCAGCGTCATCATCTCGGCTCCGCTACATTTCTTTTAATGAACCGGAAGATCCACAGACCAAGCAAAAGTAAAAAGAAAAAGTCTTTTTTATCTTTGTCGTTATTTTATTCGACTTATTAAAGGTTAAATTTAAATTAAAACCTGCAGTTTAAATAAAAGTAGATTGCTTCGTTAATTAAATAAAATGGTAATAAATTAGTAATGTCATTATAATGCTTGAGAACTTGAAGGTATTTTTATATATTATCCATTTATTTATTAGTATATTCTATATCAGCCATTAATAAATAAATTGAAGTATGTTTGAACAAACGGTTGGACGCATTGATTTTTATTTTTAGTTGCAATTTTGGCAATTTTATTTCAACTTAAATTAACATTTCATACAGAGTGTGTCATCTAATAAGGCCCAGTATCAATTTTATTATTATAATTGTAACACAGCCAAAATTTGTTTTATTTGGAAATATCTAGTAAGCCATGAACTTTTTCAAAAATTTGAAACGCGCATATTTATGACCCCACTTTGTGCCTTCTTGGACATTGCAGGGGCGTTTGACAATATACCTCACAAGGTGGTCAAGCGATCTCTTGAAACAAGAGGGGTGAACAGTACGATAATTCTCTGGTTTTGGGAAATGCTCTCAACACGAACAGCAGAGGCTGAGATAGGTACCAAAACTGTAGTTGTTAAAACAACGCAAGGAACTCTACAAGGTGGAGTGACCTCCCCCCTACTGTGGAGCTTGGTAGTGGATGAACTACTGGAAGAATTAACTCTACCGGGAATACACTGCATAGGGTACGCAGATGACATAGTCATCATTGCACGGGGGAAACATAAAGGCACCCTGTGTGATATTATCCAAAGAGGATTCCGCATCGCTGAGAAATGGTGCAGGACTGTCGGGCTGAGTATTAACTCAGATAAAACCGCAGTAGTGCCATTCACCAGAAAGCGAAGTTTGAAAAACTTGAAAAGAATCCATCTAGATGGAAAGGAAATACTGCCATCACAGGAAGTGAAATATCTGGGAATAACCCTGGATAGTAAACTTCTCTGGAACAGGCATATTAAAAACATTACCAGCAAACCACAAAGGCTCTCATGATATGCAGAAGACTGGCGGGAAATAGGTGGGGCTGCGCCCCTAACATTTTGCGCTGGATGTATACTATGATAGTAAGACCCATGATTACTTATGGAGCAGTTGCTTGGTATACAAAACTAGAGCAACGTACAGCAAGGCAAAACCTGTGCAAAGTAAAGAGACTGGCATGTGTCTGCATCACAGGTGCCATGAGAACATGTCCAACAGCAGCAATGGAGGTCATTCTAGACCTAACACCACTGCACATTGTCGTCGGTAGTTATGCCAATGCGACAATGATTAGAATGGTTACTGACGGAAACAGTACTGGGAGAATTTTCAGGTCAGGGGATTGGAACACCCTCAAAAAGAAAATTCCACTTCTCCAACTCCCAGTGGATGACATACCAAGAATTTACAACTTTGAGAAACACCTCACTGTAGTATTGAGTAATAAAAAGGATTGGAAGAAAGAGACGCTTACTCAGCATATAAAAGACCATACCATCATGTGGTATACGGATGCTTCCAAAACCAAAGCAGGGACAGGGATAGGAGTATTTTGACCGAAAACTGAATACTCCGAAACAATGGGGTTTCTAACAGGACACTGTCTCCTCAACGAACACCTCAGTAGGCTGAAACTGAGAAACAACGGCGAATGCAGATTTTGTGAGGAAAATGGGGAAACACCAGAACACCTTATCACTGAGTGCGCCGAGACGACGACCATTCGTGCCATGAACCTTGGTACGTCTGATGTCGAGGATGGAGAGCTGACCTCTGTGGAGCCGTCTCAGATACTGGCTTTTCTTAAAGCCCTGAGACTAAATGTATGTATGATGAGCTATAACTCGTTATAACTCAAGAAAGGGGAACACAGAATAGATCTATAAGGTCGCGGTGATTAACTCCCCTCCTAAACATTCTACATTCTACATGATCCCACAAAACTGCAATTCTTTTCTCATTTAACCGACCCTCTATCTCCAGTAGCTTCCGAGATACCCATAGAGAACATCGTAGGAAACTCACCTTGTATACCGGGTGCCTCTCAAAAGTGGCTCACCACTATAACGTTTTTATTTTTTCAGATAAGAAAACGGGATTTGGGTTGTATACGACATAAATTGGGATTGATTTATTCAATTGGTCACTTCCTGTTTCACCGGAAATGACTACAACTTTTGATTTTTATATGGCACCCTCGGTATATT